AAAGATTCATATGAGAATAAGGAACTAATGACTTCAAGTCAAAAATTGATATATGGGCATTATTTCACACTATTACAGTTCCATCCAAAAGGAATAAAAACAATATTCTGAGCACCAATATTTATAACGCATTGCAGCGTTCTGCTATTTTAACTGCATCAAAGTGGAACAAAAATTCCAATGTGTTTGTAGAATGTCATCACTTAAGAAATAACCCTATGGTTTAATCATGTTCTTTTGCTTCACCAGATTCAGCAGATTATACGACATTTACAGCTGACAGCTGTACTAAAAAGAACATATTTCTCAACACTTTCCTTGTAAAAATAAACTCCAAACGAATCTTTTCATGCTAAATCAGCTTCATTAAACCACTGATATTTCTGACTTGTCCTTTGGTGGAAAGTGTAACATTTCAGTGCACAGTAGTTGGTGAAGCATCCTACCCCGTGTATTACCCCCAATCAGTGGCTCCAATCCAAACAAAATGTTAGATGTGAGCAGAGGCTGCGACAACATAAATATATATTTTGAAAAGCAAGACGAAAGGACACATTATAAGCCCCATTGAAATGAACCGGAGCGTCACAAAAGTACTATTGGACCTATGCATGAAACTTGTGAAGACAATGCCACCTACAAGGTCATTGTAAAAGTTATTTTCATGAAATAAATTCAGTTCATAGTTTGGGGTATTTTGTGGGACTTGTGCAGCTAGCAATTGTGCTTTCCTATAAGTATCACTATGGGACGTCGGTGGCGCTGTGGGTTAAACCACAGAGCCTAGGGCTTGCCGATCAGAAGGTCGGCGGTTCGAATCCCCGTGACGGGGTGAGCTCCCATTGCTCGGTCTCAGCTCCTGCCAACCTAGCAGTTCGAAAGCACGTCATGTGCAAGTAGATAAATAGGGACCGCTCCAGCGGGAAGGTAAACAGCATTTCCATGCGCTGCTCTGGTTCGCCAGAAGCGGCTTAGTCATGCTGGCTACATGACCCGGAAGCTGTACGCCGGCTCCCTCGGCCAATAAAGCGAGATGAGATCCACAGCCCCAGAGTCGGTCACGACTGGACCTAATGGTCAGGGTTCCCTTTACCTTTACCTATAAGTATCACTGTGTTCAAAGGGCCGTATTCCCAAGTAAGTATACATAAAATGCACACTCATTAAAATGAAGTAATAGTTTCATGCATATCTTCACTGATTCACAGAGTTCCAAATCTGCAAAACTTCAGTAAAGAGCTGTACAGACACAGGCGCAATCCTTTGTCAAAACAGCCTTTGCCAACATCTGCTAATACAGACTTTGCTCCCTTGGCTCCACTGCAGTAATGAAACTCGATCATTAATTTAATAATCAGCTGGCCCTCTCTTTTTTATTAGAGCATTTAGTAAGTCAGAGTGCATACATATACATTTCACATAGGAGGCAGTTTCTCAATAAATTAGATGAATCCGTCTGTGCTCAAGAAAACAAATGAGATTTGTTCATCATTAATATTATTTCGGAACAGTTTGACATGCACAAAATTGGCCGGAGCAGATAAAATGTGTGGCCAGCAGAGCTGTAGAGCAGCAGTGTCCTAAATGATTGGGCTTTGATTGGACTAAACCTCTGGATGAAGCTGTACACAGAAGTGAATAAATACACCATTACAGTCATAGTGATCGACCAGCAGCAGTTGATTTGGTTCAAATGTAAACCTAGGGATTTGACTGAATCTCTTATTGCTTGGTCAGCTTAAAAGAAGCAGGGAATTTTGCAAAGGGTTGTGGATGTATGAAATATCTGGTGCTTCCATTCCACCTGGCATATGAAGAATGATGTTTATGGTAACCAAGCTGTTGATTACAGAAACAGTGATAAGAAGCCAGAGTTGGACTCCAACTTCCTTCAATCCAGCCAGCATGACCAATGGTTAGGGATGGTCAAAGTTACAATCTGGCAACATCTGGAGTAACACAGGTTCCGCATCCCTGGACTATACAGTGGTACCTCTGGATTCCAACAGGTTCCGTTCCGGAGCCCCGTTCTCATCCTGAGCAGAACGCAACCCAAGTCTGCGCGTCTCGCAATTCGCTGCTTCTGCGCATGCACGTGACATCATTTTGAGTGCCTGTGTGAGTGGCGAAACCCGGAAGTAACCCGTTCCGTTACTTCCAGGTCGCCGCAGAACGCAACCTGAAAACGCTCAACCTGAAGCTACTTTAACCCGAGGTATGACTGTACAGTGATATACAGAGCAGGAGAAAAACCTTAACATTGCCTGATGGCAAGAGATCCTAAGCTCTTGACAAATACATTTCGGAGGAGCTAAGCTCTTAATATGCCATAAAGGCTGATAGGCTTCTATGTACTTGGTTGCTATTCAAGATGTGAACAGGTTCATCACTAAGCAACTCTGCATTCGCAAGAAAGAAATTGTCACGTTCTCACCAAGATAGTATTTCTCAAATAATTTGTGCTCAGAGTCCCCTTCTAGATTTACTCCATTTCACAGCAGGGTATGCAGAGATGGAGCAGGTCACAGAGGAGATATTTTCATAAATCCAAGTTGGCTCATTAAATCTCTTCATTCAACCCATCTGTGTCTTGGCTTCTGCTTGTGCTGTTTTGGAGTCTAGCCCAGAGTGGGATCTCAAACCAAAACCTCCAGTAGCTAGCCTTTGGTGCCTTATCTCCTGCGCTGTCTGTGCCTTCAAAAGGCAGACCCAGTTAGGTTCTACTGGGAAAGGGTCCTTCAAACTCCAGGGCTGGTCTGAGATCTAGCTCTTGATCCAACAGTTTGAGGATGATCAAATGACCTCCAAAACCAATGGAAGGGCCTCAAGCTCCAAGAAGTCCTTCCTTTAGAGCTAGTCTGGCAGCCTAAGCACTTTATCACATCTAGGAACTATGACGGGCATTTCTGGTAGTTGACCTCCAGCCTGCCCATGGCAACATCTTCTGCATCTAGCATTAGGTCTTGCTTTCCTGATACCTGACCTCCAGTCTCTTACTTATAAAATCAATATGCCGGCCCATCAAAAATTATTTTCTTGATGGCCCAGGCCCTGACAGAAAGACGCACCTGACTCAGGATGCTGTCCATCACTGGAACTTCTCTATGTTATGCATGTTCCTTCTAGGTATTTTACACATCCCAAAGGGGATGTGTAAAATCCCATCATTTGTGAACAGCTTCAACAGAACAGCTAGATGAATTCCCAACTCCATTTCATAAAGATCAACTTCCCCTCCATTTACGTACAGTGGTGCCTCGCAAGATGAAATTAATTCGTTCTGCGAGTTTTGTCGTCTTGCGATTTTTTTCGTCTTGCGAAGCACGGTGTCGGGAAAGTTTTGGAAAAGCTTCAAAAATCACCAAAGTCTTTAAAAACCTCAAAAAAGGCTACCACACCGCGTTCTATGAGTTGCTCCTCGAAGTCAAGTCGCAACTGTATTAACGGTGTTAAAAAAAAGGAAACAAACTTGCAAGATGTTTCCGTCTTGCGAAGCAAGCCCGTAGGGAAAATTGTCTTGCGAAGCAGCTCAAAAAACAAAAAACCCTTTCGTCTAGCGAGTTTTTTGTCTTGCGAGGCATTTGTCTTGCGAGGTACCACTGTAAAATGCTTTGGCTGTGAACGAACCATACATTTAAAGAATTCAAACACCAAAGTATCTTGGGAGCTCTAGATTACCCTCACAGAGCTACAGTTCCCAGCACCCTTAACAAGGGTGAAGTTCCCAGGATTCTGAACCACAAATACAGGGGGAAGGATGAGAAAACAACAGGATAGCTATTCCTCTGCTCTCAAACACAGTACAGTCTCTTGATATATTGGCATTCAATGTAGATGAAAGGAATTAAAACCCTGAAAAGCTATTGCAAATACATTCAAGTGAGCAAACATCTTCAGACAGCCTATATGGTAAATGAAGGAAGTTCCAGTGAAATAACCTCCGGCAAACTTAGCATTATATTAAAATTGGTTAGCTCAGCACATTAAATTCTGCAATAGGGCAACACCTAGTCACATAATTTCTTAACATAAAAGCAGATGGGGATTCCAATTGGCCAGATAAAAACGATAATGGTGATAGCAAAGGAAATGTAATTTTACAAACCAGATAATTAGGGCCATTCAGAAAGGTGAATCATGTTAAAAAGAAGAGAGAATACTTTCTCACCTTCCGTTTGTCCTTGCATGACCCACTTTCTAATACTTTTTGCATTGAGTACGAAATCCAGAAATATACCCAGTCTGTGGTGTTAATATTACACACAAACTCACCTGTACACAAAGGTCCTACTGCCCTTTCTTGTGTTTGTTTTAAGAAAAGCTGAAGTATTGATTGTCATAATGATTGTCATAAACCTGGCTGGCTGTAAGATGGCTTTCATAGAGGATAAGCTACTGGCCAGACCTCTGCCTCAGTTGTTGGAGGTAGTATGCCTGTGAATTTCAGCTGCTAGACATCACAAGTGGGGATATACTAGATGGGACAGAACAGACTCTCATGTTCCTACTTCAGGAGGGGGATACTACCAACCGTGTTCCAGTCCCCCTCCCCCCAATCCAGCAAATACAATCTCGCACTTGAAACTCTACAAGGGAAGATGGGCAAAGCCACGTTGGGGTGGGGAATGCAGAAATGACAACGATCCTAGTTATTTATGTCAAGGTGTAGAAATGATATGCTACAAATGTCCTTTCCCACCACCACTTTCTTTATTTGACTCCTGCAAGTGGGAAAGGAAGCGGTCACCATCTAGCAGCTTTAAGGGGCTCGTTCCCGTGCAAGCTCCCAGACCCGCTGGAACGAGGAGGAACAGGCAGTGGCTTGGAGGGGAAAGCGTTTCCGTCTGGCTAACATTTCTAACCGTAGCTGAAAGTTGAGGCCATGAATGATACAAAACAAAAACCTAAATAAAACTTGGCGGGGTGGAAACAGCTACTCCTCCTTCCACTTCGCCCTTCTGACTTGGTGCGGGCCTTCCTGCCCCTCCTCCGGTCCCGCCCCGGGGGCGGCTCTCCCCGCCGGGGCAGATCCCGGCCAGCCGTGCCAAGCGCGCAACGCCAGCAAGCGCGGCTGGGCGCCGGCTCTTGTGCTGGACGTGGCACCGGGCGGAGGCGGGCGCTGCTGCTGCTGCTGCGTGCATGGAGCAGAGGCTGGCCGAGTTCCGGGCTGCCCGCCGCGGCACCCGCCACACCGCTCCCTCGGCAAAGCCCCCAGGAAAGGCGGCGGAGGCGGAGAAGGAGCAGGCCCAAGCCCGGCCCCCGCTGCCGAGTGAGGTTGGTTAGCTTCGGCCCGAGGCGGCTCCGCCTCCCGAGGCGCGTTGCGGGGAGGGGAAGGCCGCGTTTTCAGCCGCTCGGCCTCGGGTAGACGCGCATAGGATCGCGCCGCCACTCTCCTTGCAGGTTCTTCTGCCGCTGCAGCCGCTCTCCCGTCAGAGCTGCCGCGTGCAATATTGCAACTCAAGGCGAGGCTTATGTTGCGCGGTACCGCTGCACGAGTGTTGTGTGCTCAGTGCTCCAGCACCAAAAACGTCAGGCGAAAGTTGTTAGCCTGGCCGCCTTTCTGACGTACTGATTTCCTGCGTGTACAGGTTCCTTCATTCCTGCATCGCAGGGGGTTGGACTAGATGACCCTAGGGGTCCCTTCCAGCTCTGCTGTTCTAAGGTTATCTCCTTCCTCCACCCCGCCGTGTTGGAGCATTCACAAATGAAACCCCTGCCTTGAGCACTCCAGGAAGAACTTTAGCACTTGGCTCTGCTCTTCCTATACTGATTTATTTATCCTCAGAGAACCTTCTCTCTCTCCTGGGCTCTACTATTATCTCATACATTTTAATCACTACAGTTTTCTAACCGAGATCCTCAGGGCTTTCTCATCTCTACACCATCCCTGTGAGGTAGGAATAGGATAGGCCGATGATCTTCATGTTTCTTCTGTAGCTTTGTCGTCCCTGGAGCAATGAATGAGTCAGGGCAAGATGCACAGCCAAGCAAGAATTTGAACCCAAGTGTGCCTGGTGGTGATGCTTTCTGTTTTACAGTGCATACTGATCAAAATGTTCATTATGATTGGGAGCGGGCATGTGTGCTCGTGAAACCTTGTTGGGGCAGCATTGTAACACCATTTGCACCATATCGTGGAGATGTGGTCCAGCGTCCTTCAGGAATTTAGCCATACATGGTCGGTCCATCTTTTATTACGGATGGAGGACAATTTTTCTTCTCATGGCAACAGTTGCCTTGCAGTTCATCATTTTACCATCTAGTGAGGTGTTCCAAGGGATTGACAGTATAGTTGGGGAAAACTACATGTTATAGAGAGTTAAATTGGTAAATTTTGTTAAGAAAAGGAAACAGGAGTAAGGCTGAAGAGTAAGCGTTAGAAATAAGGGTTTGAGACAGCATGCAAACAAACAAAACACCCAAACCCTCTCATCTGCTGAGATTAGTGAGAACAGTGGTTCTCAAAAGGCTGTGGCGTGCCACGCTGGCGTGACAGGAGAGGGTGGCATGTGTGGCAGGAAGATTCAAGGACAATTAAATAAAAATTTAAATGTTTCAGTGTAGTATAGATTGGTATTAAAATATGTTTTTTTATTTGTAGAATATGGATAGGTATCTTTTCAAAATGAGAACAAGAACACAGGCTTTTCCACTACAGTTCTCCCTGACATATTATTGTGGCAGACAGGGATTTTCAACTTGACAAATACGAAAGATCAGAAAACAGAAGGGTTTCTTTGTGTTGGATAAGGAGATGAGAGTTTGTCTCAAATTAGACTTAATATAAACGAGATTACCCAGCAAAAGCAATCTCATACCTCTCATTGAATTTGTATACATACTTAAGGTACATATGTTGTAAGAGGCACATTTATAATTATATTTTGGGAGTGAGTCATGTTCTTACGTAGCTGCATTGTTTTATACTTTCTAGATGTCCCATGATCATATTATAAAGTAGTTGTATTCCATGTTATAAATCAAGCGCTGCTAGTTGTTTCTTTTTGTTTTCCAATTTATTTTTATCAATAAAAAATGGGTGTGGCACAAAGTTTTATTCTGAAAGTGTGGCCCAGAGAAAAGTTTGAGAACCACTGTTCTAATAGTAGGGCTGGAGGGGATGGGCTGAACGGATATTTTAGCTACAACTTACTGAGAATATAGTTTAATGAGCTTTCTGCTCTGGTCCCAAGTTCTTTTTTCAGAATAACTGAGCATGAGTCTATAGACATACCATTATTCATTATTTGCTGTTTTATACTTTATAAAAGCTGAATCCCATCGGTTATGGTGTTGCCCATGGTCTTCCTGTTTGGAGATATTCTGCTGAAATTTCAGTTTTCTTTGCCCACCTCAGTACTGGTAGCTAGTGAGCCATGTCTCTGGATGATGATGATGATGATGATGATGATTTTGGAGGGTGGGAACTAAAAACACTGGTCATCATTATAGGTGTGAAGGGTTGGGAAAAAACTGAGGGAAAACATTTTTCTCCAAAGCCACCCCCCACCTCCAAATTAATAACCCCAAAGGATTATGAAATATTTTCTTTTAGAAATATGAACAGAATGTTTAAAAGAAGATGGAGCTAGGATACTTCAGTCAGTAGAGCATGAGATTCTTAATCTCAGGGTCATGGGACATAGTGGACAAAAGATTCCTACATTGGACTAGATGTCCCTCATGGTCCCTTCCAATTCTATAATTCTATGGTTTAGCCCCCCAAAATGATTACTAAAACTGTATCAGGAAGACTTTTATCTAAGACTGTGTACAGATCATTACAATTTCTGCACACTGTGACAAACAATTCCTGAGCTGTGCAATGAGAGTAAAATGCAAGAGCAAGATGCATTTCTGCTTCTAGGAAGGCACTGCCATTGAAACAAGAGGAGGATTCAGTTCCTGCCATTGTGTCCTTCTGATTGTTGGCATAGTTGGTGGATCTGTTTGTTCTCTTGACTAGGCCTCAAAGGACTGGGAGTGGGAGAAAGTGCAGAACACCATAATTTTGTTGCCACCCAGTTCATGCTGCTGCAAATCTGTCAGATCCAAGATTCAAAGGCAGAAATGTAAGTGGTGATAGCACTGCTTCTGTATTTGAGTGGAATACAAAACAAGCAGCACTCGTTGGACTTGTTGTTGGAAAGGTATTTTCGAATGCTGCAGAGCACAGAAAATCTTCAGGTAATTGCATTCTGCAATTCTACCAAGCATATATTTCCTGCAACATGGTGACATGGCCTTTGCCCAGCACAGCCTGACTCCTCTTGCTTCTTACCTACTTCCTACCTATTGCTCAATCTTCTGCAGCGTGTGAAAAAAGTGGTCTTTTTTGGAAATCAATATTCCATCACGAAATTGATCTTAGAAACAATTGTTGTTCTAGTCTTAATTATTTGTCCATTGCATAAATAACCTAGGTGGCTTTTTATTTTATTTTGCAGGAATCCAGTCAAAGGCCAGAAAGGCCCCAAACTGAAGCTGTTACATGCCCTGCACCATGGTGGACCAGTTGCTTTCTTCTGAATGTCACCTTTCTCAAGTTTCTCATCTGGCTTGTCTTACTGGGACTGTTTGTGGAACTAGAGTTTGGTTTGCCTTATTTTGTCCTGTCTATGTTTTACTGGATCTATGTAGGAACCCGCGGCCCTGGAGAAAGACAGACTGGAGAAAGAAGTGCCTATTCTGTCTTTAACCCAGGGTGTGAAGCCATTGATGGAACACTTACAGCAGAACAGTTTGAGAGAGAGCTACAGTATCGGCCCTTAGCCCAGAGGTAACTAGTGCCTATACCAGTATCACTAGGTCTATCCCTCACTTGAGCAAAATGGGAACTGTTTCCTGTGAGATTTTTCATCTCTAGAAATGTTTACGATATTGTAATTAAAGAGTTGAGCTGCAGTTACTGTTTCTTATAAAACAAACAACTAAAGACAGTATATTAAACATACATATTCAGCCTCCCCCCCAAAAAAAAGGCTCCTATTCTAGGCTATATGGTTCTCACCATTGAAGCTGTTATTTTCATAGACATCCCTTTCAAATGAAAGCAAAATATCTTGGCCAGCTTTATATTAAAAGATCCAGGAATGCATGTACAAATATGCATATATATTTAGAGCAATGCCGAACATTAATATATGCACCTATTCTTTTCCTTGGGGTTTCTCTCCTCACCTAAGTTGAATTTGGAGACCTCAACAGAACCAGCTGGAGGGGCAGGGGGACCTTACCTTTCATTGAGCAATAACCTTCAAGTCTGCTTATAACTTCTTTTAAAAATTTGATCCACTCCAGTGTCAAAAGCAGAAGAGCCACATTTGTGGAAAGGATAATGTGACAATATATATACATTAGGTTTGTATTTCTACTGTATGTGTGTTTGATTTATGCTCATTGAACTGAAAATTTGGATCTACACCCCACTTTTAACAAAAGTCAGCTTGCACAAAAAGTTAAACTGTACTAACACCACCACATATGAACAAAACAGCTGCACTAAATTGGCAGGGGGAAAACAGCAGATATCATTTGCAGAAGTGGTAGAGCTATGTACCATCAGCATGCAGATGACATCTCAGCTCAAACTTCCGCATTCCCAGTGCGGGGATTTAAGGCACTTGCCTGGAAGCAAGTGATATTGAACATCCATAGGATTGTGCTTCAAATCACCTCCTAATAGGTGCAGAAGTAAGGTGTGATTAATAAACTAACAAAATATGAGAATGTGTTACAAAGGCTTGGAAAAGGCAAACAAATTTTACTGGTGTGTTGTATCAGGTGTTGCTTGCAGAAAGCCACATATTTTACTTTTTGAAAACAAGCAGGTTGACCAGTCTACCAGCTGAGGTACAATATGTTTTAAATGAATTTAGTACCTTTTAGCAGACAATGTCTAAACACATAACATACTGTTAAAATGGAATCCATCAGCATGGTTGGAGTGTTAACTCCTGTTCCTCAGAAGAGTAGCTCCACTACTCTAATTCCCTGGGACGTTGGATGTGGATGGAGAGAAATTTCCCAGGCCAGATTACCTGTGTGCAGTTCTGCAGACAGATTCCCCACTCCCATACGTGGGGGCCATAGGATAGTGGCGCCATCTGAGTCAGTAGAGACTATTAAAGCCTATTTTCAACTCTTATTGAATTTATTACATTTCACTGTTCGAGTGTGTGTGTGTTTACAATGTCAGGCACCTGATTTGATTCCATAAAGATCAGCTTTATCTTGTATTAGGGATACAAGAGATGCTAGGTGTGCAAATTTTATTTTTTTCGGTTGCTTACTTTTTGAAGATTTATTCAATTCATTCATTGGTATGTGTGGATTCAAGGCCTGATATTTTAAAAATTCATGAAGGGGAAAAAAAACTTGATTGATTCTGCTCAAGTAGATCTAAAGTAAACTGAGATACAAATAAATTTAAGTCTGACACATCTTGGAAACCGTGAGGAGAGAATTACACAGTTAACATCAATTGCAGCAAACCTTTATATGGTAAATTACATTGCTTTTGCAAGACAAGGATGAATTCGCACGTGCACAAAGGAACATAATTCATAATTTGTTACCCATTTTTATAACATTAAAAAATAAATACATGCAATTGTTTTTTTAAAAAAAATCAAAACAGGAAGGATAGAAATATGACATTCACTCATTTTTAATGCTTAATATATATATATATATTCACCATTTTGGTACATTTGCAATACGTGCCTCCACTTAGGTGCCTCACAAGTTGTATTAATTTAACAAGACTTGTGTGCATAACTGTGGAATGAAACTTAAGTAGAATCACAGTGAGTGAGCAGGTTGCTGGTGCGTCTTGGGTTGCTCAAACTGTTTTTGAGCGCCGTATGAAGAGCAGTCTTAAAGCATACTATGAATTCCAAAGCAAGGGCAGCTTGAACATTGAGGCTCATGCACATTTCCTCTATTCATCGGTACTAGTTTTATTGGGAACGTTATAAACAGGCTGCTGGTAACGAGAGGGCGTTTCTTGTTTCCCAAGGCTGCTTCCACCAGTCCACAGACATTGCTGAAGAGAGGTCTTGAATGCTCTTTTCTGCATCTGCCGTCTTCTCCCAAGACTAAACAAGCCTTTAAAGGAGTTGCATATACTGCATCCATCATCACTTTACTAGGAACACGTTCCAGAAATGAAAAATAACTGGCTGAAAGAGGAATAGCAATACAATAGAACAAACAAATTTAACAACACCAACACTACATAATCAGTAGTAAGAGAGGATTGTGTATGGGTGGTTTTTTTGGCAGCAATTGTTTCCTTGGTTAGAGTAAACTGGAAAACATCTTGTCAGTTGCAAAAGGGCTCTTTGCGATTTGGGTGGGCTCTACCCATCTCCTTCCATGGTCAGAATGCTCCTGTAATTCTGCTCCTTGAAAGCACCATTGAACCAAGCTCTGCCAGTATGGTTTCCATAACCTGCCAAGATAGGTCTGGGGCAAGACCAAAATAAGGTGGGGGCCCATGTTTAATTGAATTTTATTATTTATTTTTCAAAAAAGGCCTTCAAAAGAGGAGAGGTTAAAAATTAAGGGAAACACAAAGTGATTTTAAGAACAAGGGAACAGTTAGTCAAAGTTTTTAACAGCCATGAATTTAAACTGCTGCCTAGCCTAGAATTTTGGTGAAAATGAAAGATAAATAAGAGAAGGTTCAATTTACACACCAAGACAAAATTTACTAAAATTTAGAAAATGTCTCCTGGGACACATTCAGTAACCTTGCCTACTGCCTTTTTTCTTGCTGTTCGGTGAAGCATGTGATGTTGTTTCCCATATGACAAGATCTATTATGCTACAGGAATTCCAATGTTGACTAAAGGGCAAATTAAACATGGTGGAGCATGTCACTCATGTGTCTGCTCTCCTCTCATATAACACTGAGCTTGTCTCCCTTCCACATGCTCCCCCTTCCTTTGTGTAAATCAGGGGTGGGGACCTCAGCCAGTGGGGTGAGATGCAACCTTCCTGGACTCTAGTTGGCCCTGGGAACTCTACAGGCGTGGCTTAGACACTGCTAATCTTCTGAAGTCCCATTTTCAAAACAATCTCTAGTAATAACTGCACAAGAAGCATTCACAGATCTCAACCATGCTTGCCTATAAATAGGCATCTGTAGCACAACTATTTCCCACCTATAGGGATTGTGTTGGAGTGAATTGTGAAAAGTATAATGGGGAAAAGCTTGCAGTTGTCAGCTTTTAAAACCAGGGAAGTGGCTTGAAGGAGGCCAGTGGAGACAGTCTATATGACCGGCTCTATAGACAATTTTAAATTTGTGGCAGCTACAGTTGCTGTGTCTGATGTGCTGTGTCTTTCAAAACCAGCCGATTCAACTCCTTAAAAGGGTTTGGTATTCCAGATCATTGAGCATCCCACATCACTGAATTATGCTAGCAAACCTACTTGAGTCCAGTGGATTTTGGTAGCTTCAGGTTCTCAAGAAACTAATACGTTGTAGCTCACTTCTGGCTACAGAATCCTAATATGCTAGTGTAACAGTATAAAAGCATCACTCCAGCATGGCTTAGAGCAGGGGCAGCCAATGTGCTGCTCTTAGAAGTTGTTGGGCTACAATTGCATTCCCCCCCCCCAACCATTTGTATGCTGGCTGAGGCTGCCGGAAGGTGGAGTCCACAACATCTGGAAGCTACCACACTGACTGCCCTGGATTACCACGTTGGTGAAGGTTTCTCTACTGTTAGGTGCACACAGTATATACGGATGCAGCTTGCAAGCCCCAATTATGCCATCACAGTACACAGCCATAGGGATTTCTATGCATGTTCTTCACAACACAGGGACAGTCTCCTGGGCCCACAGCAGAACCTTTCAGATTCTGGTAAATCCAAGGTCCAGTCCAGAATGGCCACAATAGTATCATGCAATATGTTTTTAGAGGAGATGACAAGTTTCAAATGTACTTCAACTCGGTGCTGCAGTGCACACCATTACTACCAATAAGGTAATTAATATATGATGATCTCTGGAACCAGAGTTTCTCTGTATGCAATCAAACGTTCTAGGAATGACTGGCAACTTGAATTGGATTTACTGAAAAGGCAAATTGGATTTATATATTTTTAATTCATTCCTGCTGAGCAGTCTACATAATTTTTAAGATTCTAAAGGCTTATTGACAAGCAAGAAATCTGGCTGGCTGCAGCAAAGAAGAGTGAGCTGGCCAAAGTGCTGAAAATATAGCTCCTGAATCAGCTTGTTTTTGTTTTCAACATCTAGCATAAAAGAGCCCTGTAGCTATAAGACACTTGAAAAGGAAAGAAAAAGAGCAAGGCATAGAAAAACCTATGCTAAAGTTCAGGACTCCTGTGAACAAATGATTAAAGTTCTAAAATACTAAATTCTACATTTGTGTCTCTATAGATGTTATAAAGGGTATTATTTTCTCCATGTTCCTGTTTATCTGCTTCTATACCTACAAGGGGCAGAGAATAATACGTTGTTCCCTGTCAAATACTCAATTCCAGAAAGCCACTAATTACTTTGGTTCATAGTAATATTTGTGCAGCCTTCTGAAGCAGTAAAGGGCTATGAGAGTGGTAAGACTGGGCATTTTAAAAACCCCCACCAATGACAGCAGAAAGGGTGTGCATTCATCACCTGGAAAAGAACCATCATCTGCACATAGATTTAAGTTTCTCCGAGAGAGAAATTACTCTTTAACATGTTTGAGAGCATGCAACCGAAGGCAACATCAAATATCCAGTATTCATATACTTCAATCATGGACGTACCAGCAAAAATTTATCTGAATGGCACAAGAACAATTCAAGCCTTTTCAAATGATGACATAGTAGGTGGATCCAGTCACCAGTACTATATGCTGTCTCCAAGCAGTGGATGAGTAGAATAGTCCTGCTGGGGTCAGTAGAGGATTGCTCTGCCACATAGAAATTGCCTGTTTATCAGGTTTACTATGCTGCTGTTTTTTTACAAAAATGAGGGATAGAATCCAATGCTGCAGAGAAGAAATGTACAGCATGCACTATTTTTTAAAAAAGAGGTATGTGAAAGCATAAGGGTGTAAAATGGTTATTTGTTAAATAATCTTTCCCATTTTTAATTGTACACATTACCATAAAACAGAGAACACCTCACGCAACAAAAAGTAAACTACGTCTTACTGTGCCATAGGAGTGAAGAGATGAATAACCGTTCATTGCAAATAACGTCACTGGCACTGGCCATTAGGTGTCCACAACACCACATGTGACATTCAAAACTGCAGTGAATATACTATTCTTGCAGTGTGATTAGAGGGGAACACAAAAGTCCCATCTGTGGAAATGCCTGGAACACCCAAGTCAAATGACTGCATATTGGGTGTTTAAGAAAGCTACCACTTGGAAAGGCTTGAAATGCTTCTACAGATTATGGTGACTGTTTCTTTGTAACCATGCAAAAGTTTAATCTCCCCTTTTTCCCAATGGGAGTTTTTTCTTGTTTGTAATGATCAGCTGCATCCTTGTAATTTAATCAGTAAAGCTGTCAACCTGTCTACCCACGCTAATAAATGATTACCTTTACGCTTTGTGACAGCATCAACACAGTGTTTATAGGCTTTGGGCACCTGGAGGCCTCTGATATTGAGAAGAAATGCTTTAAGCTTACTTTAAAGAGCATGTCCTCCCCTCAAATGTATTGATTATATTAGGTGGCCGCTTTATTTTGAAAGCTTGTCCAGCTGCCTGCAGCCATGAACGAGGGAGGTTCAAGTCTTCCAAAGGCCTCATGCAATCTGGCTGGCTGGATATTCAAGGGGATTCGATTGTACCTCCTACAGTTCATGTTAGTTGGTCAGACTCCTCTGCACTAGCCTCCACAGAAATCTTAGCTGAATGTAGCCTGGAAAGTGGCAGCATAGACTGTGCTCCCCAGGGTACCTCCGCTGCTTATACTGTTGGCTGGGTACTTGAGAGGCTTCATGTTGCTGTCTCTGCGGACATAAAAGTGCTCTAGTCGCCAGCGCTCCCAGCTTTTCTGAAATTCTGTCCGAACCTTGCATAAGGAAACAAAAAGGCAAGAGAGAGTGAAAGGGGAATAATCCAGTTTTGAGCCACTTCTATTGTAGCACTAAGAAAAGATGAAATATCCCATATAATTAAACACTGGCAAGGTTCTAAAGCTCCCTTGTTATTGTTTCAGATAATTTCTGTAATTACTTAATCAGTCCTTCATAGGTAGTTTCATAACCAAAAATAATAGCCCTCTCTCCTTCGTCTATAAATAGATGTATGCCTTAACTGAACTCCTTGCAGCAACCCGTTGATCTAAAGTTAAGAGGGCACATGGTTCAAACTAGTCTGAATTTCCTGCTTCAACGCCATTTTGAGAATCCAAGATACTCACTGTGACTGTCAACAAGTGTATTTCTGCATATAGATAGAGCTAAAGACCACAATTTATAGAATGTTAATTCAACAGTTTTAAAAACTTGCATAAGACTGAAATTCTAGGCATGCACAAGCTTTAATCCTACCCCTGTTGAACCACACTGACATACTTCTGAATAGACATGGCTAGGATTGTGCTGTTACTTGGGAGTGCCCTTGAAGTGAGAGGGACTTACTGCTGGGTAAAGATGCATAGGACTGGACTGAGGGGGCAATCACCTGGCAAATGCCGTTATGCTGACTTTGAGATCCACAGCAACAAAAAAAGGGGAGGATTGGAGTGCTAAGAACGCACGCGCACACACACACACACACACACACACACACACGCACACACACAATGTAAGTGAAAAGAGAGTATTTTAAGTCACTATGGTTGGGTGTGGATACAAATTGGAAAAGCCGCAAAAGTAGGCTCACCCCATCTCGTTTTCTCATTTCCTAAAAAAATTTAATGGGGGAAAGTAGCGTTTAAATCCAATTGTCACTGCAAGACCAAGTCTAGTGACATGTGAAAGAAACTTAGCACATAAGCAGGCAGCAAAGTTGGTACAACATGTTCAAATCTATTAGAGATATCTGTTCTTAGGCTATTGGTAAGGGGGAAATAGCATTTGTATAAAGCAAATTATTTTTTTTTTAAGCTATTAGAGATCCAGTTCTGTAGCATTCCCCCCCCCCCCCTGTAAGCTTGGACAAGGGTGTCGATGATGTACTACTCTCTGGTTTCTCCCCCAGCCCCCAGGAGCTTCCTTGGCTGCCCCATAAGCCACTTTCTCAAGTACCTATGAACTGAAAGCTCCAAAACTGTACTGATTAAGGACAGCTCACCATTAGGCCTTACAGTACTTATCTTAAACTAGAACTATAGATCCAAATGGAATGCAATAGAATCGTAGAGTTGGAAGGGACTATGAGGGTCATCTAATTCAACTGCCTGCAAAGCAGGAATCTTTTGCCCAACGTGGTGCCCAAACCAATGACCCTGAGGTGAAGAGCCTCATGCTCTACCAACTGAGTAACTTTAGGTTCCATCTTTGAACATGGATCTGCACTAATCATCTGTTAAGCAAAATGTTTGGGGTCCAGTTACAAGAGTAAAAAGGGTGCACAGGTGGGAACTGCGGATTTAAATAGTTAATTTTTTATTCAGAGCTGCACAATGTGTACACTAAGATTTGATCCATCACGATAGCAGCAAAATTAGAAGCAGCAGCAAAGCCACTTATCACATCAGCTAGAATTAGCTTTTTGCACAAAAATAGAGGATACTTAATAAGGAAATACTATGTCCCTCTTGTAAATGGATAATTGTGCAAGCATAAGCCAGCTAATTCATCACAGTACAAGAGGTAGGTCTTGTACTGTAGATATTACTGTTAAGAGAGAAAAAAATCCATTATGAGGTCTCTTACTGTTTATGATGTTTTCCAAAGGCTAGTCATATTAGCCTGTTGCAGAAAGCAACAGCAAAGAATCCTGTGGCACATATTAAAGCAGGTGGTCCAGATCTTAATCTTCACAACCCTGGTGGGCCAAATCTGACAGGTGGCCAGTCCCTAAAATGAAGTTTCTGAGACCCCCTCAGGCACAGGGATCTGGCGTCCACTGCGAAGACATGCAAGTTCTACAACACTGCCTTGAAGATATCGCTCTGTTCTGATCAAAATTTCACACAAAAAAGAGAAACCAACCCAGATTATTGCCTACTAGGGCTGGGTGATGTCGTTTTCAACATCGTGATACCAGCTAAACATTGTGATATGCCAATGTATCATGATGTCTGAAATAAGGATGGAACTACGTAGAAGCAAATGGGGTAATGTCCTGGCAACTGCTACTACTTAGGGGTCTAAAACTGACAAATTTTTACTTATCTTTAACATATTGTTACAACTGTTATTTTATAGTTCAGCTAATTTTAAATTACTGTGTTATCTCTAAAATAGGGAGGGAATCTATTTAATGGAAACCAAACACAAAAACACTAGGGGGGAAAAACCCTATCTTTTTTCCCCCACTGGTGAGGGCAGGAGGGAACAAAGAAAAAGAAAGCAGCAGCAACACATAAGGAAGTATAGGGTTGTGGAAAGAAATGTGTGTGAGAAAGCAAAGGGGTGAGGGGAGAATTCAAGAGTGAGGAGGAGAAAATTGGGAACGTAATGAGGGGGGAGACAGATCTGCACACACAGAAGAGAAGGGGGAAGAGGCTTATAAAATGGTGACCAAACTATTCAAGTGTTTAAGCTTTTCAGAGTCCTTGTTTTCATTCAAGTAATGTAATCCTTCTAAATTGTATTCTGGCAGGGTCAACAAAATCCAATTTGGCAACAAGATAATAAGGCTGTGCAACAAAAATTCCTCCAATCCTGATACATAATTCAAGTTAACAAGCAAAGGGATGTCATCATACAACTATTCTTGTACCAAGATCAAGGACTATAGAGGTCTTCAACTACAACTCTCAACATATCAGGGCTTTATTATAACCTACCTCTTTATTTACTCAGAAATTAATACAATGACCTTCTAATTCTCCATACTGCTACTTTGATATATTTGTAGAGAACCGCTATCTGAATGCTTTAGTTTTCTGTCAACTAAATTACTTGAAAACATTCTTCTCTCTCTCTCTCTCTCTCTCTCTTTGTATGGAAGGTAATACTGCAAAATACATGCATCTTACCTCACTGTTGTTAAAACAGTAGAGAACTGCAACCAGAAGACCCTGGGGGAAAAATCAGTACAACAACAAATATAAGTTAGATAATTCATACTCATTCTTGCATTAAACTTCATTAGCCAAACTAGCTAGGAGAGGAAACTATATCTAATCCTGCTACAAGTACATCTTGAGAAAAGAATGCAAAAGACGTCATCCCTATAATCTGAGTAATACCCTGCTGACTCAGGACTTGAAGAAGCAGCTCCTATAATGTGGCACTTAAATTCAATTTATTTGCAATTTAACAATGTGCCTTTTTCTCCATAAAAGTGATGGAGGAGTCAGTGTGTTGTATTGGTTAGTGTTGGACTCTGACCTGGGAGACCTGGGTTCAAATCCCTGCTCAGCCATGATCCTCACTAGGTGACCTTAGGTGGTTGTGGTGATAACTTGGGAAGGGGAGAACCTTGTGCTCCACAGAGGAAGAGAAGGATATACATGTAATAATAAATACATAAACAGATGCAACAGAACAGTGACTGTTTCAGCATAAAAAAGCAGCAGATACAGCAAATAGATGGGCAATCAGGACTTTCACAATTAAAATCCAGATTTGTGAGTGATAGCACGAGTGACACCTCTTATGCAGATGGACATCTTCATGCTGATCACTGCTAGTTCAAATAGATTAGCAGGCTCAGGGATGATAGTTCATTTACCATACTGCAAAAATCAGCGCCAGTGCTTGGTACTTCTGTGAGGCTCATGTCCCCCGACTTCCTTGTTTAGCGACTGTTGTGGGAGGAAGCAAAAACCTTTCTAATGCTCTGATGGAAATGTGATAAAAACAAAAGAACAGCCTACTGTATCAGGCTCCCAGTAGCCCCAGCGAGCAAAGAGTTGTAGTTCAAAACACTAGGTTGGGTTACCACCCTCTTCAATTGCCTGTTGTCCCAACAGCACTGTGCTGGCTGAGAAGCAACCCAGGGCAGCCATCTAACTAAGTTTTCACATTAGACAAATAATAAAGCATGCTAAAAAAGTGCAAGTAGATAAATAGGTACTGCTCTGGCGGGAAGGTAAATGGCAATTCCGTGCGCTGCTCTGGTTTCAGTGTTCTGTTGTACCAGAAGCGGCTTAGTCATGCTGGCCACATGACCCAGAAAAACTGTCTGTGGACAAACATTGGCTCCCTCAGCCTGTAAAGTGAGATGAGCGCCGCCACCCTAGAGTCATCCGCGACTGGACTTAACTGTCAGGGGTCCTTTACCTTTTTTTTTTTTACAACCAATGAATTTCATAAAAATAGGCCCATTATTATTTCAATTTCTTTTTAAATACTTGTCCAAAAAGTTCTAATTTTAAGGAAGACCAAAAAAATATAGCCTATGTTTGTATTTGTTTCTTTGCATCTTCAGCATGCTGTGGCGTAAATACAATTAAGCCTTACAGGCACTGAGTGCCAATGAAAAATGAACTTATAAAAGCTTTCATTTAAATTTGTGTTGATTATTCATTGGAAAATATTTGGCCATATCCAATTCCAGATGGCGGTTCGGATCTGATGCCCTAGATCTCTTTCCCAGTTATTCTGCTAAGTATTAATTGATGCATCTGCATTGAGAAGGGTTCTAAATGCAGGGTACTCAATTGATTTTTATAATTGTGCATCATTTTATTTTTGAAACTGGTCTGTTTTGCTTGAAGCACTGGTGATAAATGTTGCTCTGAACACACAATTGCTGGGTACTACCTGAAAGGAAGAGGAGGAGAGTTCAAAAAGGAGCTTCACAAAGCGCAATGTTCCTTGGGCATGCTCATCAGTAATGTAAGCAAATACAATCTCGTGGGTCCCCAACAGTGGAATCAGAGTCAGCGTAGATTTGGCCAATCTAGAGAATAGAAAGCAAAGGAAACTTTAGCAAAAGGGCAGTATCAGAACAGAAAACAAAGTCTTTGGAAGACCCTTATGAACTGGTCCCAGCTCAAACATGTACTTGTTTGGGTTATCTTAAGCAAATTACACTTTTAATATTCTAATGCTCAAATAATAAATAGATGCAGCTTATATTGAGTAATTCATATGTTTGTAGACTTTTACTTTCCCGATGTCCTTTTCAGTTTCATGTGTACCATTTATCACCTTCTTTCAAATCCCCTATGTTCCTCTCTCAAGCACCATTATATGTCTTGTTCACAAACTTGGGCATTCTTGAGTGTCAGTTTCCCCCCATTTGTAAATGGTGAGTACTTGCTCACCTGGATTGAACTATTCCTATTAATTAATTATTGGTACAATAACAGAATATTAAAAATGTAGAGGTAGTAGCATAAAAACAATAAATGAGCATAAAGAGCAATACATTGCACCCCAGACTATACCATCTGTACTAGGCTCCAGAATTGCCTCCCCTCTGTGGGATCACCATGTGCTGCGTGGCTTTTGGAGATCAAATGCACTCTAGCTACTACAAAATATTCTCACAGAGGCCATCAAGTTCTTGGCAATCATTAGGCAAAAGTCCTGCTGAAGGATTTGTATTAGTATTCTATAACTTGTGACATCTTCAAATCACCATCAACACATTCGTTGATAACTAACTTTGAGAAAATTAAGAGAACTACTGTGATGCAGTAAGAGTATATATTTACTGGACATATGCTCCAAAACCCACGGAAATGGCTAGTGAAACCTTAGTAGTAGTAGTAGTAGTAGTAATAATAATAATAATAATAATTTATTAGTGTCAATATATTTTACTTTACACTTCCGAGAGACCAATGATTAAAAAGAACTGAATGAAAAGGAAGCAGGAGAAACTAGAATTCTTGATTCTGATGTCGGAAAGCAGGCTCTGCATAAACACAATGTTCGAACATATATGACGTGGGAAGTCAAGGACAAGCTGATACAGCAGGACAGAGATGTCACTGCTAGGAAAGGATTTGTAACTGCGTTACCATGACCCTGTGTGCTGCGAAGGGATGTGCAAAAAAAATAGAACTAGCTACCTCTTCAAGCATCTGACTCAATGTTTACTGTTAAGTAGGGTTGGAAAACTGCCCCTCTGCCCCAATGTCTGTATTCCCTTGAGAGGAAAGTGGTCAGGGCCAAAGCATGCGCGCACACACATAATGCCTTGCTCAGGTTCTTAAACACACCACATTCATTCTGACACATACTTTCAGCTTTTGCAGCTTCTGTGCTCTGCACTGAGGAAGGGACTCCCTTTTACCACCACACAGCATAGAAACGTAGTCATGTTTTCATCCATCAGCAACTCAGCAGCAGCACTTAGCCGCAGTCCTTCCCTGCCACAATTTCTTGATCAGCTGGGGATTGTGGAGAGGCAAGTGGGCCAGAGGTTTCCCACCTCTGTCCTTTGTTATGGGTATCGGCTCATATTGCCAGTTTTTCTCTGCATCATTACTCCCCAAACACTTGTATAATTCTTTGTTTTTGGTATTGACTTGAAAAAAGCTGAACACTTCCTCTTATTTAAAAACAAATAGAAGCTCCCCATATGCAATCAAACTGTGATAGCTTCCGCTCAGTGCCACCTACTAGCTGCAATCTGAAATGATGTCATTTAATCCGTTCCTGCAAGCACTTTCTCCTAAGATAAGCACTGAATAGGTTTGCTGCCAAGATGACTCACCTGCATTTTATGTCAGTTTTGCGCAACAGGTTGGCTTGCAGCTTAGAAATGATGATGCAAATAACCCTGATAAAGATCAGGAAATTTACCTGGATAAAACAAAAAGTCAAGGATTAAACGGTGCATCTTTTAAAGTAAACTTCTATTAATTCTAAGACTCTACAGAAGTATCATCTGCCAGGTAGTTTAGCCCTTTTCAGAGTGCCTCACACTCTGAAAAAGCATAAACCACTCACAGACAATTATTTTTAAATGCAAATACCAAGTGTAAATTCATAGGGCAAAGTTTTTTGGAAACTAGAAAGATTATTGTCGAGATATGCAGACTGCCCTTTGCCAGGTTCCATCCATCTCTCTATACTTGAAAACATGGTCCTCTGCAAGAAGTCACCTAACCTGTAATCTGCAGGAGCCAAGTATCTGGCGTATGCTACTCAAACTTGAAGAGTAATACTGTACAGTGGTACCTCGCAAGACGAATGCCTCGCAAGACAAAAAACTCACTAGACGAAAGGGTTTTTTGTTTTTTGAGCTACTTCGCAAGACGATTTTCCCTATGGGCTTGCTTCGCAAGACGGAAACATCTTGCAAGTTTGTTTCCTTTTTCTTAGCACCGTTAATACAGTTGCGACTTGACTTCGAGGAGCAACTCATAGAACGCGGTGTGGTAGCCTTTTTTGAGGTTTTTAAAGACTTTGGTGATTTTTGAAGCTTTTCCAAAACTTTCCCGACACCGTGCTTCACAAGACGAAAAAATCGCAAGACGACAAAACTCGCGGAACGAATTAATTTCGTCTTGCGAGGCACCACTGTACATAAAATGAATATTTGTTCACCAAGTTCAAGAAAGAAGGCTGTGCCCACATGATTTGCGTCCTGGAGTAGCTAGTGATCCACAACTGGAGTTCATCTTGTAAACAAAGTAGACCTTACAAATAATGGTTTCATCTGTCCAGTCTCTCTCTCCAGATGTATAAAATTTGTATCAGATGAATTTGTAAATGTATTTGTAGCTCACTGCTACAAATTACAGTTTTGTAGGTGTCTTGTGGGGAGTGCACTGTTTTTCAGGTATGTTGTTGATGGAACCAATTTTTTTAAAGGAAATCATCAGGATAATCCATGTACCTTGACAGTAATTATTCTAGAGTCAAGATGTAGACGTGGTGTTGGTTAATTTATTGTTGCTTTTAATGATCCTCTGTTTATGATTGCCTTTCACTGTTTTAATTAATGTGCTTGTAAACCGCCCTGAGAGTTCTGCAATAGGGTGGTATACAGATGTAATAAATAGGTTAATTTACACTTGGCAATGTACATTGAAAGGTTTCTTTTAGACCAGTGGTTCCCAACACAGGGGCAATTTGATTTTTAAGGGGGAAATTTAAGAATGAGTTATTAACAGTTAATGGTCTTTTAGGCTTCCTCCACGTGAATAGGTGATCACTTTTTGAATAATAAGAATTATATGTCATGGGGAGGGGGAATCAGGATTTTAGAGATGCTTAGGTGGCGTATGGCCAAAAAAAGGTTGGGAACCACTGTTTTAGACTGTATAGGTAAGAAGCACTAATTATGTATTTGTTGTCAATGCTACTTCAGAGTGCGAAGCATACTTCTTCTGGGGAGTGCAAATTACTGTATGTCTGGTCTGCTTGCAGACCAGTATGGAAACTGTGAAGAAGGTGCCATTTTAAGCTACAAGTGACTTGTTTATGTGATGGACACCAAGGTCAAGAATAAGTAAAGTGTCCCCACAAACTCATCCTCTACAAACATGATAGTTAAAAACCAAGGGCATTACCTACCACATTCTCTACTTCAGTACAAAATACATTTGTTAGTGGAGGTGCACACCAGTACAATAATATTTCCATCTCTTTCTTTTGTCTCTGGAACACACTAAATTTTCTGCAAAGATTCCTGATCACTCACCCCTATAGCAACAAGGATAGGCACCCTGATGATCAGCCAGTAGTTCATGTTAAGATTCTTGTTCCAGCAGCTAGAGAAGTAAAACAAGACAGGCAGGGGAAAACTTTAGTACATACATGCAATAATTTCCTCATCATCACACGTCTCGGCAGCATAGATGGAAAACAACAGCAAGTGCTAGCAAACCAGCACGGTACATTGCACAGATGGATGTAACTGCTTGCTTGCCGAAGAGAAAGGTTTAGGCTAATCTGCAACAATCACTGCTAAACTGGTTGCTCTTAAGCCTCTCTTTCTGCTTTCGTATGACAAATTTCTCCACCACAATTTGTCATGAATTATCAATAAATGATTATGGAGAATTATTTTATTAGAAGTCAGAATATAAGCCCCTGTGAATTTTGTTAGTCAATCTCCTCCCACATACTAGAAAGTCTGAGTTGTGATCCACCTTGATACTAGCAATGTTTTAACCCCCATTATAAAATCCTTGTACCAACTCTTCTTTCTTCACAGTGTGTCATTTTGGTCAGAATTCTAGGTTTGCCACAATTTTCCTGCTCTCTGTTATCAGTTCAAACACCTAGCTTGTTTGGACTTTCATTGATTATCTTCTCCATCCCATCTGAATTATTTTATGAAGATGACAGAAAGAAAACAAGCCTATGGCATCCACAGTAGTTTATTGGTGTAGGCTTCCTCCTCAAAAATAGTCTATTTTTGTTTAGAAATTCTCTGCAGTTAAGAAAAGCCAAGCATGTTCTCCCAGTAACATGCAGAGTGCCTCCTCTTGTTTGAGAAGAACACTTGATAAATCTTTTTGTAACTAAGTTATTCAGCAGTACTGAAGACTAGCAATATATGCATTCTTATGATGTGTGTATCTGTGTGTGTGCCCACAGAGGTGTCTTGTATGTAGCAGGGACCCATGGTATTGTACAGTGTGCATCCCTCCCCACCCCCTGCAAAATTCCTGGCAGTGAGGTCAGGCCACCCAGTGTTAGGGTGGAGAGACATGATTTGCCCTTTACTGCAATGGTATCCCTGAATGCAATAATTTCCTTTTCCTCATAAGTTGTGATCCAGTTTATATGGAATGGAGTAAAGACATGAACTGCTCCTCAGCCAATGCCAACAAAGCCTGCCTAGCCCCATCCTGTATGGTTTCTTGTTTCCACAAGAGTGTGACAGAACGTTGGCTAGATGGAGAGGTACCAGGGCTCATGAAAACTGTCTTATTAAAAGGTTAAACCAGTTGTGAGAAGTATGGGTTATGCATTGTGAATTATCAACCTCACCATGGGCATTACAAACAAACATATATGCACCACGCTACAACAAATGCACAGACTATGACGTAGGGATGGGCTATTATAGCTCCATTGGTGCATCATTTATGTTACCCACTCTGCAGCATATAGAAAGCCTGCTAACATGCATCCAAACACATGAACTAACAAGTAAACACTCTCAAAGCATGGAAAAAGGTGGAGTGGTAGTTTTAGTTCCAGAATGGTCCCCTCAGTTTCAGGTGGTTTTACCGCTTTCCAGTGGACTTTGCATCACAAATTTATTTTTAAATATCAGTTTTTTCCTAGATAATGTTCAATGATGTTTTAGCCACTGGCCACATTCACATGTATAGACCATGGACTACCATGAACAAGTTGAGGGCTAGTGTACACTGCAGAACTGCTCTCCTTTTGCTCTTTTCTATGCTGAGCTGAGAGCAACAAACTATGATGTTAATCCAAGCTTTTTTCTTGGCTTACCATTCAGGGTTTGCTTGGGAGAAATGAACCACAACTGCTACTTTAGACAACATGGTAAACCAAGGTTGTTGCCCACCACTCAAGAAAGGCAGCATCAAAACAGGAGCAATTTATTCACATGCATTAGCATGGTACTAGTTCACAGCAAGCCATGGTTTCTGGGTTTCTGTAATGTGTGAACATGGCTATTAAAGCATAGGAAAAGTGTGTTTATGATATTATTGCCAGTAGTTCTCTGAGGAAGGACTTGGTCGCAGGAAAGTCACTTCAGGGATACATGTGACCAAGGAACAGCTTTATGGCATATTATTCGGTCCAACTTAAGAATTATTTCTGGATAATAAGTGTGCTGGGAAAAAGGTTTGCTTTCCTCTGAATAGCGTTAGAACAAATTTAAATGTTTTCTGGTATAATGATATAGGTTGAGTAATGGTGCTGGGCATTAAATTCTGTTAGACTTCCTTGTGCATTAATTGGCTTCTTACAGCACACCACAGCTTTAACTGCTTTTAAATGTATACCAATGTGCAATCAAAACATCATTACAGTAAAATTAAAATGCCAGAAAAACAAAAAGGGGTAGGAAAATGTAAGTAACTTATCTGCACACACTGCCTAGTTCCTTTGTACTTTCCCAAGCCTATGTTATTAAATCCCAAAGCTTAATGCAATCATCAGCATCCATTATAAATGCTTCAGTAAGATCTAAATCTAAGTTGAGGAGTCAAAGACAGCAGAGCACAGTTATCACTTCTCAGAGTAGTATTTAGAATTTCACTAGATCACATTCACTCTGGGAAAGATTCATATGTTCAAGGATGCCAACTCTTGTTGTTGTTGTTGTTGTTGTTGTTGTTGTTGTTGTTGTTGTTAGCAGCTGCCCATCTGACTGGGTTGTTCCAGCCACTCTGGGCAGCTTCCAACAAATTATTGAAACACAGAAAACCTCAAACGTTAAAAACCTCCCTGTACAGGGCTGCCTTCAGATGTCTTCTTTATTTATATCTTTCTTTGTCAGAGAGGCCAGATTCTCATTGAGGTGGTAAGCTTTTGTCTGGGCTGTACCACTTCCCTGCGGGTAACAACTAAATCTTACTCCATTCAGAAAATTGCCTCTTCATGGAAAACATCAGGGAAAGGGATTCTTAGCCTAGTTATGTTTTCTATGTACAGAGAATTTTCTATATAGAGGAACATTCAGTTATGCAAAACTTCCACTTGCAGCCTGAAAGGAGACCCTGCAGACACAGGTTTACCACATAAGTGGAGTCTTTATTGAAGATCAAATTACAGTGGTGCCCCGCAAGACGAATGCCTCGCAAGACGAAAAACTCGCTAGACGAAAGGGTTTTGCGTTTTTTGAGCTGCTTCGCAAGACGAACTTCCCTATGGGCTTGCTTCGCAAGACGAAAAACGAAAACGTCTTGCAAGTTTGTTTCTTTTTCTTAACACCGTTAATACAGTTGCGACTTGACTTCGAGGAGCAACTCATAGAACGCGGTGTGGTAGCCTTTTTGAGGTTTTTGAAGACTTTGGTGATTTTTGAAGCTTTTCCAAAACTTCTTTTGCAGCCATTTGGTAAGTTAAACTTTTAAAACTTTTTGGGGGTTTTGGATTTTGGGTTGGGGTGTTTGGAATTCAAGGACTTGGTGTTGGGGAGGGGTTTGCAAGAATCTGGAAGCTTGTGTTTTTTTCCCCTGCATTTTTATGATTTTCTGTGACCATTGGGCCACTCTGCTGTTTTTAAAAAAATTTCTGGATTTGAATTTCTGTGTGGTGGGTGGCTGGGGGAACAGTTGAGGAGGGGTTTGCAAGAATCTGGAAGCTTGTGTGGTTTTTTTCTGAATTTTTCTGATTTTCTGTGACCATTGGGCCACTCTGCTGTTTTTAAAAAAATTTCTGGATTTGAATTTCTGTGTGGTGGGTGGCTGGGGGAAAATTGAGGAGGGGGTTCTTCAGCAAGAAGCAAAGAGTGGAAGAGGAACCTTCTTCGAGTTGTCCCCCAGAGTCTTAGAAAATGTACTGTACACTTTGTTGATTTTTAAATGTTTTTCTGTCATGTTTAGAAACTTAATTTATTGTTCCTTCAATTTTTGAAATGCTCTTTACAGTATGTGTGACTTTAAAGAGCACTTAATAAACTCTTGTTGTACCAAATTTGGCTTTGTTTGGACTTTTCTTGACCATAGGAACGCATTAATTGAATTTCAATGCATTCCTATGGGATTTCGTGCTTCGCAAGACGAAAAATTCGCTAGACGAAAAAACTCGCGGAACGAATTAATTTCGTCTTGCGAGGCACCACTGTACATTTCTGTACATGCCTTGGGGTATACCTTAAGTCTGTGTGTGTGTGTGTGTGTGTGTGTGTGCTGGGAAATATTTGGGATCAAATACACTCATTCATCTTTTCTAACCCTCAAGTGCTGCAAATCCACAGCAGATCAGAGTGAAAATAAGAGGCTGAACAAGAGCCCCTAAGTCTGCACTTCCTAAATTCCACACTGGACTCTGCCATCATTCTGAGGACTGCTCACTGTTCAGCAGTGCAAACATTCCTGGGCCAGATGGTCCTTAGCAAGCAGAATTTCAAATATATTTTATAACTGCATGCATGAGTAAACAAGGGCTTAAGAATGAAATTGCTACACCAGAATTTGGTGGTTTATGTTGTTACACCAGTACTGCAGAAAGCTAAGACAGTACGTACATTCTGAATTGGGTATCTTACATGTGGCCCCAACCACTACATAGAAATTTAGTCTCCCTTTTTTGTTTTTTTAAATTTGGGCTATTCTATCCCAAAATAGATCATCATAATGGTTCGATGTGATCAGTCTTTACCACAGTACCTAAGCAGCAGCCAAAGGGCACCATACAACAGGAATAAGTTTTGCAAGACTGACTAACAACTAAGCCAACATATTACCACAAGGGGGCAAAAAACAAATATACAAACAAAAAACCCTGGTCACCTGCCAAAGTAATAAGTGAGCAGAACTGGGAAAGGAGAGGATTCCTTTCCAATTTTATTTACATTTGGCCTTGCTTGGTAAACAAGACTCATCCACTGAATTGCAACTAAATAAAAATTCCACCCTTTCTAACAACCTGTTTTATAAAAGCTAACTTGTACCATTTATGTAAAAGAGCTGCCCACTTATGATGGGGTTCTCTGTCTTTATTGTTTAAAATTATTGATTTTCAGTACCGTACACATTTAGAACTGTCAGTTGCTTTGAACCACTGTGGTCTGGACATTATTCATTTCTTAATATCCCTCCTAAGCAAGGAGTTATTCCAGTCACAAATGCAATTTACAATCTGCTGCACATCTACTGTAGCATCACAGAGACAAAGGGTAACTGTTGAGCCTAAGGCACAGAAACCTTGCACTTTATAGAGAAGAAAAGGCACAAGGTTAGTTATTATACCATTTTAGAAATATTTATACAAGTTTTAGTTTACCCAAATTGCCCATTAGGGCCTGCTGAATGCATCAGACAGTGGGTTTTGTTTAATAGAAATCATAAGCCAGCTTTGAGTAACACAAAAGGCAAGCAATTCAACATGAACATTCCTGACACATTTTTACATTGCCAAAAAAACTACTGAGTTTGCAGCATGCTTAGTAGCAGGGATTGGAAGATGTCTGGTTTTTAAGGTACTGTATACTGATCATCAGGGACGCGGGTGGCGCTGTGGGTAAAACCTCAGCGCCTAGGACTTGCCGATCGTCAGGTCGGTGGTTCAAATCCCCGCCGCGGGGTGCGCTCCCGTTGCTTGGTCCCAGCGCCTGCCAACCTAGCAGTTCGAAAGCACCCCCGGGTGCAAGTAGATAAATAGGGACTGCTTACTAGCGGGAAGGTAAACGGCGTTTCCGAGTGCTGCGCTGGCTCGCCAGATGCAGCTTGTCACGCTGGCCACGTGACCCGGAAGTGTCTCCAGACAGCACTGGCCCCCGGCCTCTTAAGTGAGATGGGCGCACAACCCTAGAGTCGGACACGACTGGCCCGTACGGGCAGGGGTACCTTTACCATTACCTTACCTATACTGATCATCAGAACAAAAATGGTCCTTGTCAAGGTCTTACTTAGTTTGATCTGGCTTTAGACTAGAACTTCAGAAAATGCTAGGAATATTTTTGACGGGCAATTTGACACACACAAAAGTATGAGCCAGGTGTACAATTCACATCCATAAGAACTCTCTCAGAGTAATTAACATCTTGTCTGGTGTGCTTTAAAAGTGGGGGAGTAGGCTGAGAAGAAGGGTACATTCTGTGTTAGTTGAACACACCCTCCCTCAGATGGCATGACACCCAGCGTGGCTGGTAGCATGACTGTCACACAAACATCCAGTCTATTTATACATTCATTTTTCTGAAATTAATGCGTTCAGAGTGGGTTCAAAACAGATACAACGTGAACAGGTTCATTACAAAAATGAATTATGTAATCAAAAGAATTTTAATAGTCAGTACAATTTTCAATGCCTAATAATTCATTATACGTACACTCCACAATGACAGCACATTATTTTAAGGGGGGACACACTCAGTGCAACACTGGAGCTGGTTCTTAAGAGTCATTTCACACTTTTGCATGCACAGGAGCTTGCAGTACCATACACCGTGGAGATATAATTCTTCAAATACTTAGGACTGCATGCTGGAAAGCCAGGACTGGTCCTTAGCATGTGCGTTGCCCACTATGCTCATACACTTTACGCCAACTCAGGTTAATGTGCGAAGTGCCTGTGCCAAACTGAACTGGCTATACATAACTAGTACCCAGGGCATGAACTTGTGCTCTTGTAGCTAAAGAAAAAATAATAACCAGCATAAGACATACATGGCTGCTTCCAGCTGTCATGCCTCACCCACCCTGTGCTCAAAACTCTATGGGGACTTTTGACCTTTGAGTCTAGGAATAAGAGCTGGAGGAGTTGCTAGTTATTACTGCCATTAGTTTACGGGCTACACTACATTAATTGTCCTGTTGGTAAGGTTTATAAAAGGTAAAGGACCCCTGACAGTTAAGTCCAGTCGTGAACGACTCTGGGGTTGCGGCGCTCATCTCGCTGTACTGGCTGAGGGAGCCGACGTTTGTCCGCAGACAGTTTTTCCGGGTCATGTGGCCAGCATGACTAAGCCACTTCTGGCAAAACCAGAGCAGCACACAGAAATGCCATTTACCTTCCCGCTGGGTTATCTACTTGCACTTTTTGGCGTGCTTTCAAACTGCTAGGTTGGTAGGAGCAGGAACCGAGCACACCCCGTCGTGGGGATTCAAACCACTGACCTTCTGATCAGCAAGCCCTAGGCTCAGTGGTTTAGACCACAGCACCACCCGCCTCCCTTTGGTTTATGCCAACTTAATTTTCTTTGATATGTCTTTAAAGAATTGCTGTTATTATTGCATTTAAGCTATGTATTATTGTTATTATGTTTAGACTGTTGTTTTTTTAAGCACAGCTCTGCAGAAAATGTGGTATGTAAATGGACTGTGAATAAGCGGCAGGCAGCCATGAAAGGGTGATTGTGGCAGGGGATTATGGGAGGAAGTAGCCTAGATCAGCACGCTACCAACCATTCCAAGACTGGGGCTGCTCCTTGTGCCAGTACAACATTTTGTACCCAAGTCATGAGCATTAATACATGGCTCCATTTAACAAACATAGGGAGGGCAATGTCCCTGCCCTATGACTAGGCAGATTAGATGAAAGGGTTGTAAGCAGCTCAGCAGCCTGTCAGGTGTATATGAGGTCTATATCTATGTGACAACTGGGGAATGCAGTATACGTATTAATATGCATAGCATAAAGAACCATTACTTCCCCCCACACTTATGATCCCTGAGCACAAGAGGGAAAGAAAGGGAACTGAGGAGGAAGAGGAAATAATGATGGAAGGACAAATAGCTCAAAATGGGAGCACTCAGCAGCTAATTCACACACCCACTGAGTAAATTCTCCTAAAACAGAACTGGGAGCCCAAAACATTGGACCACCACCACCAATTACAGAAGAGAGGAAGTGGTACATTTTTAAAAAATGTTATTTTCACATGTTCAGGCTTTTTCTTGGCACTCTAGAAGAACGTGTCATGGTGGCAAGCTCTTCCTCCGCCCCCGTTACTTCTAGGTAGGCATGTTGTGGGTGTGCAAACGACCACAACCACTTTTATGTTGGTTGGCACAGCCTTCCACTCTTAACATTCACTGAGTGCGGCTGTGACATTTGAAAGGGGATTACAAGTAGTAATACCTGCTGCATTTGTTGTTCCAGCATGATTAGTGGGCTGCTGGTGCTGAATGAAAATACCACCTCACTATCACAAACAGTGTGTTTGCCACTATGGCAGCAACTATCAGACCAGGCTGCCCTACTGCAATCCCTGTTGCCCAGCTGCATGTGTTTGATGAAGAGGTTTATTAAGGCATGCATAACCTGATGAGGAACTGAATGCTAAATTATGTTTTTTGAAGCTATGTTATTTTCGCTCAAATTTGAACAATAAAAGGTAAAAGAACAAGAAGTACATGGTAATGTCTTTTTATTTCTTTTGTGTGATATAGTTTGATGTAACAAGAGGCCACCCACACAGAAAATAGGAGTGTGTATTTATAAACAAGTCTGAATAACTCAAGTAAAGGCAAATAGGAAATCAGACACATATTGAGAATAACATATTTTCATCAGAGGAATGTTGTTTAGAGACATAACACACACAGTTGGAAATTTTTGCCAGCCTCTGGACAGAATATATTACTGGCAGTATCACTGAACATAAGATAGTAAGTAGAGCCCTGCTGGATCAGACGAATAGAACTATCTAGCCCAGTTTCCAATTTCCCACAGTGGCCAGAAAGCTGCTTATGGGAAAACTGTATAGGCAGGACAGCTGGTACTCAGAGGCACGATGCCTCTAATCTTACAGGCAGTATAATAATAAGAATAATATAATAATAATACATTTTTATTTATACCTCGCCCTCCCCAGCCAGAAAAAATGGATGATTTTCAAGCACCAGAAGGAAAACACTTTTGTATATGGGCATCATAACCAGCAGCCACTGGTAAAGTCAGTTAATTTGTCTTATTCTGTATTAGAGTAATCTAAGCAAGTAGGCATCACCACAACTTGTGACAAAAGTGTTTTCCTTCTGGTGCCTGAAAATGATCCATTGGAAATATAAGATCCCCAGCTCATGTAACCTTGAGTAAAAACACAACCTTTTCCCTCAACAGCCACACCATTATAGGACACACACTTTCCCCATCATGGAGATTAACTTCAGAATCAAGATTGGTTAACAAATTATGCTTGTCCATAATGGCCACTACTGGAAATAGAGGTTTCGAGACATTCTGACCAGTGTGGTGAGTTAGTAGGGGCAGCGAGAGGAAGGGGCCAGGATAGAGAATAGAATACCTTTCCAAAGACACACATATTTAATGATGCAGAAAATGGTTGGCCAGCAAAAGCTTGTGCTTATTTATTTTTGCCAAAATGTCATCAGAACTCTTCTTTTTTCTTAATGAGATGCTTTTCTAGCATAAAACATGATCTGCTCTAACCAGGCTGCAACACGAGCAAATGGATAAGATGTCAGTCAATGGAACAGCCACTGCCAAAGCAATCAAGCGAAAGGAAAATGGGACCTCTCCCCTCCCCGCAGCAAACACAACCCTCAAAAGCGATCAGCTATGAATCAGAACTGAACCAACCCCACATCTTCATAAAGGTACTTGACAATTCCCCAGGGGATAACAAACAGCATTGGCACACCTGGAAAAAAGAGGGAACAAGATATGCACAGAAAATGAGAAACAAGAAAAAGGAAACAGGAAGGCAACACAAAGTTTTTTATATAACGCAGAACAACTTTAGTCAAGAAGAGGTTGCAGACAGTAAGTTGAGCCCATTATGCTTAAATGAATTAAACACAAACACCCTTTCCTGAAGAAGTTTTCACATTACAAAATCCATAAGGTGGAAGTACTGAATTTAATCTGAAATTTATTCAATAGAACTATGGAATGCCAAAGCTAATATTAATACATTGTGGCAGTTTCATTAGATAACCTGAAGCCCAGATAAATGGCTAGAAGCTATCTTCACTTCTGGAGTCATTTTTTTAAGAAAATAAATTAAAACAAGAACAGTATAGTTTGGACAAGATATTGAGGGCCAGTGAGACCAGTGAAGTGCCATCCTTGAAGTTGTTCAACAGACACCCAACATCTGTTTACCAAGACAGATGAGCAAGAACAGTCCAGCTGCAATATTGAAGATATTCATTAGGTGTCCCACCACAGATCATTTCCAAACCCAGGTGTTTCCTTTAATCTAATGAAACCTATTTAATTACTTCGAATGTTTAATTTCTTGCAAAGCGAAGAAGGTAAATTGTATTAATAAAAGCCTCAAACCGTAACACTGGTTAGATGAGATATGAATGCTCGAAGAAAACAGGCTTTATTTCTTTAGAGCAAACAAATAGCTGAGCGGAGCAATAGCCCCTGTGATTTGCAGAGGGCCTGGATGCCTCAGAAAGACCGTCATATTTTATTGGGTTACCTGGTTTTTGAAACGAGCGATGTATTTTAATACTTACAAACCAGACAAAAACAGTTGCTGCTGCTAAATTTGAACGATTCTGTTCTTGTCAGTAGTTTAAAACACAACCCTGAGATCTGAAAGCAATTTGCATACCTATGAGCTGACAGCCTGTGCTTTGCACTGATATACTGTACACAAAGTTACCAACATCTAATTAGAAGTTATAAATCTGGTCAGGTGTATGCATGCATGTTTTACTGCCAGTACTGGGCAATAAATCCCTTGGGTATATAAAGGTGGAAAGGATGAGACAAGGTGGTCAGGTTGCGCACTGCAGGTCAGATACAGGGATGTGCTTGCTGACTGGGTGGCTATTTGCTACCAAACTGCCATGTTTGCCATAGCCAGAACTCAGGTGCCTAGCAGTTTTGAAGCGAAGCACTGAAAAACAAAACAGTGATTTCTATATACTCAGGAGACTCCCTAGGTGCATCCAAGTATATCCACCTGCAAGTTAAAAGCAAGAAGTACAATTGTACCTACCTGAATCATAGTTTTCCATTCCCAATGAAAGAATAGCAGAGAAAAATGAGTGCTTTGAATTCTACACTCCTCTGTCCATATAGCTATAAAATGCTCAGGTTCAAGGATGGCAGCTCTAAGCCTGAGACCTCAAGCACTACATGCAGTTGCCTCATGGTAAGCTATAGACTATTCATCCAGCTATCCTTCGTGTGAGATGAGGCCTTTGGGGGATCAGTGTCCCAATAATGGAATCCCTTCTCCTCTCAGGTACAGCTAGCACCAAATCTATTGAGTTTTCAGTGCCAGCTGAAGACACTCTTTTTCATCTAGGCCTTTACAGAAGTCTGCTGAATTCCTTATCTCATTGATTTATGTACGTTGTTTGGGCATCCTGTTTTAATATGTATTTAGTATTGATTTTAATGTAACCTGCTCTCGCAGTGCCTTGAAAATGAAGTGCAGGTAAGAGATATTATAAATAAACAACATATAACATAAGTCCAGTATTATCTACTCTGGCTGGCAGTAGTACCACAAGGAAAAATATGAAGGGGGAAAATAATAATTATACAGATGTGCCCTCTTCCATCTTTTTTATCTAACCCCCCCCTCCCCACCTGCATCAGGAGCAACAAGAAGAAGAAGAACAACAGAACAAGCAGCTTCCTTCTCCCGGTTAGCTAAAGACCCAAACGTGTGCTCCTCAGAAGGGTTTGTTTCACTTACAATTATGCAAAAGATATCATATGCTTCCACCGCTCTCTTATGCAAAGAAAACTTAAACCTGTAAAATTACTCCTGGAACTTTTCACAGCTTAGAAATGGGGTAAGTGAAATACTATCCCCGCAAAGAGATGGCAGCTGCATATTCCCAATGCAACTAGAATCTTCTTCAGGACTAAGTTTTTCATAGTATTAAAATGTGGTGCAGGCTCCCCAACAGGAGAACAGGTATGTTTTGTTTTCCCAAACTCCTGCTTCACAATCCAAAATCGACTGCCTCAGGCCGTTTAATCCTTCTAAAACTAATTATACGCAATATGTTCTCAGTGCAATTTGTATTGGCACTTGTGATTTATAGCAAAGTCAAAAAAGTTGTTACCGCTCATGTAATTTGATTTTAAAACTCCCTAAGGCTTCCCTGAAAATAGATTTTGCAGTCAGATTGTCTTGTCTTAGTCTTCGGTTACTGCCTGCTTCAGCCTAGATTGAGACCTCTGACTGACCTTTGGAAGTTAATGCATATTGAAACTACCACTACTTAATCAGCCATTAAGCAGATTCCAGCATCTCCTGCTACTGCCACCTAGATTCAACAAGAGAAGGTAGTTTTTACATCTTAAATGGGATGGCGTGAACAAGACAGCTCTACAGCAATACCTTCACTAGGTCTATTTAGAGTCTGAGAGTAGCCGCTACCATTCTCCTGCCAGCCTGAAATACAGCACTCCAAAGGATAGTTTGCAATGAATTCTGCTGTTAAAGCAGCTGCTAATTTGCACAGCTGCAGTTACAGCTTTAAATTAGTTCTGTTTGAACTAATTATATTATAGAAGGGCAAGAAGTCAACTTAGTGAAGAGAGAAATAAAAAGAACTGAAACAGTCCGTTTTCCGTATCAGATTTCCAAAAGAAAGCCTTTCAGAAGCCATTCTCAGAAGAATGCCAGAGATAGGACCACTACTTTAGGAAATGAACACCTGCTTGCTTTGTGTGCACTGATGTTAATTTTTCTGTTTTAATTAGATAAACTTTATCACAGATCTCTGACAAGGTACCATAGCCTGCAGCTGCAGAATTCCTTGTTCTGCAGAATAATCTGATTAAAGTCCTACTGAATTCAAGTGAGTGTTACTCCCAGGTAAGTGGAGCTAAGTATGCAACTTTGGTCTACACAAACATCTGCTATATTCCAAGCTTTGCAACAGACTAATTAATGAAAACTTAATTTCAAGCCCTTTTGGTCCTTAATATTTTCCTGAAATTTGAATGCTCTGTTTCTGCACTGAGTTTCAGACGGTTGCTAGGCAACAACTACTTTCCGTGCTTTCATAAGCAAACCTATAGTCGTAAAAAGGTTAACAATACTGGTTGATTGTTTGCTACATTTATGGAACTGAACTCTGTCAAGTATTTTGTAGGGAGCGGAGAGCAGCATTTGCAGGATATACAGCTTCAGAATGGTGATGCTTCAGGCTTAGAGATATGTCAAGTAACAGGGAAAACATCATATTAAGTTAAGTACAGATCTATATTTCCTAGTTTCTCTTCAGCTCACACTGAGGCTGCATTCAGACAGCAGTTTATTCCAGTTCCCCAACATTCCCCTAACTGTTAATTTCTGCATGATATCTGAGCTTTCACACAACATACAAGTCACTTCCAGAAATATAGTGGAAAACAGCACAATTTTAGTGCTCATTTCCATGTTATTTGTTTCCAGGAAAAGTTTGCAAGTAACACAGAAATGAACCCTAAACTTGTGCTATATTCCACTATTTTTCTAGAAGTTGCTTTTACATCTTGTGGAAGCTCAGATATGACATGGAAATCAACACTGAGAGAAATGTTGGGGAAATGGAATAAACCACACTGTGAATGCAGCCTAGCAGTGTTTTAATCAATCTGTGGAATACATATTGCTAACTTCTGCCCCTATTCATATAGGAGAAAGCCAAAGGCAATGAAAACTGGAGCCACAACTGAAGAAAGAATGATTCTTTAGTAGGAAACATAGTAGACTCAAATCCTTTCCAAAACACAGTTTACTTGATAATATCCGACATCAGATGGAAAAATAGCCGGGACTATTCTCTAGTAGCCCTTGTAAAAAGGGATAATTCAAAAAGCAGCAACACATATAAGAAAACTTGGTTCCCTACTAAAGAACTGGTAACTAGTGAAGAACAGTGTAGTATGTCCTAATAAAGATGTTAATATTCTATTTGACAAGTTTCTTATAAGAAGAATAGAGTGATAATAGACTAAAAGAAAGAGCCCATCTCCCATAATTCCTCTCCTATGACACAAGGCCCTCATGGCTCCTTCCTAGTCAGATTCTATTGTGGTTGCCAACATGCTATAATAGCTCCTTGTCACTAGTAAGGGACAGCAGAGAGAATAAATTTACCTCAAAGAGGGGAAGGAACCTTAATTTTCTCACCTTTTCGTTTCATTTCCCCTTTTTGAATGGCATGTTCCTTTCTGCCTCTTTAGCTGGCTGTAAAAAATGCTACAGAAGGTACTCAATTTTTTTAAAACCTTTCCCCCACATAGTCCAAAGCTCACCAACATTTGCTCTTGTAACACCAAACAATAGTTTAGCATTGCATCTAAACTAGCTCACTTAAATTACATATATCTTATAACTAACTGCCTGATGTGGTGTTAATTTTGATTTTTATAATTCTGTTAGTTAAAACAACTCGGATCAGATTCACAGTTACAAGGAGATCTCTGATACATTATAAAAATTGTAATTAATGAAATGAATACAATGAAGTGGATGGGCAGAATTGTGCTACAGTTGATGTTTCTATTCTAGAATTTACCTACAAGTTAAAGCTAGGGAACAGTGAAAAGGTTTTGGATTTCGTATGGCACAAAAAGCAACCAAGGAAAACAAAAACTATTCTTATTAGATTCTCTAAAGCAGGAGGTTTATGTTTCCCTGACAATGTAATATTCCCTTATATTATTTTGCCTGCCAAATACATTTTTCTGAACAATGAGATTCTGGAAGAGATCATATATAGCGGAGAAATTGAGAAGTTTATTTCAAAACATATACTCTGAGAGAATATGGACCAATGCAATAAATTCAGCATTAAGGTTGAAAATAGTATTGTGACTGAAAGCTTTCCAAGGGTCTGAAAAAAGTGGAAATTAAAACAATTAGGTCCAAACACAGCTGCGTTGTCAGGAGTTATGTTTATGAAAGATCTTAAACGGACAATTTAATTGGAAATGTTGACAGATCAAAAAAGAGTAGTTCCAATAATCCATATTGATTTGTTGAAAGGTGATAAATTTAGACAATTTAACAATGGATAAGTATACTCAGAGAATAACCAGGCAGCTGGTGGCTGTCACAGGCTGGAAAAAACTGTCTGCATTGTTAAAAGTACACTTGAAAACACAAAATGAATCACAGAGAGACCAAAGGGAGGGTTTAGAACAGTGTTAAAATTGAAGGGAGAAAACTGCAGCCCCTTTAATGGATAAAAATCTCTGCTTGTATACCCCTATCTTAGAAGCACACATACGATAGATTTCCATAATCATAGTAGTATTTTCAACCTTGCTACTAATTCCTAACATTATGTTTGCCTATTTCATTGCAGTGCAGACACACACTGTGCTAATGGTTTCAATGAGGTTTCTACAATAGCCATGGTGCCTTTTTCTAAGTAGTTTCAGGCATTCAGAACACATCAGTGTATGTGTGGCATTGAACGCATTTGCTTTAATGTGTATTAATTTGCACTTACTAACACCAAGTTTCATCTACTGCTCTGTTGCCTGGTGAGAGAGATTCCTTGAGAACTCTTTGCAGATGAACTGTTCTATGTTGTGCTACAGTAAAGCATCATCTGGTTCTCCAAGTCAGGTTTCATTCTGTATGCAGATAAGCCATAGTCTGTCTTTCTTTGCCTACAGATGGGCCTTAAAGTGATGCTAGAAAACTCACTAACCCTCTAGCTTTGTGAATGGAAACACGTACTCTTACAATCCAGAAGTGATGTAAAGAATTTTGAAGTATGTTTTTCTTAAAACCCACAGACTTTTAATTTATGCTGAAAGCAAAAAAACAAAAAACAAAAACCCCTCAAATCCAAACTGGCATTTATGCAACATAGCCCAGTAAATATGTACATAAAAGCTAATGCCCATCCACCAACTTCATTTAGCTGAAGTATCTTTAAAAACAGTTTGCTGTTTAGCAGTCCAGGTTTTCACAGGCACCAGAAAAAGGACAGTCACTGAGTATACCTTTTCTTTCCTTGTGGGAAACTATTTCAAATGTGTTTTGAATCAAAATTAAATTGTAGTCTCTGTTCTGGGCTTAAGACTCCTCTTTTCATCTCATTTCTTTAGACTTCATAGTTGTGGAATACTCACCACTAGTACTTTACAGGAGAACACTGGGAATAGTGCTCTGTTACATTTACCTCCATAGCTACAGAAGGACAGAGCGTGTGTGTACTCTAGGAAAATATTAATGAAGATGTCTCAGTTAAGTAGCCCTAAACAAAGTTATTATTCAGAAATATGCTATTTCACCAATTTTCCTCAATAGGTCCAAAGGTAGAACCCTAACCTCAAGATGCCAAAAAATCCAAATTCACCATAAGCAAAATTACAGAATGCTATTTGAACTAATAAAAATTAAATCTGATTACATATAGAACTCCAGAACTTTACCTAACATTAGCTGAAATGCTAATTATTTTGAAACCATGATTTATGTTCAAGATATTTCCTGGTCAAGCCTTACTGAATGGAATCCCTGAGTATAGATGTGTAAGAGTTTGTGTTGTATACCGCCCTAAGCTCTATGGGTACAGAGCAGTATACAAATTTAATAAAGAACAATAACAGTTACACCATAATAGATTGCCCATGTAACTTTATACAGCAATTTTCTCAAGTGATTTGTCATTTCTTCATGCAATAATTCTGGAAGTTACCTGCATGACCCAGTCAGGAATATGTCAATGACTGCCCATGCAGAAGCATTCTATTTAAACTACAGAATAGGGCAATAAGAGGGAATAAGAGGGAAAGCATGGAGCACTTGGATAATAATGAACACTGAGAAAGTGTCTCTAAGAGGCATAAGAAAAATATTTCATTCAATTCCATCCTACTATCCTTTGCATAACCTGGAAGTCGCCTCTATTTAAGAATCTGAGAAATAATGGAAGGTTAAGACAACAGAATTTCCTGCCACTCTTATCCCTAAAATTTAATAGGATGGCACATCAGTGCTCTGCATTATCTGGAGAGTGAACAAAAGTGCACAACTTAAGCACAAAGTTATGATCACAAGCCATAATGATTAGGCAATGAGCAATAAAACCTTTCGAAGTGACGTATGGATTGCTGCTTGTTTAAGCAATTCATTCAGAAAGTAATTTGCATTAGTTAACAAGCTAGGGGAGATAACAGAAAGGGAGACCTAGGACATAATAAATTACTCAGGTAGTTCTGATTAGCACCAGTAGTCGTGTAAGCCAAACCAGAAGAAATCCATCAACACTGTAGAGGAGCTGCACTTCTAAGATCAACCTGCTGGCTATTGTGCAAGGTCTTCCCCACTGGGGTAGTTGCCATAGCAGCAAAAAACACTGTCACTTTTCATTTTCCCACATACAAAACTCATTCACAAGAATATCTAAAAAACAACAAAGTAAACATCTTGCTCTTCACCTGGTTATAACTGCCCAAGCATGTTCTTTATCTAGTCACTCACTAAAAACTGAGGGAAGACATGAAGGTGTAAAAAAAAATCTGATTTTCTATATTAAAAACTAGCCAAGAGTCACTTTTCACACTATAGTACATTAAGTACTCATTATAGTTTTTGTCTATACCCGCTTGTACAATGCAATGTGTGATGCAACTAAACACATCTTAGCATCTATACACACAGTGCATAAATGTGCTGCAAGACAAGAGAGCCAGAGTGTGGTTTTTTCTGTGCTCTCATATGGATTAAATGCATGTATCCGTGTTCTGGAACACAAGCCAGTATTACTAAATCTGCAATGTGTGAATAAGCCTCATGACACATTCAGGGCATGCCTTCAAAGCTGTCTTATACCACTTTAACAACCATAGCTTTCCCCAAACAATCCTAGGACTGTAGTCCATAAGGGTGCTGAGAATTCTTTTGGGGATGCCATGAGTTTAAAAGCGATATAAGAGTGATTTAAATGTATGGTGTTGAGGTGAGTGTAAGTTTGATCTGGGAGTCAGTGCTAGAACTAAAGAAGAGGAACAAAATCTACTGTTTCCTTGAACCAAGTCACAATTCCTTAATCCCACTGCAGCAAACCTCCACATCTACAAAATAAGTAAAGATAAGAAAGATGCAATTTTTTTTAAATAGCCAATCAAGTTCAGCTATTAGATTCAGGGAAAGAGAGAGAATTTTTTGTATATGGATGTTTTAAGATGGTCTATATCTGTAATATATCTAATAAAGGTTTGGAGAAAGAAAACATTTTTATAGCACTATCATAGTAAGAAAAATTCACAAGAACTCTACTGCTGAACAGAAAAATATGTAACTGGGCATGATTCAACGTCCCATGAAGACAAGGATAATTTCACATTCTCTCTTTTAAACCCATACACAGACCTCCATTTTAATGTGCTGTTCTCAGCTCTCAGAGGAGAACTAGACTGCATTTGCTCAGAGTGCATATTGGATCCCTTCCTGCATTGCAACCATTGTCTTCAAGTATTGCTAAGTTGAGCCTGCAATCAGAAATATTTCAGGCAGCAAGACAGACAGAGCTCTGCTGTATTCCTCATAATGGATTTTTAGGTCTGTCTAGGTTTGGACAGACTATTAATTCCCCCCATTTCCATTTATTTAGATAAATGTCTAAAGTCAGACATTTTTTTTTATAAAGGGTAAAACATTTTGTCAGCTCTCTGCTTTGTAGGATTTTAAATAATTGTACAATTTGTAGGTTGTAAAGTGCCATTAGAACACCCCCGGCAGAATTGCTTTAGACATTTCTATCTATCTGAGCTCTTTATTATTTATATTTATTTATTGGCTTCAACAGAGCACAATATTTTCATCATCAATATATCACTGTGCATTTGGTAGAGCTAGGTGAATAATTTACAACTGATCATTTGTATGAATTTTGAATTTTGCCAATAAGTTCATTTGCCAGAATGTTCAGACCACAAGGTGAACCAGCAGAAGGGCAAAAACTTGCCAAAGCAATTTAGACATTAAAAATGCAAATATCTGTGAAATACAATTTCAGTGGTATTGGACACCATGTAGGTTAAGCTGTATTAATCTGCTGCTGTTGTTGCAACTCAGTGCATGCTGGTTCCCCATCCCCCATATATTCTAGACATCTCAACAATACAAATGTTTGGACAACTATGCTAACTATTCTCGATTACTGAAATGACATGATACCACATGACCTAAAGGTAGCATTGTTTTATTATTTTAAAAAGTCTGGTTGATAAGACTGATTCAGAGATAGTGGCCAATCTACTCACTGCTGCCAGGTTATGCAGAGAATGTAATTGGGCGGTAGGGCAAGAACCAATACAGCTCCTTTAATCTCAGATTGGTTATTCATAGATGAACTGTTGCAATTATGATTAAACGACCTGACTATAAAAGGATGCATGCTGGATGTAGACTGGACAAGGTAACTGTTAGGTGGATTTGTGGCTGGTTAACTCGTCAAACCCAAAGAGTGCTCACTAATGGTTCCTCGTCATCCTGGAAAAAAGTGACAAGTGGGGTGAAGTACTGAAGGTTTAAGAAATTTACAGATGACACCAAACTAACACAGGTATAGTTTCATGATCAAGGAAAGTAATAGTTCCACTCTATTCTGCCTTGGTCGGACCACAACCTGAGTACCGTGTCCAGTTCTGGGTGCCACAGTTTAAGAAGGATATCGACAAGCTGGAATGCGGGAGGAGGGCAACCCAGATGATCAAGGGTCTGGAAACCAAGCTTTATGAGGAACAGTTGAGAGAACTGACTATGTTAGCCTGGTACAGAGGAGACAGGGGAGATGTGGCAATCATCCTCATATATATAAAGGGCTGTCACATGGAAGATGGAGCAAGCTGGTTTTCTCCTGTTCTGGAGGCTAGGACCTGAACCAATGGATTCAAGTTACAATAAAAGAGATTCCAACTAAACATCAGAAAGAACTTTCTGACAGTAAGAGCTGTTTGACAGTGGACCAGACTCCCACAAGAGGTGGTGGATTCTCCTTCCTTGGAGGTTTTTCAGCAGAGGTTGGATGGCTGTCTGTCATTTAGAAGAGTTTGGATTTGATATCCCGCTTTATCACTACCCGAAGGAGTCTCAAAGCGGCTAACATTCTCCTTTCCCTTCCTCCCCCACAACAAACACTCTGTGAGGTGAGTGGGGCTGAGAGACTTCAAAGAAGTGTGACTGGCCCAAGGTCACCCAGCAGCTGCATGTGGAGGAGCAGAGACGCGAACCCGGTTCCAGATTACGAATCTACCGCTCTAAACCACTACACCACACTGGCTCTTTACAGGTATGTTCTAGTTGAGATTCCTGCCTTGCAGAGGATTGGACTAGATGACCCTCAGGGTCCCTTCCAACTCACAATTCTATGAAATACATTTATTGAAAAGTGGGCATTACTCATTATATTCTGGAATAGCAAGTTTCAGGAGGCTCTGCTTATGTATGTTGTCTTGCATGCTGGTAAACTGATTTGTGTTTTTTGTTTTGTATACACTGTGTGCGTTGCAAAATATCTAAACATCATGAAACACACAGTTGGATAAACCAAAGAACTTTAACAACATCCCGCTATTTATACTTTCAAAACCAAACCAAATGAGAACACAAAGAAAAGGGTGCTCCGTAATAAAAGCACTTATAACTGCAAAGTCTAAAATGCAATCTAACCTTCTAAGTCTCCAGCCTCTCAAAGCATTCTAAAAAGGACAATAGTAAATATAAACATTTCCTCCACTATAATAGGGTTGCCATATTTTGAAGAGCAAAAAAGAGGACGCTATGACGGTCATTCAATGCAAATAAATGCAATTTGTCTCAAATTTTACCCCTGAAAGAGAAGATGTATCCTGGAAAAAGAGGACACATGGCAACCCTATGTGGTTTATTGTTCAACATAATCTTCAATGTGTATTGATTATTTCATACATATGATTCAGTCAAAATACATTTAAAATATTTAAGTAGCCATGCAGAAAATTGGTGTCACAGTATAAACTAGAATCAACATGATATAAGCTAGAATGATACAAATAAGAAAAAATAGCAGACACTGTCCTTACTTTTCCTAATTCAATCTAGTAGCAAGCAATCGGATGCTTTATGAAATTATTGATCAGGTTCAGGTTGGGGGGGGGGAGAGATATGAAAGAAGCACAGGAAGTCCTGTTTTTTAAGCACTGCCTTCTGTTTCCAGAGCTCTTAGCAAACATTGCTGGCACAACCACAAATGCTAGGAACATTAAAATAAAGCAGCAAGATCATTACCAAAGTTTTGCATTTGCGACTGAGCTCTGTGCTAAGCATCACTATTATAATAATCACATTTCAAGAATTCCAAAGGCTAATGGATAATTTATCACAGAGACTTCATAATAGTTTGACAAACAGATATTAAGAATGTGCCTGATATATGTGATACATTTCTTGCCTGGTCAGTCCCAATTTTGCAATGTATATAACTACCAGGCAGATAGCCTTTTCATGGCAAAAGCCACTTGAACTACAATTGGTTGGCAAAATCATAGTGCGGTTAATAGAGATTTGGTTTGCTGGTCTTCATACACTCCCTTGGAAATGAGTATTGTGAAATGCTCAGCTGAGCACTCTCTTCCACAAAGAATCCTATTATTTTCTCTTTGAAAGTAAAGGCATAGCTAGAGCATGCCACATACTCTACAAGAAAGGCTATCATTGTGGCCCACTTGAGAGCAGCTTCATCCCTGCCCCTTTGCATGCTTCTTAAAAGAAGACCATCCTCACCCCTGATGGGTGGTAGAGTAGCAAGCCCAAGCCTAGCAGAAGAAGATCCTAACACAAGTATAAAAATGATGGCTATGTTGTTGTCTTAAAGATGCATCTGAGTTTAGCAGCAAAAAGAGAAAAGAAAGTAGATCAAATGGTTAGTACTTCTTTTACTGCAAAAGACAATGCTAACCCTGCTCCTGCTTCAATTTCATTTATCCTGGAGCACTCAAGCAGAGAAATGCACTTTTTCATTAAAAACGGTGGCGGGTGGGGAGGGAGGAGAGACTTACTTACCCCAGCCAACAAAAAGGTAGAGCCGAAAGATTCTCTGCTCAGAAAAAACAGATAGTGCTAGCAGCGTATACAAGTACATTCCCTCCACCAACAGCCAATAGTAGTTGGCAATCACACAATACTGCATCATCACAAAGACCAAGCGACAGCTAAGTGACTCCTGAAACAGAAGAACAGAGAAATTAGCGAATACAGGATGCATTGTGAAAGACAAGGAAGCAAAAGCAGGAGTGCATGTGACACGACAGATACCAGATTCCCCCAGCCAGTACTTGGCTAGAAATGGCATTTTAAAAAAACACCTTTTGAGAGTGTCAATTGTATTTTGAACAAATTCAACAGGAGAATAGCTTTTCCACCACACCCCCCAAGTATGCGTGTACATATACCTATGTACAGTGGTGCCCCGCAAGACGAACGCCTCGCAAGACGAAAAACTCGCAAGACGAAAGGGTTTTTTCGTTTTCGAGTTGCTTCGCAAGACGAATGTCCCTATGGGCTTGCTTCGCAAGACGAAAACGTCTTGCAAGTTTGTTTCCTTTTTCGTAAAACCGTTAAAACCCAGGGTGCATTGCTGGAAGAGGTGCAGTTGCGACTTGACCTCGAGGAGCAACACATTGCACGCGGTGTGGTGGCCTTTCTGAGCTTTTTAAAGAGTTTGCTGGATTTTTGAAGCTTTTCCAAAACTTCTTCTGCAGCTGTTTGGTAAGTTAAACTTTTGAAACTTTTTGGGTTTTTTGGATTTTGGGTTGGGGTGTTTAGAATTCAAGGACTTGGTGTTGGGGAGGGGTTTGCAAGAATCTGGGAGCTTGTGTGGTTTTTTCTGCATTTTTATGATTTTCTGTGACCATTGGGCCATGTTTATTTTTTTTTAAAAAAAATCTGGCTTTGAATTTTTGAATTTCTGTGTGCTGGGTGGATGGGGGAACAGCTGGGGAGGGGTTTGCAAGAATCTGGGAGCTTGTGTGTCTTTTTTCTGCATTTTTATGATTTTCTGTGACCATTGGGCCATGTTTATTTTTTTTAAAAAAAAAATTCTGGGTTTTAAATTTCTGTGTGCTGGGTGGCTGGGGGAACAGCTGGGGAGGGGTTTGCAAGAATCTGGGAGCTTGTGTGGGGTTTTTTTTGAATTTTTATGGTTTTCTGTGACCATTGGGCCATGTTGTTTTTTTTTTGAAAAAAATTTCTGGGTTTTAAATTTCTGTGTGCTGGGTGGCTGGGGGAACAGCTGGGGAGGGGTTTGCAGGAATCTGGGAGCTTGTGTGCTTTTTTTGAATTTTTATGGTTTTCTGTAACCATTGGGCCATGTTGTTGTTTTTTGAAAAAATTTCTGGGTTTTGAATTTCTGTGTGCTGGCTGTCTGTGTGAACAGTTCAGGAGGGGTTTGCAACAGTTGGGGAGGGTTTGCAACAGTTGGGGAGGGCTGGGGAACAGTTGAGGTTTTTGAAGACTTTGGTGATTTTTAAAGCTTTCCCAAAACTTCTTTGCAGCCATTTGAGGATTTTGAAGACTTTGGTGATTTGCAGCCATTTCGTAAGTTAAACTTTTAAAACTTTTTGGGGGTTTTGGATTTTGGGTTGGGTGTTTGGAATTCAAGGACTTGGTTCTGGGTTTGAATTGCTGATTTTTTTCTTTTCTGAGTTTACAAAGGTAACAGCTGTGCTGCCATGGGACCCAAGAAGACTGCTGCTGCTGCGGAGGCCGGCGAGAGGAAGAAGGAGAAGGTGACGCTGGAGATGAAGAAGGAGATCATCCGGAAGCACGACGGTGGAATGCGTGTGACGGACCTCGCCAGGGAGTACGGCAGGAACCCATCGACCATCGGGACCATCCTGAAGATGAGAGAAGATCCTTGCGACTGATGCAGCCAAGGGAGTCACCAGGATCGTGAAGAACCGCCCAGCTGTTCTGGAGGAGGTCGAGAAGTTGCTGCTCATCTGGTTAGAAGAGAAGCAGCGTGCAGGGGACACAGTGACTGAGGCCGTCATTTGTGAGAAGGCCAAGGCCTTGCACGCAGACCTCATCCGGGAACAGCCAGGAACCTCGGCCGAGCCAGAAGTCTTCAAGGCAAGCAGAGGCTGGTTTGACCGGTTCAAGGCAAGATCCGGAATCCACAGCGTGGTCAGGCATGGAGAGGCTGCCAGTTCTGATGTTCCTGCGGCTGAAGACTTTGCCTTGGAGTTCCTGGAGGTTGTGAAGACGGAGGGCTACGTTCCACAGCAGGTCTTCAACTGCGACGAGACCGGGCTGTTTTGGAAGAGGATGCCCAAAAGGACTTTCCTCACACAGGAGGAGGCCAAGTTGCCTGGCCACAAGCCCATGAAGGACCGTCTGACCCTGCTCTTCTGTGCCAACGCAAGCGGCGACCTGAAGATCAAGCCCCTGCTGGTGTACCACTCGGAGAACCCACGGGCCTTCAAGAAACACAAGGTCGACAAGGAGCGGCTGAGTGTCATGTGGCGATCCAACAGCAAGGCTTGGGTCACACGTGTGCTGTTTGTGGACTGGGTCAATCTTGCCTTTGGCCCTGCTGTCAAACAGTACCTGCTGGACAACGACCTGCCGCTGAAGGCTTTGCTTCTGATGGACAATGCTCCTGCTCATCCTAAAGGCCTTGAGGTGGACTTGTTGGAGGAGTTCAGCTTCATCAACATCATGTTCCTGCCGCCTAACACCACGCCACTGCTCCAGCCGATGGATCAGCAGGTCATCGCCAATTTCAAGAAACTCTACACCAAGGAGCTTTTCAGGCGATGCTTCGAGGTGACTGATTGCACCACCATCACCCTGCGGGAATTCTGGAAGGACCACTTCGACATCGTCACCTGCTTGAAGATGATCACCACGGCCTGGAAGGGGATCAGCCAGAGGAATTTGAATTGCGCTTGGCGCAGCCTGTGGCCGGACTGTGTGGCACCAAGTGACTCTGATGCACCAGAGTCGACAGTGGTGCAGGACATTGTTGCCTTGGGGAGGACCATGGGCCTGGAGGTCACAGAGGAGGACGTCTGCGAGCTGGTGGAGGAGCACGACCACGAGCTGACCACCCAGGAGCTGGTTGAACTGCAGTCAGAGGTTGCGCAGGAGCAGGCCTCGCTGGAAGAGGAGGAAGCAACTGAGGAACGGCTGTCCTCCAAAGAACTGAGGGACATTTGCCAGAAGTGGAAGGAGGTGCAGGCTTTTGCAGAGCGGCACCACCCTGACAAGCACGTGGCACATGACCAAGCGAACATTTTTGATACGACGGTCATGTTGCCTCTCAGGGAGCTGCTGAAAAGGCGGATGAAGCAGCAGACCATGGACAGGTTCCTCAGCAAGAAGCAAAGAGTGGAAGAGGAACCTTCTTCGAGTGGTCCCCAGAGTCTTAGAAAATGTAATGTACCCTTTTTGATTTTTAAATGTTTTTCCTGTCATGTTTAGAAACTTAATTTATTGTTCCTTCAATTTTTGATATGCTCTTTAAAGTATGTGTGACTTTAAAGAGCAGTTAATAAACTCTTGTTGTACCAAATTTGGCTTTGTTTGGACTTTTTGACCATAGGAACGCATTAATTGAATTTCAATGCATTCCTATGGGAAACCGTGCTTCGCAAGACGAAAAATTCGCTAGACGAAAAAACTCGCGGAACGAATTAATTTCGTCTTGCGAGGCACCACTGTATCTGTCTATGAAAAGCTTATTCAGAGGGTCGGAGGGCCCTGTTAAACATGGCAGGATGGGCTGGTGAGGAAGTAATCTAAAATTAGACAGAGGCACCTTGTTCAAGTGGAGGCCACCTGTATAAGGGACCTCTGCTCAATTTTGGCAATTTCCTCTTTTCTCATTGCATGCCCCATCCCACACTATCCAAGAGAGTCTCTCCAACTCTTCAGAGAGGCTTTCAGGGAGTGTGGGAGGCAGGCAAGTCCTCTTTGGCAAACTTCCTACTGTTTGAGTCTCTCAGGATCCAAGCCATTTCTCACAGCTACCAATCAGTGTAAAAGCAGGGATGGTCAGTCCTCACAAAATCAGGGAACAGAGACGACTGAATTCCCACTTTTTTGGGTGACACAGTTCAAATATCAAACCAAAGTGGAATTGTTTACCAAGTATAATAATGGGACAGGGCAGAACTGTTCAGGAATCCCAGACCTTCTGTTTTGGGAAAACTCTGGTATCTTTCCCGACGTAGTCTTTGGTTTTTTGAGGTAATATTTCTAGATGTTTGTTGGGATATTGGAATAGTAGCTAAAGAGACATAGTTCAACAGACACTTGTCAGAAAAAGAATTGGTTGCTTCCTTCTCATCTCAGGGAAAGAAAATGACAAATAAAATGGAGCACAGAGGAAAAGTTTTATACAACAAGAGCACCAAGGGAGACTTCAACTGTATCAGAAAAATCATTCACAACTGAAATTGTGACAGTTGGATGACTAGCACTGAGAGCAAACCTCTAGAAGCGTGCAAATCTAACAAGGCATCCCAGGGCACCTTTTCCTTCAAATGAAGATGGAAAGTTAAATACAAATATATTGAGTCACAGGATCACTGGTACTAAAGGTGTTTTGGCCTCATCCCCCTACCTGATAAGAGAATAAACTCTCCCACTGCTGTTCACGAGGAGCTGTCCTATACATCCAAGTTATCACAGAGTCTTTAATGAAGATGGATATAGCACGGAGGATAAATGAGGTGAAAAGGTTCAAGTGAATGTAGTTCCTGGTGCAGTGCAGATGCCTGAAAAATAATCAAGTTTAAGTTACTCAAACGTGTAGGCTGTAACAATTGTTGAACAGGGCAACAGGGGGACTCCGCTCAAAACTGAAGTGGGCAAATGAGTCACTTGGCATATAATTCAGGAAGAGCTGCAGGGATTTCTTCTTATGTTGAAGGCAAAGGAAAACTTATAATGCCTTCACCCCGAAAAGCTCCAAACCATGTTTAGACTAAAAAAGATGTGTAGAAGTGGAGAACTATTTTGAATTCTTACTAAAGTGGCCACAGGAGAGGGATTTGAAGAACTGATCTTCAAATCTCTTTAGATAAAGAAATGGATTTTGTGAGGCATGCCTTAGCTTTCTGTGCACTGGGAAAATCTGCAGGGGGCTGTGGCAGAAGCATCAGCTTCTATCAAGAGTTCTGATATTTACTACCTATTGTTTGAAAAGCAAAATATGCCACTTAAGAACTATATGGACTGTTGTGGGAGCATGATTTCCCCTCTAGGCTCACAATAAGTAACAATGAACATTCATTATGAATCTCAGTCATGCTCTAGGAGAACAGAAATCACAACCTGTCAAAAAGAAAAAAAAATCAACTCAGTAGCTAGAACCCAGTAGCAATGTAACAGCAATCCTTTATTCAAGAATCTCAAACATTTCTTCTCCCTTGCCTTTCTGCCACCTAATAACAAACCCCATCTGAAAAGAAATGTGCAGTAGAGCAAGGCAGTTTTGTCCCTCCATCGAAATAAAAATGCTCTGTCTATGATACAAAGCAAAATGTTCCTATACAATAGTTCAGCCATATCTGAGTTAATAGTGATTTCAGGGTTTACATCTGTTACTATAGCATCAAACTAATACCTCTTTGGGGGAGGGGGGCAGGAGAGTTTATGTCTCTCTATTAAGCACAAATATCAGCTGCTTCCGATGTGCAGCACACCAAGAACAAGCGATAGCCCAGTATGGTTCTGACTGATGAAGGCAAAATATTATCACTATTGGTTATAACACAGTGAACTTGGGCACTCTATTCTCGCACCACAGTTCCCCCACTATATGTATGTAATAGTTTACAACAAACTCTTTAAACTCTTCCACCATTTATGTGAAACTCACTTTTATGCTGCCTTTGACTTCCCATTTTATTGCATTTAAACGTTTGAGGTTTTTGAAATTTTGCAACAGGCATCATTAGTGCACACAAGTACTAGTCAAATGCTATTTGCAATTTGGAGTTCATGACTCTTTGTAGGCATATCAAGGTTACCTGAACCCCAGGAGGATGCCAGTGGCTATGACAAGGGCCGAGAAGGAAAGAGCATATCCAGTGGTATAGATGGCAGAAAGGAATAGCATGTGGCCTTCTGGTGAGTCCTAAAAGAAGATAACATAAGAATGCAATGGAAGGATATAGTTATTGGACGAACCCAGCTTCCTCAAAATCCTCTAAGATGAGCAGATGGTCAACGCAAGGCATAGCTGAGTGGATAAACAGAACTGCAAAGCCAACAATCTTATACAAAAACATAGGCAAGTAGTACAGATCACAAACGTCAAGTCCAATATATCAGGAATCCCAAAACCATGTGTTCTTTTTTTGTTCGGGACAATGTGCCCTGGGAGCATAACTTATCCTGAAAGCTTAAAAACTCATTACATGAAAATAATAAAATGAAACTCAAACCCAAATATGGGAGACTGTTACTGAGCCTAATTTGCCCCTTATATTTTGTATCTTGATACTGGAGTGGTGTTTTGTCCCCTGTACAAACAGAGTGCTGCCTCCTCTCACACAGGAAAGGGGAAATTCTCCAGGACCACGTGAGCTGGCGGTATATGAGATATGCCACCCAAATGTCTTGTGAGTGATTTGGATTGTGTGGAAGGGTGTTGCTGTTTTTAAAGGGAAGACTGATTTGGAAAAGGAAAGAAGAATTCAGAACAGAAGGGAGAGCAGTAACTGCATGTGTCAGCCAACTTTAAATTAATAACCAATGCATGGAGTTAGTTTGAAATTGCAAAGGGCACAAACTTAAGACAGAAGCAGCAGAACTATAGGTGAAATTCATAAGTCACTGGCAGAACTTCCATTTATTTTAATGAGCTCTGCCTGGACCAATTGTTAGTCTGTGACCATTCCTCTGAGCTTCAATCTTTCCAGTTGGATTTCATGCTCAAGGACAGCTACAGCCAAGCCACATGATGACCTTCACCCTACCCAAATCTAAAGGTTGTTCTGAGTTCTATTTTTATCTATGGCTCTAAACAGTGTGAGAATAAGTTGTTGGGGTTGTTGAAAATTGAAAATAAAAATCAGTATTTACATTTCAGGACACAACACAGTATTCAGGGTTTCTAAATCATTACCCCCCAAAGCACTCTATTTTATGGAAATGAGACAGGTGCCAAACGACCAAGCACTGTCGTTAAGCATCTGTCTTGTTGGCAGCTTTCTACACAACTGTGAAATAATCTTTTAAACAGCCAATGGAGACAAAAAATGTCCCTGCATGTGGTTTGTATTACAGCAATTCAGCTTCTCTGAACATCATCTTCAGCTATGTCACAGGCATTCAAAAGAATGAGGAAATAGATGGGGAAGCAAGCTTGGGGATTTCCTGCATTTTAATTAACCTCACTTCAAACTTGCAGAATTTCTCTCCTGCCCTGTTCTCTATTTGTATTCTTCCCACTTCTGCTGAACAATCGTAACATGGCAATGTAGACCGCGGTTGGTAACATGTGACCTTTAGAATAATTTCATGCTAGCTGGAAGAGCCCAGAGGGAGAGGTGGACAAGAAGGTAGTGGGGGGGGGGAGAGAATGGGAGTTTAAACATTTGGAGAACTGGAGGGAGGAGGAGGGACAAAAGCCCTTCAGACCTGCAGTAGAAATGGCTTATCTCTCCCCCAGCAGCCCAATGCATGGGGAGAAAGAGAGAAGGGAATGTCAGAAAGAAAGAAAAGTGACCCTTATAATGTTTGTTTCTGACCTCCAGAAGATTGTCCCTGAGAGCATGCACTTCACCCCTACAGTAAACAATTGTAGCCAAAAGCTGATGTAGCATGATGTCTAAAATGAGCTTGAAAATCACCACTTTCAATCTCACCTTTGTCATGGAGGATCACAAGGTGGTTCTAAGCAACCCTCCATCTCTTACCCTCAGCCCAATATAACCTTACCTCACAGAGAGTTGCTGTGAAGATTACTGTGCTGCAAACTCTAAAGTGCTATATTTAGGTTCAATAGTAATTATGGTAGTCTGACTTCCGCTGGACTGCCCCCAATTAATTTCATGTGATGAGGAACATTTACACAGCTTTGCATTCAGGTTTCTAAAGTCTTAAGTTTCCAACAAATTGCTTGCAAGTGCTTTGGCTTGTTGCAAAACTTTGTGGGGCAACACAGACTACTTCAGAAACCTCTGAGCACTGAAATCCTTTGGTTTAAGGCAGGAGTCAGCAAACTTTTTCAGCAGGGGGCTGGTCCATTGTCCCTCACACCTTGTTGGGGGCCAGACTATATTTTTGTTTGAGGGGGTGAATGAATTCCTATGCCCCACAAAAAACCCAGAGATGCATTTTAAATAAAAGGACACATTCTACTCATGTAAAAACACACTGATTTCTGGACCGTCCGCGGGCCGGATTTAGAAGGTGATTGGGCCGGATCTAGGCCCCGGGCCTTAGTTTGCCTACCCATGGTTTAAGCTGATGCGTGTTCACAGAGTTCCTCCAAAAAAGTCCACGTGGTTATTATAATAGTCTAAGTCAGTACAGCCCAGCTGAAGGCAATGTAAATGAAAATACAAAACTGCTAAAAAGATGAGTTTTGCAACCCCATCCATTTCCCATTGTCTTTCACAAGTATCTTGTAAAGGGAGAAACCACTAGAAAATATACCACATTGTCAGTGTATTTTCTTGCTTTCTCCCCCCTATGGTCACACATGCAAGCAATTTCCTTCAACATTTGCAGCTTCTATACTGGTTGCAATAATTAGTATCAGTCCCGATAAACATTGGGACCAAAGAATGCCATGCCCATGCTACTTGTTTCAATTCCACTGAAATTTTGAAACAATCTGAATTTGAGCAACCAGCAGTGGGTAGCATGCTTTATTATCTAACAGAAAACATATATCTAAAAAACATCACTACCATTACTACTGCTGTAACAGTCTCTGGGGACAGAGGATGTAGCATAAAGGCTAGTGATTATTCCAGCAAAATCTTAGGCACTTACTTCATCAGTAGCCATACACTCAGATATGTTCCTCCACGGAATGGTGGAATTTTCCTCCAGCAGCCACGTGCCCTCCAGTGTGCAGAAGCGGTAAACTTGCCCTATCCAAGACCAGAAAGCACATAATGATGGAAGATGACATAAAACAAAAGCAAAATCTAACCCATTATTAGTATCAACCAGCAGAAAGCCCTAGCCTGGTACTTCCCCCGACAGCTTTCAGTAATGTATATTTAACCATAGTACTGACATAGAAGCAGTTCAAGCTGCTTCTAAGACATTTTAAGATTCTCATGTTACATATCTGTATCATGTTACATATCTCATGTTACATATCATGTTACAAAAATGTAACATGAAACCATGGCTTGTTTAGGTAAACTATGGATTCTTTTAATGGCTCAGTTTTCACAAACATGTATCTTGGCTTATCAAGCTGAGATATGAACAAGCCTTGTGTCTGTTGTGCCTCATATCTCCTCCCTTCTTGGAGATTCAAGTGGACTTATTAAGCTGGGTCCTGAATAGATGGGAAACAAAAGCAGACAAGCACTGGTTGTCTGTTATACATGTAGATGATCAAACAATGATATGGTTCTTAACAATGGTTTGCACAAAACATGGATTTGCTTTACATCTGAACCCAGCCTCTGAGGCTTCAAGTTTAATGAATTTTGACACTGATTGTTTTTCTACTAGAAAAGTGAAGCAAGTTCATTGTACGTTTTTCAGAAAATCGGCAAGTGACAACTCCATGGATCTGAACTCTGTAACTTGAGAGTGAACCTATTTCCTGAACCACATGGCTTTTCTCTTAGAATAATTTACATCCCACTCGATAGAAATTAGCATTTGGTTGGCATCCATGTCAGCAAATAAGTTACAATCTAAATGTTCTCTATGGACAATGAAGAAGGCACTCTCAGAAGCCAAGAGGTAACCAAAAGATACTAAAGTTTGTTGCTGCCATAGTAAACACAGAAATAATCTCAGATAATTTACTTAAGAAAACTTAAGAGTTTACTTTTTAAAAGTGGCATTACCAGAATTTGAAGTTCATTTATTTTTATTTATAAAAATATTTATATACCGCTATTCATAAAAATTATTAATGCTTCTCCCAGTTGAAATCTCCCTTTGGCCAGGAAAATGCAAGTTTTGCATTCATACAAGCCCAGACATTCCACAAGAGCTTCAGAAATCTGAATCAATAAGTCAAAATGTTTATCTAGACTGACTGAACCACAAATGAAAAGACTCCTTCCATTCATGGAAGGCACTAAGATCCAGCAATGACTCCTTGCTGGAGGAAGAAGTAATCTTCCCCAATTCCCCTGTGCAATTCCTGTGGCCCCCAACGCCTTGGAGAAAAAAAATCACCTCCTCAGGAACTCTGCTAAGTGCAACTCTGGTTCCAGCCAATTTGATACTATTTTCTATGCTATGACTACGTCTTTATTTTAAAATATGCATTTCTTAGCTTGTATTTAAATACATTTTACCTTGTGCAAAACACCTAAAAACAATTGTTTTTTGCTTTAAAACAAATGTCCTGAATTTCACCAGTCACCAGAGTCTTCCTTGTTTTGTGGGGAGGGGACACATGCTGAGTTGGTTCTGGCATGTCAAAAGTGGCCAGGATTTAACAAGACGGGAGTTATTCAGAACACAGGAATTCAAAAGGCATGTCTGAATGCTGTATTAGGTTGCAGTGGCAAGGATGTGTTTCATAAGGTGCAACAAAGACAAAAAAACAATGTCGCACACAGGCCGTAGAGTTGTACAAAATGACACAGTGTATACTTGTCTTTATGAAAGTGTTTTTATAGGTGAGACAATGTGCTGCACCAGCTATTACTCTGCTTTGATCAAAACAGCTTTATGTTAATGTCCAATTGCCATCACCTTTCTTCTTCATGTGGGACCTTATTTTTCCATGGAAGTTGCCTCAAACTGGAAGAAATCAATAAGCATTTAAAGCTTACACAAAAGAGACCAATATTCTAAAAATGATGCTGTAAAGCTGCACAATTAGGCCAGGGCTTTGCTTTATTTCACATTCTATGTAAGATGCTTTCACACAAAAAGTTAGTTTCTTAGAAGCGATAGCCTTAATAGAGCCTGTTTGCTTGAATTCCATGTCAATTACACCTTATTAGTATTAAATGTTTAAAGATATGGACTGGTGCCCAGAATCCAAACAGTCCCTGTTTGCTGATAAAAGACTGAGAGGGGAGGCCAATAGTTAGAACTGGAGTTAATGTCATCATTTATCTTGTTCTTGGATGAGCTTGTAAATCAAATCAAATACTACATCTGGCAAAACACTTTTAGATATAGGAAATATGTTATCACATGCCAGGAGGCTCACAAATATTTCATTAGCTAGCTCACTTATGCTGGAAATAAAAAAACAAATTAAATGCTTCCCCCTTTAAAACAACCAACCTGATCTGCATTTTACTACAGCTGTGTGTCAGGAATGGTGGAAGATTAGTCACCCAATTGTCCTTTGGAATAAATTGCCACATAATTTATCTTTGAAACAAATTACATCATGTCCTAGCCTATCACATTTTACCCAGACAGGGAAAGACAAGCTGAGGGAGAGGAGGCAGAGAGTAGAGTTTCCCCTCAGTGCACTCTGCACACGTGTTGAGCATCGTAAGTTGTCCCAAATTTAATAACTCTTCTTAATTCTCGACAGGGGAAATGTTCTGGAAAAGGTAACAGTTTTTTTCCAGAAGGCAGTGGTGAATCTGCTGTTTATGAGTAATAGCCAAATTATTTGCTGTGGTAGATTGACTTGCTGCTCCTTGACAGAGTGGTTTGCCCTTTGATGGCAAAAGATAATATATCCTAGCACAAGACTTTGTTCTTTGAACAGTTCCACTCAACCAGCACAACCTAAATTTATCAATCACACAGGCAGCACATCGGCTTTCAGCAACCTTTGTTTCATGGGCAAAGCAAGTTTCTATTCATAAAAACTTGTAGTCTGTCTCCCCATGGAAAACAACAAAAATAGTCTACAATGACCTTTTATTTCCACCCTTAGTTCCCTTTGCACAACGATGGCAGAATAATTTATAACAAAGTCCTCTAAAAATGATCTTGAAAATAATATGAAGCACTTTAGAACACACCTGTACCAATGTGAAAGAAGCCAGCTTCTATAGGTAAATACTAAGGCACAGTAGTGTTCATCTCAAATTTCTTCTATAGGCATGGGAAAAGTATTGAAGCTGTACAGTCATTTCTGAGGTAGGTATAATGCACAATGATAATATTCAACATGGAACTCAGTATCAAACTTTTATTCAAGTGAATCTGACTCCTGTTGTCACACCAGACCTATGCCATGGCATCTCTGTTAGTGCAATATTTCATGGATACAGTATTTTTTCCATTATGGAAATAAACCATTATTTTGTGTGGCTATACTTCTGTGGAACTTCTGTAAATGTACCATTACACATGCCCCATATTCAATCAGGAAGACATTTCAGAGGTTTCAGTCTGTACCTTGGATTGGATTCCTTTAAATAACGTCACTGCAAATATATTACATTTTAGTGCTATACATACAGGCTGAGAATAAGATGGGGGTTAACAGCATTAGCTCCAAAAGATATTGATTCCCATCAGATTTCCAGGGGAACCCCAGCACTTTAGCATTTGGATCTTCACAGACTGCAAGTCACCAGCACCAGTTGTCTACTGTTCTTTTATACTGCCAGACCTGCACATACAGACATGCATCCTTCAATGATATCACATCCAACCAGGTGAGGAAGGAAGAAATGTATGGCCACTTTTGCCTTACTTATGTTTCCAGCTCTCTAGTTCCAATGGAAACATATTGTCCTAGCTTATATTACAAAAGAGAAGACTTGACCAAGGAACTAGTCTGCCCATATTAGCAGTCCTCCCCTTCTCCATATCCCAGTCTTTCATCTCTAGAATCACAGGGTTGAAGAGGATCCCACAATGACACCCAGCCCAACCCAAATCCTTTAACACTATCTTCCCTTTGATATCTCTTCTAAAGCAGGATTCCTCGGAGGCTTCAACATATCCAGCAACTCCATCTTCTTAACCACCTGTTCCAAAGCATTCAAGTGATATTTTTATCTCTGGAGATTACTATCTAGTTACTGTTTCTACTTATTTCCCATTTTAAAAAATCAAAATGCACAGAAAGTGGGTTCCTTCCTGTGTCTAAATCCAAATAGGTCTGTTGTTGTTGTTGTTTAGTCATTTAGTCGTGTCCGACTCTTTGTGACCCCATGGACCAGAGTACGCCAGGAACTTCTGTCTTCCATTGCCTCCCGCAGTTTGGTCAAACTCATGTTAGTAGCCTCAAGAACACTGTCCAACCATCTCGTCCTCTGTCACCCCCTTCTCCTTGTGTCCTCAATATTTCCCAACATCAGGGTCTTTTCCAGGGAGTCTTCTCTTCTCATGAGGTGGTCAAAGTATTGGAGCCTCAGCTTCAGCATCTGTCCTTCCAGTGAGCACTCAGGGCTGATTTGCAGTTCACAGCCTAGCGACTCTCACCCACCTGGCACATTGTAGGAGAACACAAGTTCAAAGAAGGTTCTGCATTTGTATTCATTCAATAGGGACTTTCCCCTTGCTTAATTTGACTCCAGGGATGGTGATAATCAAGCTGCTTTCACATATGCAAAGCCAGGTTGTTTCTTGCAAAAGCAATTATGCTGATTGAGCACTTGTTCCTGCTCTTCCCTAACTCACTTCAGGTTACTCCAGTTGTCAGGAAGCAAAGTAAATTAGCCCCAGAAGTGTAAAATGACTCTGGAAATAAGCCAGAATCTGCTGTCATTATCTTCAAGGAAAAGCTATAAAAAGTGGATTCCCTCATAAACATGACGCCATTAAGGATTTTGCTCTCGCTCAAATAAAATTTAAGGTGATGAATAGAAATTCTAAAAGTCAACATTTGGAACATGTTTGGGGGATAAAACTTTTATCTGCAGCACTTTCAAAATAAGTAGTAGGGACCTGTGCCTCTTGGGGACCATTTGGCCTATAACAGAAAAGCTCCCTGGAGGATCATCGTCAGTAAAATGCAGGAATGTGAAAGGGTAACAATGCAAATATGAGTCATTGTGCAAAATTAAACAGCCTGTGTGCTTGATGAGAGGCAAATGACTCCATTTCACAAGCTTAGCACTTTGCAACTTACGACTATTTTGCAGAAATGAAATTATTAATAATTTATAAAGTATTTACATATTTTATGTTCTTTATCTTCTTTGCAACATTTACCTTCTCAGGCATACTTATATTAGTACCATTTAAAATACGAGAAACATGCTGAGATACTCATCTATGCTGATAATTCAACTCAAGCGTGTCGGGCGCTCAAGCTCCACGCTTCAAAGCAAATCTTTACTTTATTTAACATAACACAGAATAATCTGGTTCACCAAACTAAGCGCAGCATGCCAGCTATGCATGGCAGACCACTGGGAGCAAAATAAGCCTTCTCGGTCTCTGTCTAACCGAGTCTGCAAGCATATCGTGGTAGTGATGTCAAACACCTTAAATGTAATTACATGGAGTTTGGCTATCAACTCCATCTCCACACTCAGGACATAACATGCAGGAATGTCTAGCTTGTATTGCTTTTAAATGTTTTTCTGTAGTTGTACACTGCCCTGATGTTTTGCAAAAGGATGGTATATATATATAAATAAACAAACTTAATATGGGGGCTTACATAAAAAGAAAAGGTGATGTAGTTCAGTATTCATCTATCCTGTGCCATATAGTAAAGGCTTAGGCAGTAAGTGGGATCAGGGAACCCAATGGCTGTTTCATTTAATTTATTAAAATATATGAAAACCACTGTTCATCAAATAGGTATCAGGCCAATGTACAAAACAAGACCAAAACTGTCATAGGGCTGTAAAACTATCAAATCAATTTTAAAATGCAGTGATGCACAACAGGATGGATTTAAAAAATGGGACAGAAGTCTAGGCAAACAATTTTTTGTTTTTTTTAACTTGGCACCAAAAAGCCAACAGAGATGGTTTCCTGTTGGGGCACCATAACAGAGAAAGCTCTCTCCCTTGTTGACACATAACATGCAAAAACCTATTACACTTCAAGCAGCAGATTTTAAGACATGGGCAGGTAGGTATACGGGAGACAAGGTATTTGGGCCTTGAAGTTGTTCAGGACACTAAAAGGTTGAAACCAACATCTTCAATTGGGCCTGGAAGCAAACAGGCAGGCAGCGCAGCCTCCTAGGGATTAGTGTAAAAAACATCCTATCCAGCCCCACCAGATGTGGCTGCTGTGTTCTGCACTAACTGAAGCTTCTGAGTTGTCTTCAAGCACAGGTCCATGCACAATGCATTATTGTAACCCAGTTGGGGGTCCCAGATCATGGACCACTGTGGCCAGGCTATCCTCAACCAGGAGCCGTCATAGCTGGTGAAGCAGCTGAAGATGGGAAAAGTCACTCCAAGTCAAACAAGCCACCTGGGTCTCGATCAAGCTAACTACCTGCTTTCTCAGGTAGAACTCATTGATGACACCACACTCCAAATCCCTGTATGATCTCATCTAGCAGCTTCAAATGTTCAAAAGCAACCCCATCCACCAACGCTTTCTTTGGAACTAGATAAGTGTGCAACCAGTATTTAACCATGTCTCCTTTCCTCAATCCAGAATAATAAGTCCTGTGGACACAGTTCAGAAAAAAATAATAATTAAATGGGTTAGAATCAAAATTATCTTTGTACTGCAGGAATGCTTCACTAAACACCCAGTTGAAACAACGGCGCTACTTGCATCCTGTACATCTAGTAAAGCCTTGACCTGCCATGCATTTTGTTCAGAAGTAAGGCTATAGTTTGAAGCAACACATTCTTGCCCCTGGCTCTTATGACCAAGCCATATGGACACATCGTACCAGTGCTCCCGAGGCATACCCGTATTTTTCGCCCTATAGGACGCACCGTCCCATAAGGCGCACCTAGTTTTTTTGGGGGGGAAATAAAGGGAAAAAAATTATTTCCCCCCCAGGCGTGGGGCTGGGGCGGGGGAAGCCCGAGCTTCCCCCGACCCCAGCCCCCAAACAGGCAGCTCTCTGCAAGCTGTGGGAGCCCAGCGCTGGCTCCCGCTGCTTGCGGAGAGGTCCGTGAAGCCTGGACGCGCTGAGCTCAGCGCGCGCAGGCTTCAGCATGCAGGCAACTCTCCGCAAGCACCGACCCCTCTCACTCTCCAGGCTTCAGCGAAAGCCTGCATTCGCCCCATAGGATGCACACACATTTCCCCTTCATTTTTGGAGGGGGAAAAGTGCGTCCTATAGGGCAAAAAATACGGTAACTATGCTGCACCAGTCTGCAGCAAAACCCTGTGTACTCCAGAGGGCATAAGAAAAACAAATGTGGTTACTGCACCTATAACTCTTGTTTGGAACTTGCGTCCCTGGAAGACTTTCTATTTAAGAGGATTTAGGGCCATTAGACAATAAATATTAGGACCCTGAAGGAGTCATAAAATGTAAAATGGATTACCGTAGCAACTCCAAGCTTTCTTGGTCTACACAGTGTTATTGGCAGCAGGGCTTAAATTATAAAATGGTAACAAAAATGAGATTACATTCCCAGTGACAGTAACAAGAGATAGATACCCTCTCTGAAAGAGAAAGCTCTATTTTCCTGAGGACACGATATTCTTATGCTCCTTTGCACTTGCAGTGATTCCTTTTTTTTTTTTAAATTGATATTTATTAAATTTTCAAAAAATGACAAATAACAACAAAAATTTCCAAAAAAGTTTGAACATACAAAAAAAAAACAAAAAAAAACAAAACAAAAAAATACAGAAATAATAAAGAAGAAAAAACCCAGCCGCAAAAAAGAAAAAAAGAAAAACAGAAAAACAGAAATATAAAATCCTTTACGATCTCCATTAACTTCCTTTCTAGACTTCCTCCTCCTCCCCTCTCTTGTTTCTTAGTGTTTAATTTTTACAGCAAATCCTTTCTGTTTTTCATAACAATCTATCATTGCGTTTCCTTGTTCTATTTTCCCTCTTGTCATATAAAAACTTTAAAACTCAAAGCTTATATTCCATATTTAGCAAATTCTTACATCATTACCTTTTTACAAACCATTTACCAATTCTTACTTAAGTCATATAATTTCATTCAACATCCTTCAAACATTTATAAACATTCCCAATATTAAAAAATAAGAAAAAAAAATAATAAGTCAGATTCAATCCAGTCAACTTCCAGCCTCCCCTCCCCTGGTCCCGGGATTGTCAGTCCTTTTAACCTCAATAATCCGGCTCTTTAACCTGGTTGTCTCGTGTCCGAGGCCCTCAAGTCTCTTTCTTGCCCCTTTCGCCACTCTTGTTGATATTTCCCTTTCAGTCGTGGATACTCCAGCAAAAAGATGCTTTTGACTCTTTGCAGCAAGTCCATCCCAAACCCATTACCCAAGCCAGACAGCAGATAATACCACTTCCAATTTCCAGAAAACTTAGAGACTTCGACTTCTCGAATCCTCTGATGGCCCATCCCTAGACTCGGAAAGTCCAAATAACCATATAGAGGGGTGTCAATCCATCCCCCCATTTCCAAATCTGACCGCATTTCATCTTTCCGAATCAGGTTTGTCCCAAGTTCATTTATCAAGTTCAAAGGCTGATCTTGCCCATCCATAAGTCCCTCCATCTCTGAAGCCTCCGTCGCTACAGCAGGTTCATAAACTTGTATAGACTTTAACTGAATTTCATTTGTTTGCTGCTGTGCTCTGGTGACTTCCGTCATCATCAAGGTCGACTCCTGGCGCATCTGGTCCAGCTGGGCACTTAATTTTGCAAAACCTTCCAGGAACACTTGTTCAAGCCTTTGTACAAGCATTGTCCTTCAAGGTCAGAAAAAATTCTTTCCCACGAGAATGGTCCTTCTCTTTTTAAACTCTCTGCATTGCAATTTCACTCAGTTCCACTAGATGGAAAACCCTTTTTTTTTATTTTATTTTTTAATAGGGGAAAAACAACAGCAACCATCTTTCTTTTTCCAGAAAAACTTTATCCAAAGTTCCCCTTTCAAATTCAAGAGGCAACAGTAGAATCAAAATGTTACCCTTCTTTTAACTATCTGTCGAGCTGGATAAGCTTCAAAACGTCAGTTCTGACAGCCCGCTCCTGGTTCAGGGAGGTGGAAAATTACTTTATTTTAAACTCACTTCCGCAGGATTGAAAAGATCAAAACAACCCCCTTCTTCTCCTGCAATCAAAAGGGGGGATTCAGAAATCTTAGATGTTGAATTTTAGTTCTCTCAGAATTTAGTTTTCAGGCTTTAGTATAATTTGTCTTTGCTTTCTTCACGTAACAAAAGAACGGAAGGCGACTTCCTGTTTAGACCTTTCCGTTCCGAGTCCCAATTAAATTCAATTTCAAGTTCAAGTCCAATGTTATTTATTTATTCACCAATCTTAAAAGTAGTTCAGCTCTTCCAGGATCAGGTACTCACGGATAGATGTTTTAGATGCCAAATTGTCCAGGAAAAAGGCAGCGCTCTCCGACACCGGCCGGGCGGCGTTGCTGCACGGAGGAAGCAGTCGACTCACAGCACCACGCACCTCCCACTCCGGAGCCCGTTACCGGGCTCCTGTACAAGGGAGAGAGCGCTCTCGGTGCCCGCCGAGTCCCACGCCCACAGGCTTCTTCCGCCTGTGGTTTTTGAGGGTCCCCGCTGCGCCGTAGCGGCAGGACCCAAGCCTCCGTGCAGCGGGTTCCCTTCAATTCGAAGGGAATTCCGCCATTTTCCGGAGGCGCCACCCCGGAAGTCTGCACTTGCAGTGATTCCACCGAATGCCAGAAATTGCCTCAGCATGGTTGAAAAAGGGAAGGTAAATTTACCAGTGCTTGATTTACCACTGGGCAAGTTTTCTACATTTAGCTCAGGAAAAATCCCCCACCTAAAAAGACCTGAAAAAGTGAGCCCCTGGGTATTCTTCCTACTCACTCGAGGAAGAGCAGAAATGAAAGTATCCTGGATATTGATAAGGTTGGATGTTATCTCTAAGAAATTAAAAGCTGTTTATAGGCTTCATAGAGATCTTCATTTTTAAAAAAAGGAGCGGGAGAGCAAGGCAGCTATTATTTAAGGACAAAAGGGGGTTGTAGGGAGAACAAAAGCCAGCGAAAACCAAGCCCCTGAAGAGATGAAAAAGGAAATGATAATCTCACTTGGCTACAATACGGAAAAATAAATTTTCATCTCACTGTCCTCTTCCTAGAGTTTCTGCCAAGCTTGATGTGTCATCTGCCAGCAAAGCTCATTTTGGGGGGTGGGAGGGGAGGCAGGGGTGTCCTGTAGTTTCTATCTTGAAGTGTGAAGTACATTGAGGGTGAACAAAATCTGTGATTCAGGAGAAACAGCGCAAATCTTCTCGTTCACAGCAAATATGAATATGGGCAGTGCAAATAAGGTAAATGCCCACATCGTAAAAATCTCTAAAGCCAAGCGCTCACCAGTGGGCCATGCAAGACAGGCTTCGCTCCTGTTGCCAGATGTCTAGGCCCACTAAATTAACCGCCAGTAATAACTACACAGATTTCTGTTCTTTTTAAAAGCAAGTGATCGTGTTGCATGATTACCAATAGTGATAGCTGTAACTAAACTCTAATCTGAGAGAGCTAGAAACCTCTTCATCTGCATGGACAATGAAAGCTGATGAATACAACACGAAATAGTTCATGACTTTCACCCCTTAAAGAACTGTGAGACACCTGACTAATTTTGACCACAGCTTCTTTGGCCAAATTGACAGTCTTAATTGGGCTCCACTTGACAGAGGAAAACTCAGGTGCTGGGAGCCAAAGTCGACAAAAGTAGCCAGTACTAACAAAGTATGCATCATGGTAAATTTATTTTTCAAGCCTTTGTTACACATAGGCAATTAATGGTTTGTTATACATTTTCCGAGTTCAAGTCTTCCTAGGTCTGCTTGCCCTCATAAAATTACTGGTTTAGATGCTAATAATCTTGATACTTGACAGAAGTTCAGCTATGAAGCTTTAGTACATGTATTCATTTTTGGCCAGCTCTAATTGGCCAAAATACTTGAAGAGAAGGCTCTACAGTTTTTATCTATTAGCTGCCTTGAATCCTTGTCAAGAAAAAAGGCAGGGTATTAATTAATTAAATTTTAAGGAGTGGCAGAACCATTAGCTCTCTCTTTGCACTATTATTCTACATAAAGGCAGAAATCAGAGAAGTAGGTGGCTTTAGAATTATGCAGCTGCTGCCATCTTGGGCTATGTGAAATGGCCTGACTTTTGCTAACTTAAACAAATTCTTATTTACAACAGTTTTAGTAAGAGTTCTGTCTAAAAGGGAATCCATTATGCACCCTCACTTAATGAAAAACCTAACCTAGTTTATCTGGTTACATAATTTCTGGAAAAGGATTTAATGTCCAGATTAGCAAAGGAAACGCAAAAAGATTTTTTCCCATATGCTGATTAGGTTTTAGTACAAGGAGGAAGACCACTGACCCCATCACATTGCTGCTGTGGTAAGGTTTTGGGAAGTTAAGTTTATTCATTATTTTATTTATAACAATATTCATACACTGTTATTTATTTATTTATTTTGAAAATCAGAGCATTTACAATAATTACACATAAAGCTATACAATAAAACTATATAAAAAGTTAAAATCAGAACTAAATTAACTATTATGGAAAGATATATTCTTAATTGTTTGTATAAGTCTGACGGGATACAAAAGTTTTCAGCAGGCCTTGAAAAGTTGGGATAGAAGGTGCCTGCTGAATCCCTTGTTGACATTCGTCTGTCTCAGGGGACAATAGAGTGTGCCTTCGGGGTGAAGTCAAACTGCCGCAATTAGCAGCATCAAAGTGACCTCTCTAGGGTACAAGCCTGGGCAGTGTGTATGGAGATCCTGGGCTGCTCAGATGACAAGACCCTACTCTTGGCCTCACTGGCGCGGTCCAAAGGAAAGGAAAGCAATGCGTTGGGCACCAGCTTGGCTGCAGGAGTTGCCGGAAGCAGGCATGCAAAGTGCCGTCCAACTGTCTTAGGGAATACACTCTGGATTTGTGCAGGGTTTACTCCTTAACCTTTTCTTTTCCCAAAGCTATTATGCAAGGCAGCATCGGTTTAGGATCAGAGTTTTCCTTCTCCTAGATGGGCTACCTTTCTAGGTTGGTGAGCACCATCTACCCCTCACTTCTCTCTTGAGACTGGGGCCAGGTAGGAATTTTTCCATTTGACAGATTGGCCCTGGCCACTTGGTTTTCGCCTACCTCTTAGTAATTGTCACAACTTTGTAAGGTTTGGCGGTTAGGCATTGGCTCATTGACTTGTGGGGGAGGGGAGGTCGGCCATCGCCTGCCCCACCATTGACCAAGGGTATTCTGTTGAAGGCCTAGATTCTGTCCGAAGTCCACTTGAGGGGCTAGGGCCATGCCAGGCCTCTGGGAACACCAAGGAGAGCTACAGGCGGGTTCCCCCGATGTAGCTTCCTCTTTTAGTGGTTTATCATTACTGACTTCCTGCAAAGGGGGCAGGAGTCCAATATAGTCCTTTGCCAATACCTAAGCCAATACCGCTCACATTTGCTGTAATCAATAAAGTTGTGGCCTAAATTTTTGCCCATTAACCTTAAACCAAAAATCTGTGTCAGTGTGAATTTTTATTCTAACGGGGGCTGGCTTGGGGGCCTTGACACACAATTGGTCTCGTCTGCTCAATCCACAAGAGCATGTGTTCACATGCAGGGAAAGTCCCTAACTCACTGAGGATTTGAGACCTATCAGCTAGACTCACCTGGTTTAGCTGGCCAGTTAAAGCTGTTTCCTAGGGGGTGGCCACTGTTGCATGCTGATAGCTTCTAGGAGCCACACGTGGGAGCTGAGTACAGGGTGGAGATCAAAGGTGGACAAGCTACCCCAGAAGGAATGTGACGTTTCTCCCACCAGATGTACTACCCCTCTCCTAATACAGAGCCAGTGACACAAAAGACTTGGGTTCTTGTAGTTATCAAATGAGTCTCGCCAACTTGGGGAATGATCATCAATGCCGCTGCAGATTATCTCAGTGGCTGGGCTGGAATATAAGGGTTCAAGCAGTCCCTGAGGTACCCTCTACCTATGTTGTTCAGGGCTTTGTAAATTAAAACACTTGAACCTGATTTGGTAGTGGATGGGCAGCTGGTGCAGATGTTTCTACAATAGTCTCACGTGTTGTCAGCAAGATGCCCCTGATCAGCATTCTGCACCTGCTGGTGTTTATAAACCCAAGGGCAGCCCCACATAGACTGCATTGTAGTAATCCACTTTAAAGTAAAAGTATGACGAGATTAACAGCACACACACACACACACACACACACACACACACACACACACACAATACTACACATCCATTTATAATGGAGGAGACCAAGGATTGCCACAGCCCATCATCAAGTCTATTGGGACAACAAAGAAAAATGAGGATATACTATAGCAACAGGAATGAGAGGATTATAAAGCTTAATTTGTTTCCAAAGTGGTTTGCAATCCTTTAATGAAAATTTCTGAAGAGATCCAAATGTTAATGTGTTTTAAGTGAAAATTGTATTCTACCCCAGGATAATTCAGCTTTTGCTTATTTGCAAAAGTACATGAAAGATGCAGCACATTCTGGTAATTTATTGAGGTACAGGATTATGGTAAATCTTGGCTTTCTCCTGCAGTGATGATTTTTAGTGCTGTTAGCAGCCAAATGACTGCCACCGAGTCCTAAGTTGGAAAATAAATAGGTTTGCTGAAGGGAAGGCATTTAATCCTGCATGTAGGTTATTAGATAAAGGGGGGGAAGAATTATTGAAAGGAGTTATAGAATGTTTTATGGGCTCTTATATCAATTAATTGGGAAGTCAACAATTTTGCACATTAATACAAGCAAATTTTTAAGTAGCTGTAAATAATGTATATGTTTATTAATGATTGAGAAACCGATAAAGAGCTTGTAAATTCAATTTTCAGATGACCCTAAGATAACAGTTGCTAGCAACCAAACATAATACAATATGAATACTCATGCAAGAGAGAGAGAGGTATGTCAGAAAAAAGGACTTCAAGAAAGAAATTTCTTTCCCACCCATACTCAGCATAGCGCCCATCCCACCCCACCCCACATTTATACTGAAGGGATCTTTGGAATTAAAACCGACAGTCCTGAACCAGTCCATACGTCAATTACCTCTTTGCTCGAGTAACACCAAGTCCCAACGTATTTCCCACCCTACATGACCCAGCACCTAAGTGGTAACTACAAAAAGGAGTTGTTGTGTGTGAGTGTGGGTGTGATTAATTAGGTTCATGCAGACCTGCTCATGTTTCTGGCTTGCAAGGCCCTATTGCTTGCCACTTATATTTCCAGGATCAAGTTGGCTTTACACTGCACATGCTTTTACTGTTATACCACAGTGATGCTTGCACTCATTGTTCAGAGAGAAGTCAGACATAGCTTCTGGGCACATGCAGAGTTCCAGATGAACTTGAGCTTGCCTTTAGCAAATTTTGCACGTTAGTAGCTAAGAGTGTCGAACCACAACCAAGAAGTGCAATATTCAAGTCTCCCCTTGACCATGAGGCTCAGTGGGTGACCTTGGGCTCTCTCTTGGCCCAACCTACCTGTTTTTGAGGATATGATGGGAAGTGAGAATCATGTCTTTCACCTTGAGTTCCCTAAAGGAGTGGCAGAATATACACGCAACAAACATATAAATAAAATTAGCAGGCTGGTGGGAGAGAAATTGTGTATACTGGATGTTCTTCAAAGATAGGAAAACATACTTACCTGGGCTAGGTGATGGAAGATACCAAGGGCAGCTCATGTTCACGTAGGTGCCAGGCAGACCATCAGGCCAGCATGCATATTCATCAAATGTCCTGTTGCAGAACTTGCCTTCTACAGATAGAGAATATTTGGAGAGAAATTGGAAGAAAATGAAGAAGCAGCTTTATGAGGTTGCATTGCAAGAGTCCAGGTTGGGAGGATTTAATATTAGATAGGTACCCCCACCCCACCCCCAAAAAAGATCTAAATCCATTATTTGTGTCTTACACCAATCATCAGCCGCAATGCTTCTACAGCCCTGTTCAGCAACTAAGACTGAACAGAAACACAATCCAGAACCAAGTGTTGTAATAATGACAGCCCGTTCCCTAATAACACCCCACAACACATAGACACAAACATTGGGGGGGAAGGAGGTAGGGAAAATAACCATTCTATCTTTACAATTTACTTCAAGCTGCTAGACAGCTACAACTGTAAGTTAATAGCATGACTCAATACAGACTGCACAAACAATTCACAGCATTTGTTAGTGAAGTTCTTGCCATTCTGTTTATTAATTCAATATACTTCTATCCCCTTTATTTTCTATCTTGAAACTCATGGGGTTCCTAGGTGGTCTCCCATCCAGATACTGACCAGACCCAAATCTACTTAGCTTCAGCAAAGCAGCTGTGCCATGTGTCCTCAGCTTGTTTCTTGGGTCCTTGTCGCTTTCCTCATTGAATCCCTGGCATAAGGTGATTGTGCTTCACCATCAGCTCCAATTCTACTTGCTAAACGGCTAAGTATGACTTCAGTGGTTCTTCACCTGTCTCAGCTGACCAGCAACTTGGTCTTGAATTGTTAAGATTATCACTGTAGCCTATGGAAGAGGAGCAGCTGCCATTGAAGGTATTATCCTGGTACCAGATATCCTGCTTTGTCTGGTTTGCAACACATGTCTCTGGCATTGCATTTGCTAGTTCAATAACTCAACATACCTTATGTATTTTTCTCAATACAAATGATCTGCTGTCATGCTCTTAATTCCACACAATACACACTGACACATTGCTGAAATACTCACACAAAAGCCCACCAATCAGCATTATAGCTTATTCAACACGCTAAAGGCTCAGTTTCAGATTTATTAAACCATCAGCCTAGGAGTGTAGTGTTGGCTGCCTAGCAGAGCAAAGAGAGATTAATACCTTCTTACTATTATTGCTACCAGCGAGTGTCATTCTCTAATGTTACAGGGCAATTCTAAGAAGAAGCAATGGAAAAATCTAATGCTTTGTTATATATGGGGGGGGGGTACAGATCAAGTCTTATCCATTCCAGTGGGTTGGGACCAGAACATTTTAATGCTGCAGGCTTTCTTTTTCAAATTACTAGGAACCAAATGACCAGAAACCTGAACTTGTTACAGTAGGTTGTGTTTTCATTCATACAATCAATCTTTCATAATTTGGATCTTAGGCTGCCTCCTCCTGATATGGGCATACACACATTTAAAACAATCCAATACAGCCTTCTTCCATCTGCCTTATTTCATCAACGTTATTATAGTGGAACAGGTACATATTCAGCAAGAGTGTCCCAATCTGGAACCCTTTTCTGATAGACACCTGCCAAGTCCAGTTTTAGAAAGCCTGTTAATACATATTTGTTTTACCAAGTAATTTTAGCTGACTAAATTACTCCTACCACTATGATGCACTGATACTGTATACTTACAGTAATATATATGTTTAATATTTGAACATTTAAACTTTTAATGTAAGCTATCCTAAATGCCTTTAATTAATACAATACCAATATGTGTGTTTTTTAAATATATATATATAATGTTGTCTTAAAACACAATCATTTCCCTTCTGAATGCAGATAGCAAAAAAGGGGGGGACAGCTTACTGAACATTGTAATGTGAGGTAGGAGAATTCCTCCCTTGTACATGGACCGGCACCCCCATAATAATTATGGCACACACTGCACTGGAGCACCCAGCAGCAAAAGTTACAAGTACATGCCTAGGTGGAGCCACTCCACAATTAGTCTATCAAATATGGGGGGGGGGGATGCACTTGATGCCCACTATTGTTTTTGTTTCTGACTCCCTCCCACATCCCACACAATATCCCCTAATTTTAATCAGACTATTGACCCATGTAGCTCAGTACTGTTCATTTAGACCAACAGTGAGTCTCCAAGGTTTCAGAAAGACATCTGTTCCACCACCAGCTGAAGATAACAGGGATGGAACCTTTTGTATGCAAAGCAAGCTCTACCACTAAGCTACAATCCTTCTCTTCTAGCTGGGTAAGGCTCACACTCTATAACTTAGCAAAATTCATTCCCTTCCATCGTTAGGAACTTGGCCCTTCAGGACACTGCAGACCAGGTTGCAGAAACTAATAGGAAAGGGGAGATGATGGAAAACACATTATGGCCTATAAGAACTGTAGCAGTATGCAGTTAGGATGCTCTTTGAGAGTGCCATTTGTGCTGAGCAGCCTTACCTGCCATAAGAGGGGGTGTTTCATGGAGATACTCCAAACACTGGAGCCGATATTCTTCCCATTTCTGCTTCAGTGAAGGAAAGGAGAGCTGGGGTCTCTGGAAGGAAAGAAAATAGCATCTCAGATATGTTGTTAACCAAATCCAATTATTTAGTGATGGGTTTCCTGGGACGCGGGTGGCGCTGCGGGTTAAACCACAGAGCCTAGGACTTGCCAATCAGAAGGTTGGCGGTTAGAATCCCTGCGACGGGGTGAGCTCCCGTTGCTCGGTCCCAGCTCCTGCCAACCTAAGCAGTTTGAAAGCACGTCAAAGTGCAAGTGGATAAATAGGTACCGCTCCAGCAGGAAGATAAACCGTGTTTCCATGCGCTGCTCTGGTTCGCCAGAAGCGGCTTAGTCATGCTGGCCACATGACCCGGAAGCTGTACGCCGGCTCCCTCGGCCAATAAAGCAAGAAGAGCGCCGCAACCCCAGAGTTGGCCACGACTGGACCTAATGGTCAGGGGTCCCTTTACCTTTTCCTGTGTATTAATACATAGTAAACAACTTTACATCATGGGATCAAACTCCCCAAACGAGCAACAGCTCCCAAGCGTTAGGAACTAGCATGTAAGGAGACCAACCAGGTGATAGGTATTCACTGAAATATTTTGCATTTTTGGTATACAGTAAACTACAAGCCCCCTTTTCCTGCTTTTAGAATCAAGATGACACTGGCAACCACTTTAAGCCAATGCTCATACTGGCCTCCCTCATAACAACCCTCAATGCTTTGTTGCTTGACACATTATTTCTTGTTGACATCTGGCAGGATTTATGAGAATTATACATTGTTTTCATCACATAAGGCTTTCAATCTTCTGTAATAAATGAGCTGTCCTTTCAAAATCACACTCTAGCAAGATATGCTTTTTGTGAACCCACAACAATGCCAATACTAACCTGCCCCTCTGACAATGGCACCAGGGCCCTCATCCAAGTTCACTGGTTATCACTAGCCCCAGACGTTGAAGACAACCCCTTCCCCATTGCCAGGCTCCTGCCTACACAGACAGTCAGATACCCCAACACCCCTCCATGCGAAATTAGTGAAGGTGGAGAGGCCTCTCTGGCTGAGACACTGTGCAGGAGAAGCAGCTTATGCCTCCATGCTTGGGAACTTATTGGGTTATAACTCCATGAAAGGAGAAGCCTGAGTACAAACAGAAGCAAGCCACTGTGTTTATCCATGTACAGCAGTGGTTCCCAATTAGCTAATTACTAAGGACCCTCCTATTTTTCAAAAGCCAAGCCATGGACCCCCTACTTTAGAAAATCTTGCTCACTCTGTGGTATTTACCTATGCAAAGCAATTTTTTGAAGAAAATGTGGGGTAGCCCCTAAAAAGATAATGGTTTTAAGTATACTATAAAAAAGACCATCGTCCATCACCAGACAGTAGGAAAAACTTGTCTCCATTTGCTCCACTACAGCTGAATTTAAAAAGCAATTGTGTCCCTAACTTGCAAGTGTTCTGTATGGAGAAGGCTTTTTACATGAGAGAGTATTCAAACATGCTATTGCTTACTTGTAATCTGAGTGGGTACATCTTAGCAAAACTTTGCAGCATATGGTTCTGCTAATTGGGGAATCTTGCACCTTCAAGACATAGGTGAAGGCTTCGTCAGGGCTTGATGAAGTATTGATGAAGAATGAGTAGAAAACAGCTGGAGTTTTGTAATGTTGGTAAGAGGAGGAGGAGCCTTGAAGAAACCAATAAAATTTTCATTTGCATCGGCAATGAGGAAAGATCAGGAAAGGGAGAAGAAGGCTGAAGAGGGACCTATACTATTGAAGGTGTGACTAGCCAGATTTGTGCCTAATCTCTATTTAACAGTCTCTAGTAACCCTGGTAGTAGAGGAAACACAGGGTGACAGAACAAACCTTTCCAGTTAGACATTCCTAACATTAAGACACATTCCATGGACTAGAGGTTTTTTTTTCTTGCTTCTACCTCCCCACCCCCCTTTTTCCTTTTGTGTAATGGCTTTTAAACTGTGAGCTTGAAGGCAGGGGTTGTCTTTTTAAATTTTAAATTATTGATATGTAAGCTTTTATATCTGAGGAGCAAGGTAAAGAAAATATAAATGTTTAAATAAGTTTGGTAGGTATGAACACATTTTGGTACATTTTGCTGCCTTCTCATGTACCATCTAAAACAAACGTCCATAAAACTAAATTATGAACTTAAAAATTTACCATCCTTTAAATAACTAATGGCCCATCCAAACCATCTTCAGTAGTCTAGGCTGGATACTTAAGAAGAAGTCATAAAACCATCAGCAGGAACCTCATTTTGCAAAATCTACAACAAAGCTGCTGAAATGTCTCTTGACCACAGTTGTTGATACAAGTCTATACCCGCAAGCAGAAGGATTAACAACCCTTGTAGTTTTATTTTAGCAGTTTGAATTGAAAGTTTGGGGAATACTCTGTCTGCATATCCATATTTTCCTTTTGGCAGGAAAGAGTGGGGAGGGTATTTGGTGGAATAAAAATCCCACCTTCTTTGTATATAATTACACACATTTACGTTTGGTTCCAGATATTTGTATTCATATATAAACATACACCAGGTCCCAAAATCTGAAAGACCTCCATGAAGGCTCAAGCATAATTCTCTAAATTTCATGCCAAAGTGCGTAACATACGCATTCATCTCTTGCTGCCCTCATTCTCTTCCATTACTGCTGTTCTTACTAGCAAAACTTATATCAACCTTGTACTTAACTCTTTGTCTGGTAGCAATACATGAGCAGGGGGTGATCAGGATGGCAATGGAGGCACAGATTGCTCCATCCCTTGTTTGCATGGTAGAACGTAATTTATTAGTACCCTTCTAACAAGGTAGTACCTTTCCTTGCTGCCAGCCTCTTAGCATTCTAGTAAATTATTTTTCAAGCTACTAAGAGAAGCTAGTTACAAGAGATTGTGATGGCCACCAACTTGTATGACTTTAAACAAGGATTAGACAAGTTCATAGAGTAAAAGGCTATACTGTAAATGGCTACTAGTAATGATGGCTAGGTTCTACCAACACTGTCAAAAGCATTTCCAAGGCATACTGATCCATTTCCAAACCATACTGGTTCTGATCTTTCAAGCACTGAACACCTTGCTATGTGGCTAACTTGAGAACTGCCTCCTCCATTCCAAGCTTAATTCTTTGATCTTTTTTGGATTCCCTGTTCTGCATTCACTACCAATAAGTTATTATGATTTCTTTTGAGAGCATATTGAAAAGGAGGATGTGAATGTAATAAATAGGGACACGCATAGTTGGAATTTTAGGCATGAAGCCCAATCCTATGCACATTTACTCAAAAGCAAGACCCACCATATTCTACATAGTGGAGTACGCTAATAAAATGGAAGAATGCAATGATGCACTCAAGCTAGGACTTAAGGAATTAAGAACCATTAAAGCCAAATAATTTGAACATACTTCTTTTTTTGCTGCGTGGTGTTATATTTTCCAACACAAGTCAGAAGCAGAGGGGGAAGTCAGGAGAAAAAGCAGCAGTTATTTGAGACACCTAATGGAGAAAAGATGGGGGGGGCTGCCCTTCTGTGACAAACAAGCCAATGGCATTATAAACCATTATGTTCAATCACAAATATGCTCTCTGGGAATCATAAAAGGGAATGCAACCAACTTGCCTGCACACAACACACATGTTTATTAACTGCCTTTATTTGTGCAGTTTTTAATGGTAATTACAGCCTTTATCTTGTCGATGCAAAGCTCCCTGGTCTAAATCTAATCCTTGGCAGAATAGCTCCTGCTGGCACCTGTATTTCACCCACAGATCCAACTCAGGAATTAAAATTCAATAAGTGTAGATTTATATACAAAATTTGTGTGCAGGCTTAGCTTGTCTAGGAATAAAACACAGCCCTGCTACTCATTAAAGCGCCCTGACATGGATGCAACTGCATGAAATCATTTTAGTGTAGGGATATATTTATTTATTTTAATTTAAACGAATTGGTGAAAGTAGTCTTCTACCCAGGGTAGGTGTTTTTAATACCTACTATGGACTACTTGAATTGTGATACTCGAATTTTTATTTATAAATCCAAATCATTCTCCCAGACACTTTTAAGTAGGTATTTTTTGTATGCAGGGAACCACACTTGGATCACTTTGATGTTACTCAAACATACAGTACCACTATGAACACCACTTGTGGAAACAATGGCATGCAATCCCCTTCTAATGTTTAAAAGTCTACCAGATTTCCATTAACTATTATACGAGCTAAAGCGGAAGTATTCATTTCAAATGTACATTGCAGAATGCAATTTTGAGCAACTATCTGCATAGCACTCCTCATGCTAAATGAGTAACTCATAGTAAGTAGCCCGTTCTCCTCCCTTTTTTGCTCTCTCGTTGGCATTATTGACATCTCATTAATTGAGACCCATTGCACAAAGTGATAAGCTTTGCTAGTTTTTCTCTTTCAAAATACAGTGCTACCTTTAAGAAATAAAATGAATGCTTATTATCTCCTTAATTTATAAAAGACAATTTTAATTTTTTTGTACATTTTTTTCTTTAAAGAATACTTCATATGGCAAGTCTGTCCACCTACTAACCAGAATTAGATACCATATTTGTAGCAGTTTTTATATACTACGACAAGGCAGGTTTTGGAAAAGTTATTAGCAAACTGTAATAAGAAAATAATCAGACATGTTCTCTTGTAAGAATGTCTAATTTGTGGGATTTGATTTAAATAAAAACATCCTATTCCAGTAAGCCAGACAAATGAAACCCAAAGGGTCCATAATTTATTGGCTTAACCACATGTGCACTTCGTATAATGCTTTCAGACACTATACAGATGTTAAAATCCAATGTTTTAAACTTTTATATTGAAATATATAAAAGACAAAACATATAATAGACACTACTTCATACAGGAAGTATATATAAAAATATATTAATGGAGGAGAGAGACAGTGAGGGAGATACATTTTCATTATATTCCAATGATTTATAAATAAATCCCACATTATCAACAAATCTGATGAGCATTGCTTAAGTGGCTCCTTACTGACAGAAGCTCACTGTCAGTGAAACTATGGAAGGCCCTGAAAGATTTCTAATAAAGTGCAAACTATTTACCTAATTTGCTGGCATTCGTCAAGCAGGTTAGATATTGTTAACTTATTTCAATGTAAATTGGGCTTTGAAAGGGATTATGAGTTTGTAGCAAATTAGGTGTGACTCATGGGTAGAGCCATTGAAATTAATGGGCATGGCTTAAGTCCACTGATTTCAGTGGGTCTGTTCCAAGTATAACTTAAGTTGGATATAACTCTGTGTTTTATTCTGGTTTTTACTACTGCCTGGTAGCCACACTGTATCTCTGGAGAAATAAGCAGATTACAAAAAAATACAAATTAATCAAATCATTGCATGGAAGATTAAAAAAATAATAATAATTCATGCTGCGCTAAGTACATACAAACATCATATTTTAAATACATTTGGCACTGGCAGAGATAATCTGTTAACTCAACCATCAATGAAAGGCTGCTTCACTGGTTATAAAATTTATACACAGCTAATACCTTGTAGTTTCCTATCCTCTTCAAATGCAGTGATAGGATATATGCAACCTCAGCCTTCCACATGCACTGTGACTTGAAGATTTTGTATATCACATGGCAGGACAGAGTTTCAAACAGAGATGTGCTCTCCCAAGCTCACATTCGCAGCATGTTCACACTCCTGTCTTAGCACTGTCTGCACTGGCTTGGTCATTTCCACAGAATGGAAGATGGCAGGATCCCCAAGGACATGCTCTAGGGGGAGCAGGCTTCCAACATCTGGCTTGTGTGCAGACCAACTGTGCGTTACAAAGATGTCTGCAAGCTGGCAACATCAACCACACCGTGTGGGAATCCCTTGCAGTGCCTGGAGACCGACAGTCAGGTTGTGAATTCATAGCAGTGACTAGAGGAGGAATGACCACTGGGAGGAATGAAGAGAGAAGAAACACTATGCTGCATCTGCAGCAGCACTACTGGATACCTTCATCTGCCCCAGCTGCAACAAAACATGTCTCTTCCGTATTGGTCTCTGCAGCCACAGCAGACCCTGCAACCTTCCAACAGCTGGACTTCATCCCCTACCCCAAGTGCACTTCTCCATTGTCTCCCAAGACAACGGATGCCAACAACAGCTCTCATCATCTCTGTTTGTTAGCCATGATGGTTGTGGCTAGTTGGAGTGCAACAACATCTGGAGGGTCAGAGGTTCCCTGTCCCTTCCACAGAGCATTGTGTAGTTTGCAAACACTCGGTTTCCTGTCATTCTCAGAGGGCATCTCAGTTTGTAACATTCCCACATAGGAGGGTTTCTTGGTGGACCTTATTCAGCAAGGTTTTCTGGAAGTCTTGAAATGTTAAAGGTTCAACAGCTGTTGAGAGCCTAAACAAATGTCAGGTTAGAAGTTCTGTCTTCTGTTTATTCAATCCTTTTACTCAAACCAGTTTATGATGCTTTTAAACTTCCTGACTCAATTAGTGGATTTCCAAAAGGTTTGATGAGGGCTCAGAATGTGTCCTGACTGAAGGAAACGTAAATAAGGGGTGGGTGGGGAATTCTAACCAGCCTGAAATATATAGCATCTGCTCATGCAAGCAGAAATGAGACCCAGTCACACTGGTTTCAGGCATCACAATGCTCCCTCGCGATACTGAATAACAGAAGATGTTTTGAATGTGTATTTCGCGAAGATGAGCAAATACAGCAAAATGAAACTATGCAAGCAAGAATAAAAGACGCTGTGTGAGTAGCAGTGGGATGCCATCACCATGCAATGCCATCAAATAGATGAGACAAGTACAAATTCGTTCAAATTGAGCACGGCACATACAACTAACTCATTTTGACAATATAATTAAGTGCAATTAATCTCTGGATAAATTACCCCACTCAACAAAGATCTGAAGCAAGCATCAAATGTACATTTCTTGACTGTAATAATCATTTGACTTTAGATGGCAGCCTGAGTGACAGCCACACGAAGCACACTTGGCTCATTTAAAAACTTTTAAAAAACCCAACACTGTTCAGTATCGAAGAATGGATTTTAAAATTTATTGATACATTGTATGCAGGGAGGTCAAAGTAAGTTGCATGATTCTATGAATCCCCTACCCATTCCCCAAGAAAGATGCAGAAGGGTTTGTTTCTTTTCCAGAGAGTTGCTTCTTCCCTGCTCCTAACACACTTAGAATCAAAACAAGCCAGGAGGAAGCCAGAACCTGGTTCATTCTTAATTGCAAACCTTGGCTAATGGTTTGTTTCTCTCCAAACAAATCATGAGTAGAAACTACAGTTTGTTCTTGGGTTACCATTCATGGTTTGTTTGGAGAAAAAGAACGTAGGTTCTTTTAAACTATGTTTTAATACTGCGCACGCAGACGAAGCCATAATCAAAGCAAGGTCCACAAATGTTTTGGTTGGTTTCTGAAATAAAGTCATCTCAGTGGAGACACTATGTGCTACTGAGCAAGTCAGACAACCATGTTCCCTAAAAAGCTTAGTGACCTTTTGCAACCACCAAACAACAACTTCGGTGGTCTTAGGCATTCTGAAAGAATCCTTCATTAGAATACTTCCACAGTTTGGACCACTGAATATATAAAAACAGTCAATGGAAAATCCATTAAGTGTCCTTATCTGTTTGAAAAACCTAGTTCCTGGAGCTCCATCTTGTGGTAAGAATGCAGAGATCCCTTACTCACACCCTGCAAAACACATAAAAAAAGAAAGGAACAGCAGGGCAACTACTTTAAAGCAAACAGAGCTCAGCCGGCAATGACAGAATAAAGAACTTCTTCAAGTTGCCAGTGAGGATTTCTCCTAAATTTCAGAATTCAAAATACTGTACTGTCAACTGTTATTCTAATCATTAACTTGTGTAGTTTTCATCTAACTTTGAAGCACTTGCAGAAATAAAAACTGCAATTCTGGTGGAAAGTATCTACTTATTGGATGACTGGATTATGACATCATCATTCAGCTCCGGGGGGGGGGGGGGATATACGCAGATGTTAAGTTGGGTTTCCACTTCTTTTTTCATAGCTTTGCTACCACCTTACGATGATCAAGTTGCAGTCTTTAAGGTGGGAAGAAGATGGGGGCTCTATTGCTGAACTGGACTCACCCTGCATCTTTCTTGCCTTTCTTGCTCAATCTGCTGTCAAGATTCAGGCCACATAAAATATTGGCTGGCCACAGCAGACCTTTTGAGAATGAGACAGTTGCAGGGCGTGTTATGGTTCTTGTTCCTCTAACCAACCCATTAATCAACTGTAAGCAGTTATGGAACCAATATTGAAATCTGAGCATTAAGGTTTCTCTCCATTGGGGTGTAATTTAAATCAAGCTGGTAGTAACTGAAACAAATTCGGGAAGGGCTCTTGCTCTCATGAGGTGACCAAGGAATCAGAGGAGCATCAAGTCATGCCACAAACCTTGACAGTAACCAGAACAGACCTATAAAACTATTAGTTCACAAACATTAACAGAAACACATTTAGCATCATGGAATGAGTCCTTAGTTGCCATTAAACAAGGATTGGAAGATCTCAAATTTCTCTAGCTGCTGCAGTTCAATTGGGAGCCACACAAGTCCAAAATTCAAGGGAAGAAGATCATCACCTTTCTACCCAGATAATGGAAAACAAGACACATTTGCTTCACTTGTAGTTGCTGGCACTCTATTAGATTTCAAAGAAAAGTGTTTTCTCAACCTTTATTTCAGAGTAGTTGGGAGATATTGTGGTGGCTAGACTCGTGGCTTGCAAAATATACTTACAAAAAAAGCATAGCCGCAGTTCCACCAGTCAGAGATGGGACCAGATTGTGGGGAAGGGGGGACAATTGGAAATAAAAGATTAAACTAGGAAAACAGGAAATTAGGAGGCTATACACTAGGGATATTAGCTATGCAAATCTTTTCCCCGTAGATTTAGCAAATTGCATCATATACAGAACACCAAACATAACAGCTAAAGTTGGGTGGATTTACCTTATGATTATTTTTGTTCCCATGCCTCAGCCTAGAGCTATGAGACACTTGGGAGCATTATTTTGCTTGCATCTCGTTTCCCCTCCCCACCTCCAGATTCTTCCAGAATTAGTGTGATTAGTTAATCTGTTGATGCACAGCTGTATTTCATGCCTTGGTTCTGTTTTGGAGTCATGTTTCTTTTAGGATATTTCCTTTAACTGGATGAACCCAGGAACCAAATTAATATTCCCATAGTCCCTTCTAATATTGAGCATTTGGCAGATCTCAGTTTGCATGCGCATATAAATGTATAGGGAAGAGGTGGTGGTGGTGTGATCAGACACCAAGGGGAATCGGGCCTGTGATGGTGAGAGAGAATGGCAGTTTACTGACCTGCTCCAGCCAAATGTCCTGCTTCCTCCAAAAGAGGTTTATCATAGATTAACTCAACAGCCAACTCAAACAGAACTTATGCTGCTGTCACCAAAGGCGTTTGTTTCAACTTCAAGCCAGGGAGTGGGGTACGGAAAGAGAATGATGACACGCTTGGGCCAAGTGCTCACCAAGGGCACCAAGACACAACAGCAGAAGCTTCTGCAATGGTGACCTCTCAGTGAGTGATGGTGGACCCTGTGGTGGCAGGGGTTACGAGAACCTGAGCTTGACATCTACCCAGGCTGTATTACTCACTATGTCAGGCACTCTGGAGCAAGAAGAGAATTTTAACCCACAAAGTATGAGCCTATTGATAGCTAACATCTATAGGTTGTGATCAGAGGATAAATCCTGAGACACTGACACAACATAACTCCGACATTGTCTTATCTTGGTCGTCTCAGTCACTGAGGCAGCTATAGCAAGTGTCACTGTGCCCAAGTCAACAGCAGTACTAAATCAGATCGTATGTATTTCTCTCCAAAACAGAGTTCTGAATATGCCGGCTTAGGTGCCCCTTCTCTCAGACTGACTGCATATGCATTCGGTGCAAGCCCATATTCCTAAACAGATAAGGATTGTACAAGCAGAGAAAAAACTAACGTGTTCCTGGAATTTGGCTACCTTTTCAAAGATATGCAATGATATTGCTAGCAAGCCACAGGTGTATGTTGGGAAACTGTGTACGTACAGCTACTCACACAGAGTCAATTAAGGTTTGGCAGACAGCCAGAAGGCAATCTGAAGGAGTAAGTCTGCCTGGAGATAACAGAGGCATGGAGACAGCTCCCTGACTGGTCAAGCTCTCCCAAGGGAGTGATAATTAATGGTCTACTAACTGGTAGTTCAGGAGTTCAGTTGTTCTGTGTCAGTGTAGGAGTTGTGAGTCATGTATGAGAGAGCTAGCTAAAGATCCGTGTTCTGTTCCTGAAAATAGTCCACTGTATATAATAAACACCTAACTATAAGTTCCTGGTTCCTGCTTCATCTATCCTGTCTGCAGCCAAGTTGCCAATTGCTTCCATGGATTCTGCGTTTACTCTGCTAGGTCTGGCTAAGGTCCTGCAACTAGTCAGAAAGTTGCAAAACACCAATAGGTTTTGCCAGTAGTGTATCTGTATTTATACCCAGTCATTACCATCAGCCCATCTAGCTTAGTACAGTCTGCACAGGCCAGCAGCAGCTCTACAGGATTTCAGACAGAGGACATTCCCAGCCTTAACTGGAGCTGTTGGGGATTGAACATGGGACCTTCTGCAATGAGGGAAAATCAAGTTCTGTGCTGTGAATAGTTGCTAGATCATTTCCCGTTATTAAGAAAATATTTTTAGTGCATAGGATCAGAGGAGATGCAAGACACCTGAAGAATGCCATCCCCAACTTGCTATCCATGGGGTCACAAGAGTCGGACACAACTAAACAACAACTCTGTGGCAGGAGTAGCTCAAACCTCCCAGGGACTAGAAGGAAGAAGGATCCATATTCCAGTTTCGTCACTAAAGAATTATCCACTTCTCTCCTGCGAAACTGGAGAAGACAGCCACACATATCATACACAGTCACTCTGGACAGGGACTGCAGAATTTCTAAGCTTTCTATACCTCTCTGTATATAGTTCAAATGACTGCTTTTTGACAAATAAGCTAGATTTTGAGCAGAAGAACAATGTCTAGCAGAAGTGTAACTTTAATGATCTCATTCAAATAGTGAGAAATTTAAATAATCTGGCATGCATATGCAAAGGAGCTAGCCAGCTGGTAAGCCAAGTTCACATTTAAATATGCATTGCTAACTGCTACATATGGATAATTCTAATTAAACCAAGAAGCACAGTTCTGTTCGGAATTTCTGATTCCCAAGATGAACACTGAAAAGTTGACATTTATTTCAACTATTTATTGCCCACTCTTCGTTCTAACAATCCCAGAGCAGGGTACATAAAAGGAAGACCCAGCATGCACAACAAAACACAGATATATCTCTTACGTGCAACAGCAAAAAGAACTGGAACAATAATGAGCAAATGGGCTACAGGTTGCTTGTGCTAAAAATAAACATAATTTGTTATCTAGCAATAAATCAATACTATTTTCAGTAACCATTCTTAGCTATTCCAGAAGAATGGGGGTTTTTTAGGTAACTTATACCAGCCTTCATTCACAAGGATTAGGAGGAAAAAATGTTGAATCTTAAAACTAATATTAGAGGTTAAGTGTCAACTAAGGGATTGGCTCTTCTGGACAGACTCCAGAAGGGACGTGCAACTAATTAGAAACACTGATTTCCCCCCTTGATATCCAAGAGGAGATGGGAAAATGTCATATTGTGAACTACTGAAATCTCAAGATCTAGATTTTGTAACAAGAGATGTTTACATTTCCTTGGGCTATATGTATGCATTAGCAGAAGTATAGGGTTATTGACAACAACAGAGAATGAAATAAAAGTTTATCCCTTTCTACAATTATTGTTGTACAAAGCCTGAACTGAACCAACAACAAATATAGGTTATACTTTGTTAAAGCGTGTCAGTCAAGTGTAGCTGGTAAACTTGCAACCTGGGGATTCATAAGGCTAGCACTATAAATGGATAACCTCTGCAAAATCTAAAATTCCTGGCAGATTATTCCAAACAAATATTTTATTTCGAGAAGGTGGCGTTTCAGTTGCTCTTGTTCAGTACAGATGTTTTAGCAGCATCTTTTTAAAATGTATTTGTAGACGTATTTCTGGTTATGCTAACCATGCAGAAGGTATCCAGAGAGCTAAACTTCACTCAGGAGTTTAAAGGAATCCATAAAAGCAAACTGATAAGAGGTCGCAATGCCACCCACTTCAGATTTCCTGCCCACACACCTTCTTTGATCCTTTTTAGCCAGCAGCAACAATAGCTTAGTGCAGTTCAGAAAATGTCATTGTTTCAGTACAATGCCAGAGAGCCCAGAAGATTTGCATGCCTGTTGAAGGAGAAAGTGTACCTTTACATTCCACATGTGGAAAGGATCTTTGAGAAGGGGGGAATATATTGCATATTTTGCTCTGGGCACCCCCCAACAGGCTATCCCCTCTTACGCTTTGGCAAGTGAGAAACATGTTTAAAAACTGGACAGGCGCCAATTTGGAAGTTCAATACTTCTTTTATTTTTATAGCACCATGAATGTGCATTGAAGAGGAGGACAGAGGAGAGGCCCCTGCCTTGCGGAGCTTACAATGTAAAAAAAATGGCACAGAGAAAACAAAGGAAGAGGAGGAATGTGGAGGAAGGGAGAAATGGGAAAATGAGTTCTCAGTTATACATGACTCTTTTATATATGCACACACTTAGGGCTTGGTTACAGAGTTACCGGTAGTTGCCCTCCAAGTGTCCCTATTTTCCAGGGACAGTCCTGGATTTACAGAAGCCATCCCAGTTTCTGATTTGATCCTGGAATTTACTGCTTTTCCTTAGAACATTCCTATTTTCACCAGAGAAAAGTTGGAGGGTACGGAGTTATGTGGCCCCCGAGCCAAGGAGATAACTAACTATACAAGTTACAGTACTTTAGAAGACATCTGAAGGCAGCCCTGTATAGGGAAGTTTTTTTTAACGTTTAATGTTTCATTATGTTTTTACATATGTTGGAAGCTGCCCAGAGTGGCTGGGGCAACCCAGTCATATGGAGAAATGTTGGAGGGTATGGCAATAGCGGGCAGCACAGTGGCACAGGCAGAGTGGCCAATCAGTGCTGAGCTCCCTGTGGCTCTCCCTTTTGGTCACTGACATTAACAGTACTGGGAAGCCTGGTGAACACTACCACCCTGTCAACCACTACAGCCCATGGGGAATGGGCACTAGGGGACTGAGCCAAAATTTTCAATAAAAAGGATGGAGAGAATTCATTATTGCTGTTTTATTTAAAAGTTCACATTCCAATAAAATAAAGCCCCAAAGGAAAATCTCACCACACAGTAAGTAATTCCTATAAGCCTTTTTAGATTATTATTTTTTCCTCCTTGCCCACTGAACGACCAAGATCTATGGAGAACCATAAAAATTGCTTGGCATGTTTTGCCTAGAGAGAATTAAAGGAGGCATTTAATTGCAGTCTTCAAATATCTGGAGAGATGTCCCACAGAAGGACCAGACTTGTTCTCTACTACTCCAGAACAAAAACCAAGTCAATGGGTGGAAATGGAAGGGAAGAAGACTCTTGCTAAGCATTAGGAAAAACTCCCTAAGAAAAGCTGTGCAGAAGTAAAAGCAGTCTGCCATAGGAGCTTTGCATTTTTAAGCAGATGCTGGATGGGCTGTTGTTGGGTCTGCTGTCCTTGCACCCTGCACTGAGAAAAGGGTTGGACCAAATTACTTCAAAAGTCTCCTCTAACTCTTGAAATTCTATAATACCCTTTGTATAATGATCTGTGTGAATGTGATCATTTGGGCTCATTATAGGTAGAGTATCAAAGAGAGAAGAGGAATGCCCTTTTTGTCCTCACCATCAACTTACCAACTCTTCAGGTTTCAAGTCCTCAAAACGCCTACAACAGGTGTGTGGAGGGGGAGGCAAGCCAATGGATGTAATATCCCTGTTCCCTCCATCATTCATTATTCCCATGCATCATCACGAATTTTCACATGTCCCCATTTGCTACAAAGAGATGTTCTACGTAGGATCTCCCATGAAGAAGAGTGTAAGAAAGCTGCCTTAAATCAAGTAAATAACTTATTTCTATTGCTATGAACCTAGTAACAGAAGTGAACCTGGTGACAAACAGAGACACACTCCAAAGAGGGAGGGAAGAGACTTGCTGATTTTTACTTAAATGGAAAGATTCTCAGAGCAGGGAAAACAGTTCTCAACTCTGTAGCCCCTTGTCAAATGACATTAGATTATCCTGCTTTCACTATTTACTCATTTCAGCCACACCAATATTAAATTGTTAAAAGTCTAAGTTAAACAGAGGACACAAGGCAGTAAAAGAATAATCACAAAGCTATTAAACATAATCTCTAGTATATAATTTCATGGCTCTTGCATCTCCTAATGGTAAGTGATTGTGAGTGAGGAATACGATTATGTCTCAAAAGCTGCAGTTCCAGCCGAAGGAAGCTGCTTATTTTGCTTTTAATTAACTATGGCCCAGGGTAACTCCCTTAGAAGCTCATTGTCACAGTGCTCAAGGTTCACTGCTCATTTATCCACTGTATTGATCAGCTCCTGTTAGCCATCCCTCCCATAATTGTTTTTAAGTGTAGTGGTGTTGCAAACACTCAGAAATAGCCTGGCAATAGATTTCAAGAAGGGTGCTTCAAGGGATAAAACTGCTCATAGTAGTAAGGGTGCTTTGATGCATTTGTATAACAAGATAACATAAGAGCTCATCCCCAATATAACAGATGTATATACTTTGACTTCCCCTCTGATTGTAGAAGAGCACAGCTGATATTTCACTTGCCTTACACGGGGGGCAAACGACCACTATATACACAGATCCATCCTTATGCTAGGAACTAGTGCTGCATTTCGTTAACTTGCCTGCCAGGGGAAGACAGCTAATCTTACCATCAATCTTAGAGGCTGTCGTTTCTCTCTACAGAAGCACCTCACTGATAAAAAAATATTAATATTTGGATGTACTTGTCCATTTAAGATGTTTTGGTTAGTCAGACACTTGCATGCTGATCTCGTCAAATGCATGGTACCACATTAACTGCCTAGTATTTTTCAATAAACAAACTTTGTAGTAAATAAAATATTTTGCTTCACTATTCCCCCAGGTACCCCTGGTTTATCTCATGGTCATCTGGGCCATCTGGGCAAGAAGCCAGCAATGCCATAGGCTTTCTATTGACAAATGAATAATCCCACATAAGCAGGCCCTTTATAGGTGGTGCACTGGGGGGGTAATTGCCCCCTGTGTCACACCTGGAAAGAGCCACATCCCTACTTGGAGAGTTTTGGTCAAGCAGTTTGTTATTGCTATATTGTTGCCAACTTTTAAAAGCAACAGATGGCAAGGAACTGCTGTTGGCTCCAAACACTGCTGCTCTCATCAACTGGGCTGGGCTCCTCCTCTCCCCTTGCAGAGATCCTGAGCTCCAACAGCCCTGTGTGGAACTGGAATAAGACAATCTTTCCTGGGGATGGTAGTTATCAACAGGATCCTGTGAGCTGCCTGCCTACTTGTTGCAGTGCGAGTGACAAGAAGCCACCAGATCCCACCCTAGTGGCTACATTACTGACACTTCCACAAAGGCTCAGTCAACAGGATGTCTCAGGAGGCACCAAGGCATAAGTTTTGAACTGAAAGCAGTTTGTTTCCATCTAAGCCACTGATAAAAAAAAGAAAATATAGTATTAAGTATTTGATACCTGGGTTTGCTTCTTTTTTCCCTCCATTCCCATCCATTTTTCCTTTTGCACTGACTGGTTATTCTTATTGGATTTCATGCTACTCTGGAATTGTGGAACTCTGCATGATTAATCTCAATAGGTGGTGTATATTTGTGTTTAGATTCTATACAGCTAGATACTTTTATATTTCCCTTAATATGAAAATGTGTCCAAAGAGAAAGGAAGGCAGTTACAAATGCTGGAGTAACCTGGGGAAAAACAGAAGTGTAATACTGGAGCCTTACCAAAACCTTAGGGACACGGGTGGCGCTGTGGGTTAAACCACAGAGCCTAGGACTTGCCGATCAGAAGGTTGGCAGTTTGAATCCCGGCAACGGGGTGAGCTCCCGTTGCTCGGTCCCTGCTCCTGCCAACCTAGCAGTTCAAAAGCACATCAAAGTGCAAGTAGATAAATAGGTACCGCTCTGGCGGGAAGGTAAACGGCGTTTCCGTGCACTGCTCTGGTTCTCCAGAAGTGGCTTAGTCATGCTGGCCACATGACCCGGAAGCTGTACGCTGGCTCCCTCGTCTAGTAAAGCGAGATGAGCGCCGCAACCCCAGAGTTGGCCACGGTCAGGGGTCCCTTTACCAAAACATTGCTTCTATTTCAACCCAGCTTTCCAACTAAATATGAACATTGATGCTTGTGGGCAAACTTCACAAGCCTTGCATAGATTTTAATTCAAGAGTTTCAATTAAAACTGAACCCTGAATCATTTCACAGCAACCAGCTGCATTACCTAAAATGGCACGCCAGTTGTCAATGATACACGTGCACTGAAGAGTCAACTTATCATCTTTGAAAAGTCAAAACTACGGAACTCGAATACAGGGCAACTTGTCAGCATGGGAAGCATGTAATTATCAAGTAACTATGCAAGGTTAAAAATCCAGTTAAGCAGTTTCCGGGGGAGGTGGATGAAGACCGGGTGGAGGAGTACCAATCCACAACCATCACTAATAGCTTTTCCCTCAGCTGCATTTTGAAAAGTGATAGTGTACTCACTAGAATTTTAACACATTTTTAGTCTGCAGTGTTGTGGATTGCTACTGGGACACACAAACATTTGAGTGTCTACATAGCAGTAGTTACATGGAGTGAAGTATAATGGCCAAGAAAGAAAGTCTTCATATACTATATAGGAATCTAAGGAGCATCCTGGAATAAGGGCTAGGCGTTTTGAAGTAAAAAAAAAAAAAGCTGTGAAATGTTCAAGGCAGTGCATTGTGTTTATTAACACAGTGCACACAAGTCCAGCATTGTTCATTGCTCTTCCTGTGGCCAGACTGGGCTTCTATATTCCATGCATTTCTCTGTCACTGTCATCTCACCATTGCAGTTCTTTTCATCCTTACACTAAGGTAAAGGTAAAGGTAAAGGGACCCCTGACCATTAGGTCCAGTCGTGGCTGACTCTGGGGTTGCAGCGCTCATCTCGCTTTATTGGCCGAGGGAGCCGGCGTATAGCTTTCGGGTCATGTGGCCAGCATGACTAAGCCGCTTCTGGCGAACCAGAGCAGCACACGGAAATGCCGTTTACCTTACCGCCGGAGCGGTACCTATTTATCTACTTGCACTTTGATGTGCTTTTGAACTGCTAGGTTGGCAGGAGCAGGGACTGAGCAACAGGAGCTCACCCCGTTGTGGGGATTCGAACCGCCAACCTTCTGATCGGCAAGTCCTAGGCTCTGTGGTTTAACCTGCAGGGCCACCCGTGTCCTTACACTACCAGTCTTCAAACTAATCTTTACCCTAATCTGGAATAAAGGCAGTGTGAATGGAATGGTGGAAGGGGATGGAGGGAAGATTTAAAATCTTAGATTTATAAATCAGCTGAGCCATTTGGAGTTTTAACTTACAGAGAATTTCATTTCCCAGCTATTTTCAGAGTACAATTGGGTGGAAGGAAAATGCAGTAACAATAATATTCTGAAAATTGAAGGACCTATTCAACAGCTAACACAGCCTTGTGAGGGGGACGGGACTTCATTAACCTTACCCTAGCAGCTTTGCATCTCCCACTTCCTATCCAGTTCTAGTCTTAAGCAAATAGGAATCCATTCACCTCTGCGGAATATCTAGAAAGAACCATAAACACAGAATCACAAATAAAGCACCCAACTCTCCTGAAAGAAAACTTTCCCCGAGAAATTAGATCATAGCCTTCCTAACAATGTAACACCCCAAGTAAACTTTCTAACCCATGGCTCATCTTTTGCTTGTCACAGACGGTTATTAATCCAACTATTAAAACTTTAAGTATCTGGAGATATTATAAACGCTGCTATAGATTACAGAAATAACCATTTATTCCACTGCATTTGTTCATAGCAGAAATCCTTGTGATTGACAACAAGACAACAAAGCAGCATCCAATTCAAAGTGACAAATCATTTAATAGTACAACTCAGTGTTTAAAAATCCAGATAAAAATCAACTTTATAAGGGAAGACAGAATGGAAACCTAACACAAATGTCATCAACACTTGATCCTTTGCTCTTTTTACGGAGATATTACATCATGCAGAGTTTCCAGGAGAGAGGTGCCTTTTTTCAGCCCAAAGGTGTTGTTCGCTTGCGGGTAGCCTTCTGTAAGCACTACCCATGCCAGTGGCAGGTGGGATCAGAGACAAAAGTGGGTAGGACAATGGGTGAGACATTTATCTTTGTACAGTAAGCTACATTCCAACCATGCCAAGGTCAGAGGTTTCCACCCACCCACAAACTCACTCTCCATCCAGGCAAGCAAGAGGCATCACCTTCATCACACTTCAAGGACACATTCCAAGCAGGATAAAGAACTTGAGTGGGATGCAGAGCAGGTCCAGGGATGCGGGGACCACAAACCTGTAAGAGCAAGGGAGCCTGTCTCTCCCATAGTTTTAAAAGCTGCACATTGTAGCAGGCAAGATTAACCTTCTTACTGTTCTAAATTTGAAAGAACAACAAATCTTCTGAAAATGACACTCTAAGTTTTAGTAGACTATCCCATTGTCAAAATATTCAAGTGAATTAGCAGCAACATAAGCCGCACACATTTATCCATATGCGTATCTGACCATCTTCCTAGGTTCATATGAAAGTCAGTACAATGCAGATAACACCTCTTTAAATTTAGTGGCCTATGCGAAAGCTATTTTGACAAGAAATATTTATGTATCTAGAGTTTTATGGCAGGTTTCTAAAATTAAACACTTTTTATTGCTGCTATGCATTTAATTATATTTGAGCGATCACCATCCTGTTATTTTATGGGACAATTATATAGTAAATAATCATTATAGCATAAACAGCAGTCAACCACTAGGTAAGTCGGTGGGACACATTAAAAAGAAAACGGGCCTATTTCTTCTCAGAATGCCGAGCAGCGAGAGGGATGGGGGGATGGGGAGCATTTAAGAGGCAAGCAGTTCACACAAGCAAATGAACAGGAAAGGGAAGGCAAAGAGAACAGGGAACAAATTCTTCCAGATGTACAAAACAGAGACAAGCTTCTGATGCACAGAAGGAAACCCTGGATGGAATACACCTGAAACTGTTTATTAAAACATTCAGTAGCAAGAAGGCAATGACACTAGATGTTCTCAGAAGCTTCTGTCCTTGTGCATGTATTGTACCTTGGAAGGGACAAGTTCTACTCTCAATCACTTGATCAACAGGACGCCTTTTAAGAAAATTAGTACAACTTATTAGCTAGTCAAATTTTTCTCCCACCATATCCCCTAGCTCGGTGTTAATGACAACGATTCATGATTACACATTAAAGCTGTGCAGATTGTGTGCTAAAGAAGAATTATGCTCCAAGGCAACCCAATCTAGTGCCATGGAGATTCAGTTCCACGATGGCCACATTAATGATGTAAAATGTCTATTCATTTGCCAATATATTTGGGGTAGATGTCATATAAAGGGGATAGAGAGGCCATGGAAATTGTAACAATTGGAATGAGATATTATTTAACCCCATCGCCCACAGTGTTCTTTCAACACTGTCCTCTCAACTCATCTTTACATCCACGAGAACCTGAAAGCTTTTTAAAGAGCCAAAATTTGCAGGATGTGGAGTTTTGCCCGTATCCTAATATTGCATAACCATTCATTCACCTCCAGTTTTGCCACTAATAAAACTCTGCAGTGTTCATTAAAAAATAATAATCCCCGTTAACTGTGATCTCAGAATGATTTTTTGATGACTGTAAAAAGCAATGAAATTGCGATGTCCACATTTTGGTGCAGCCATTCTGGCTGCAAAACAGAACTCATTTCATCATATATTGTATAAGTCTTTGTTCCCACTGAAGACCTAAAAAGAACATTTCATGCCAGAATTACCATCTCTTCCATCTATACTTTTCCACTCATTGCTAGGATAACTAGTTCTAAGGAGTACTTCCCTATACAGGTCCAGGTTATCTGAAAGACCACATTCCCTCATACAAATCTGCCCAGGCTCTACAATCTTCAGGGGAGGCTCTTCTCTCAGTCCCACCACCATCACAGGGATGCTTCGTAGGGACACGGGAGAGGGCCTTCTCAGTAGCTGCTCCCAGACTTTGGAACTCCCTTCCTAGAAAAATTAGATTGACTTCCTCCTTGCTGTCCTTCTGCAGGCAAGTAAAGGCTTTCTAGTTCCAACAGACGTTTGGGAATCGGCTGCTGTTTTATTGTAATGACTTGTAAGTTTTAAAGCAGATTTTATATATGCATATAGTTTTAATTCTGTCAATGTTTAACTGTGTTTTAATGACTGGTTTTTCTTTGGTTTTAGCATTTCCTGAGCTATTGCAGAATTTGGCAGCGAGGTTGCTCCCCGGGACAAGACAGTTTGATATTACACCGATCCTGGATAGACTGTGCTGGCTGCCAATTAGTTTCAGAGCCCAATACAAGGTGCTAGTTTTTAATCTACAAAGCCTTAAAAGGTTCAGGACCGCAATACCTCAAGGGCCACCTCTCTCCATATGAACCTACCCAGATTCTGAGCATCCACCAGGGCCCTTCTTCGTGTGCCTCCACAAGAGGTCTGGAGGGTGGCAATACAAGAACAGGAGTTTTCCGCAGTGGTTCCCTGCTTGTGGAATGCTCTCCCCTTTGAGGTTTGGCTAATGCCTTCATTATATCCATTTTGGTGCCAGGCGAAAATGTTCCTCTTCAAGTAAGTCTTGGGCTGATAAATATCCTATATCTATTTTAATGTGTTATGGGAGGGAAATTATTGGTTTGTTTTTGTTCTTATTTTTATTATGTATTTTGTGGGTTTTTTATATTCTAATTTTATGTTGTCAACCACCCTGAGATTTACTGGTATGTAGCAGTATACAAATTTAAATTAATAATAATAATAATAATAATAATAATAATAAATTGTAAACTGTCTTGAGTCCCATCAGAAAAAAGGGGGGGTATAAATAAATAAATAAATATATTAGTATTATTAATATTATTGCTCTGACTCAGCTTCAGCATAGTCTGCCACATTTCTAGCTCTAGAAATTGCGGATATTTTTAAAAACACTTATCACCTTTGTATCCAAGCACCACGCAGTTACATAAAACACATGGCAACACATTCTTATCCTATTCCCCGCTTCCTGTGTTCATTGCTTTGAATCTCTCCTACCACCTATTCATAAATTCCTATTAAGGGGGCATTTAAATTAACCACCAATTTTTCACACACACATGATAATCAACACTTTCACCAATTTCACTTGGGGAGGGTGGCAGTAAGTAGAAGTAATATCATTAAGAATCTGACTGAAGTCCTCTAACATGTGAAGAAGAAAAAACAGCAGTCGCTGAAATATCATTTCCAGCTTTGTTCAGGTAATGCAGGGGTCACTGAACAGAGAGTGACTCATCTGATTCCTTTGTTTTTCACATCCTGGCAGCTTTCTAATCTGCTTTTCAGAGCTCAACAGGAGCCAGAGAGTACGTACATACACTTTCATAGCATCTGAAAGATCGCTATGGCTGCTAGCCCACCATTCATTTGCTGGTTAATCGACCAGGATGGTGGGTGATGTTCCATCAGTGGGAGCAAATGGCAAGCAAGGGTCTACTGATAGCTAAAAATCACTGAGCATTTGTGGAGAGATACCAATCAAATCATAGAGGAAGTGACACCTGTCTAACTGAGCCCAAAACACTTCAGTTTTGCTATTGGAATGGCCAGGGTAGGGAGAGAGAATGATGGAAGATAGGAGAGCTCCAGGCTGGAACTGGTGATAAAGCTTTTGGGGTTAGAATATGCAAGTTGCTCTCTGGGGATGTTGCATTTGCTTAGTGGTGCCTGTTCCCTTCCACTATGATCTGACTAATTCTCCTATCTTCTCTCTCCTCCAAAGGAAACTAAACCCAGAACCTGGAATTTCTTCTGGTTTGGGAAGCAGAGAGCATTTAATACAAACAAAAGTATGCAGACCCTACATACCATAGGAACCAGCTCTTAGGGACCGTGGGGGCTTCGGCCCCCACAATAAAGTATTTGAGGGGGCCAGGCCCCCACAAAGTCAATGGGCATTCCCATGCAAATGGTGGGTGTGGGTGTGTGCGCACGCACTGTGTCATGTGATCGATTATGTGGGGCAGGACTTACCTGGCCCCTACAATATTTTATTCAATTTGGCACCCCTCCTACATACAGAAGTCAATAACATGTATTCAGACCTACACCAGACCTTTCTGGGATTACATGCGGGATGATTTCCCCCTCCATTTCTTACTTCTTAATTGCCTGATCCATTCTTCAGTATGTAAAAACAAACATAAAACCAATACCAAATTCAGTCCCACGGATTCAGTTTAAAATGTTTCTGAAAGGCTCCCAAGCAACAATACGATCACAACAATCCATCAAAAGGGGGAGGTTTGCCAGAAAAGAGTTTGATGGTCTTCAGCTGGGGCATTGGGACCTGCTACCAGGTCACAGCCTGATCTATGGTGGGTTGTAGAAGCACCATGACCCCCATAAAAATGTAAGGTAAAAGAAAAAGAAAATGGTTCCCAAGTGGTTTAAAAGGTGCACCCCAGGTGGGAAAATGGTGAAGACTACTTATATAAGTCAAGTTCAGCATGCACATTTTTCAGTACTTTTAAAACAAAGGCAAGAATCAATCTGAGATCTAAAACTAAGTTTATCGATGTGGAAGGCTAGGTAAGAAATAGCTATAGCTGAAGTACTTCACCCTCTTGGGCAGAGACTGCATGGAAGTCCTGTACTTACTGTATCTACTCTGTAGTAAGATCTACTCTGTAGTAAGCCCCAAGTTCAATGGGATGTACTCCCAGGGAAGTGGGCAAAGGATAGCAGCCTAAACAAAACTGCACAACTAAATGAATTGCACCACTACAGAATGAAATGAAAATTTTGAAGGGAAAGTGAAATTGCGGAACAAGAGTCCACTTTAGACAAGCGTTCTGAGGAATGTAAAAGTCAAATCTCCATATATTAAAAAACTTTCAACAATGAAAAACTGCTTAACAAAGTAGGAAGCTTTTAATTTTGGAGCCAAAGCAAGGCCATGTCTTCATTGCTCTATTTATAACAATATCGTGGCTAATATTGTTGACAGATGTCCCTTCCTTACAGGAATATTCTGCATGTCACACCACATGGTGCATTACACACATTTCTTTTATGAGATGAATGTATTTCAAAACAGTATTTCAACAATTGGCATGCTTCTCTGTTAGGAAAACGACATATATAACAAGCCACAAATCAAAAGTGTTGCTGTACTTTGGCTGAATGATGCTAACCTTGCTATCGTCCACAGCACCTGCAGTCCAGTTTTATTCAAGCCTCATAATGAAAGAGGCCTGTATTTAGGCAACACTATCAACTCAAGGGAATTTTAATTCAGGCAGGGGTGGGTGTGAGAGAGAGCATCTACTTCATTTAAATTGAATCATGTACTGATTATTTACCCCCTTGAGCAAAACAGGAAGGAGGCTGGGGACAAAACTAGAATTAGTTGGCTGGCTGGCTGTCATTGGCTCCAACTCCACCTACAGTTGACCTCCCCTCCTAATGCCCTACCAGTCCCCAACTGGCACCAGCCACCACTGGACAAACCTTAAATAATACACACACACAAACACAAATCCAGGCTTGTTGGTATCTGGTGCAGATCAGCATAAATACCTTCCCCTTCAATAAGACAGTAAGGCAGCCTAAGCTCCCTTCACAGATCCCCAAGTGCATTTAGAAGTGAAAATAAAATCCATTGTCAGACACAGAGAAGTTCAGTTCTGAGAACAGTTGTGGCCTTGTTAGATTCTCTTCCAAGTAGCAAAAACACTCTGTAGCCATTCAGTTCAAGATTGAACACTGTTTTTCATAAAAGGACAATAAAATAACACATAAGGGAGTGAGAACAATGAAAACATTGGGACTTTATAAGGGATGCACTAGTATGGGGCAGCCCTAGCACTCCTAATTAGGCTGTAGGGAATTAAAACTCTAAAGTCCCTGCACATCTCTCTTTAGAAAACCATTACATTGCCCAATTTAATTTAAGTTCTGTGCTGCTAACTGTTCAATTTGTTATCCGTTATAGAAAAGGGGAGGAAAAGAGCAAGAGTGGGAGAGTTTCTGACATACACTACAACAAAGTTTGCAAGAAATAAGAGTGGAAAGGGAGCGACAACAAAGTGGAAGCGTTCATGGGGATATACTACAAAACCTCAGAGAAATCAAGACCTAGAAGCAGTAACAAGAGGGGAAAACATAGGCATAGAAGATGAACAAACAGCAATGAAATTCAATCAGCAGCATTAAAGTGGAAATCTGAACAATGGTTGATTAATGGGCTGTTGCACTAGGAGCAATAAAAGCAAGGACGCCATCAACAATATGTAGCAAGAGCATGTAGGCTCTCTATGCTAACATCAGTTGCCATTCTCATCTACATTTGGCATCTTACATGTTGCACAGGCTCACCAGGCCAAGCAATGAAAATGCAAGGATCCAGTGACTTCTAACAGCTGCAGAGACTACAAAAGCCACCAGTCAAGAAATTGTGCCCAGTCTTGGTAGCAAACAGTTGCCCCAAAGCACATGTGCAGTGCCTTTCACTTTCCACTAAGCAAGTAAAGCCTGCTCTGCCTGCCCATACAGAGTGAAGGAGAAGCACTTATGAGACAAGCAGGCATTGCTCCTCTGCAAGTCTGACTCCAAGTACATATCTTTAGAAACTGAGCACTGCTCACACCTCTCTAGATAGCATTCCATACATTAGCTAGAGATCACAGACCCTGGTTCCTAAAACTCACTCCTAATTTTTCCCAATTCCCATCCCACAACTCTTCACAATTAAAATACCACTACCTGTAGATTTCCAACACTGCCGCAATAGGTAGGCTCTTCATTCTGTATATCCAACTCTTCAGAACATATGGCTTTGTTTGTGCCAGAGCGCAGTCTGTGAGAAATCGGTTTTTAGCAGAAGGCTACAAAAAAGTCAGTAGCCTTTCTAACCACAGAAGAAATTTATTCCAACCTTATTTAGCTGCTGTGATGCAATCTCCCACCTGACTCCTTCTGCAGCTTCTGCTACATAGCCAATTCTATGGTGCGCCTAACCCCATTTCACATGCCAACAATGAGTTATATTTGCCTCACTCTCCTGCTACCAGTAAGCACTCTTATTTTCTTACTTGCCAGGGTACAAAGCATCCATGCCATTGGTGGGCTAGCAAGTGATTTTGTAGAAAGACTGGCAATAGCCTCATTCCAGCTACCAGTGGTAAGAGTGAGCATCCATCACAGGGGACATGAGTAAGAGCCAGTGCTCACTCACTCAGTTAGAGACTGAACAGTTCAGATACAGAGATTCAGGATCGGAAGGGGGGACACCAGATAGGAGCATGCCTTGCCAAGACCCCATGAAAGAATCACCTTGGTGCAACAACAGCCACTTAAGACTGGCTAAAGCAGGAACAGATCCCAGCCCCCAACATCCCTGACCTTTTGCCATGCTGGCTAAGGCCAATGTGAATACAACTTCTGAAGGAAGGGCTACAAGTTCCCCATATGGGCTGAAGATGGGATGATATAGCCATTAGAGTTTTGCAGGATGGACGGACACACAGCTATGAGTTTTTGAAGGGAGAATAAGACTAACCAAGTAGGACACTGGTGAAATCATCTTGGTGGACAGTTGTCCTCTCTGGGAATCTGAGGCAGTTGTGTTATCTGCACTCTGTGTGTGTATTTATAAACAGAAATAAACAATCACTACCAAGTCTCCAGTGCTCACTCTCATCTTGGGATGGAAATCTGTCCAATATGCTTCTCTCTGTTTCTCATTTTTCCAGTTTTGTGTTCTGTTCACTTTTCTGTATCAGTCATCATCTTCTTACTTTAAGTCCTCATGTAAATCCTTAGTTTGTAAGTCCTAATGTAAGCCCTTAGTTTACATTTCTCTTCATACACATTCTTGTATACAAGCTTATCTGATGTAGACATTTGTGCAAGCTATTTTTCTTAACGCTATGCATCTTTTTGTTATTCTCCTGAATAAATGCCTCTTTACAACACATTTTCACCTAAAACACATTTTGGGGGGCTTGAGAACCAAATTGCACAATTTGAAGAATGCAGATATTGAAGAACAGCTGCACTTTGGCTTGCATACCATTTTGAAAAGTGTAAATCAGGCAGGTTCATGTTCAAATGCAATTTGAGCTAAATTTCTTCTGCATCTAAAAGGAAACTAAACGCTGTAGCATCAACCTCTGAATTTTCACACAGTCAGGAGAGATTGAAGTTAGCAATGCAGAAGGCCTTCCTATATGCTTCACCAGGCAGATTTTAAAAGCAAGTCATAAGAGCAACTTAAGAAAAAACGAAGCTTAGACGCAAGAAAATAAGTTTTACTTTTGTGAAAGGGGAGGGCTTGCAAAACGAACAACATCCGTAAATCATATTTCAGTGGGTACACAGTAGCAGAGATACAGAAAGCTTCTCCATACAGAGCAGATAGTTGCCAGTGAAGAAGGCAACCACCACAGGGAGCCATTTAGAGGGGGCACTGTGCCGCTATTTGTGCAGACATGACCATCCCTGTGTCTGATCCGTCTTGCAGTCAATCATTCTAGCATTCTATACTTTTGCTCTCTGCAAACTCCCAAATCTCTTCGTTGTTGGCTTTCACTGTGTAAGAGTGAAATAAGATGTTTCCTTTGCAGAAGCAAAAACCTTACTTTCTGAAAGGCATTAAGCTAGATCTCAATTGTTTGAGGAATTTAAGCTTCTAGTGCTAACGTATTTGGCAATGCTGGTTTAGCATTTTGGTCCATGACATTGCACAACCTTAACTTGTGTTGTGCTTTAAATTGTGCCACTATCAATACGTCTAGGTTAAATCACCTAACATAATTTATACACTTTCTTGTGCTTACAGGAAATGCATTCACGGCCTGGAATCTGATGCAACTAATGGGCTGTTTATTACTGTAATCCACAGCCCACAGCAACAGTAGCAATATCTAAAGTATGAAACCAAATGGCATTGTACACCTTACTACTGCATAATAAGCAAATGCTCTTAACAGCTATTACATCTTGCATTTGAGCTGCCACAGATAAATACCAAGTGATATTGCTGGTTGTTCCCTCATTGCCCATTACTGCAGCGCTTGTGTTAAACATGTGAATAAGAATTTGGTCCTCAAAAAAACCAATGCAATTGTGATGTCCTCATTTTGGTGCAATCATTCTGGCTGCAAACAGCACTCATTTCATTATATATTGTATAAGTCTTTGTTCCCACTGAAGACCTAAAAAGAACATTGCATGCCGGAATTTCTCTTCCATCTATACTTTTCCACTCATTGCTAGGATAACTAGTTCTAAGGAGTGCTTCCCTATACAGCTTAGGTCCAGGCTATCTGAAAAGACCACATTCCCTCACACAAACCTGCCCAGGCTCTGAAATCTTCAGGGGAGAGGGTCTTCTCAGTGGCTGCTCCCAGACTTTGGAACTCCCTTCCAAGAAAAATTAGAAAGGCTCTCTTCTTGTTGTCCTTCCACTGGCAGGACAACAAAAAGCCTGTTCTTATTCCAACAGGCTTTGGGGAACTGATTGTTTCTAATGAAATAGTTGGTGCTGTGATGTTTTTATCGTAATGATCATTAGGTTTTAAAAGATCTTATATACGTAACGCGCATACACACAGACATAGTTTAATTGGTTTTTAATGATTGCTTCCCAGTGTTTCAACAATACAGGCACAGGAGCACCGTATGTTTTTCTAGAAACATGTCTCAAGACATACAGAAAGCATCTGGTACTGTTTGCACCTGTTCCTGGGTGCAACTGCTCACATGGGCTGATAAGGGCTCCACTCACAAGTTTATGTTTGAGAGAGGTCAATACCTTACTAAAGCGGTACTAACTTCCTTTGAACATCTGTCCAGATATTATGCAGAATGCTTCAGAGAGTCAGCTAAATTAGCAGCAGTATATATATATCTACATGGTGTTGCACTCATCACTAAATAGATCAGATTGTCCTGTTAAACTGGCTGTTAGGCTAACTGGCTAAAATAGCTTTCTAATACACAGGGATTTTGACTGGCAAAACTATTATCTGTAAGAACAGATGAAACAATCTGCTGCCCCAACTTTTTTTTTAACTTTTTTTTTACATACTTCAGAGGAGAAGGAGAACTATAAGATCACTAAACAAAGGAAAAAGGCTGACATTCAAATATATATATATGTTTTTGCCAATATCCAGAAAACTGTGCGTTGAAGTATCCTGCTCACCTCCAACAATTATTTCTAGTTTTATACAAATAAAACTCTTGAGATGTCAGGTCATCTGACAGTTCCAGGTGGGAAGAAACAAGCAAGGAAAGACATAAATCCAGCAAGACTTTAGCAAAGTGCCATTAACTTAGTTTCAGTTACAACAGGAAGATCCCATGCAACGGATTCTGGCTGCAGATTTGTGATTGCTTGATGAGCTTCCATTAATTTATTTTTTATTTAACCTTTCAAAACAAGTAGTTTCTCAAGGCAACGTAACAGTTACTATCTTAGCTGTAAGATATGAAACCAATATCTAAAAATGTACCACTTAAACCAGCATAAACCATTCCTGAGCAGACCAATGAAATCATATTGAAATTTAAAACAGAGCAACAACTGTTTAAAAATCTAACTTGCTTCAACAAAAAGCAAATTAAAACAAATATCTTTAGAAGCAACCAGAGAGAGAGCAAAACTTTATATCCTACAGTACTTTTCTTTTTTGAACCCAGAGCAGTCTTGGATTGGGACTCTGAGCTCAACTGAGGGCTTTCCCTCAGTTTATCCTTCCTCCTGTGGCCCCTTTTTTCTACTCAAGAGTTGTCCCCTTCCACAAGCTGCTTCTCTTCACAGTGCAAAAGATGCAGCCTTGTGACAGGAGGAACAGGAAATGGTCATGCTTCAAAACTGATCCATTTATTACAGCTTTCACCAACTTGAATCAGGATGATGTATATATTAGCATGCATTTCAGAATACAAGGAAAGCAACCATGCATAACTCTCACTCTTGTCAACAGGAATTAACTATTTGCTATTCACTGGCAAGAACTGAAGAAACGTATGTCTCCGATGGGAGGCAGCAATTGTACAGGGCCATTTATAAATGCCTCTGAAACAAATATACCTCTCCATTATTTGTTAGCAAACATTCATTGCTTTGGCAGAAGGAGCATTTATGTCTTGGTTTCCTTTCCCTAAGCACTGGGAAATTACAAGCAGAATTTCTGCATGTTCGGTTTCCTTGAAGTTGAGTATTATTATTACTATATTATAATCTGTTTACAAACTTTCCTGCTTAGAAAGAACAAGGAAACTGCAGGTACACCAACACTCTATGTCTTTTAGTCAATTGCACAGTGGTTGTGAGCGCTCCAAATCTGGCAACAAGCAAAGAGGTAAAATGACAACTACCAAATGTGCTTACTTTAAGCAAATGTGTGTACATTAAGGAGTCTCAGCAACCAAAATAAAGGAAAAGAACTGTAACCTTCTGAGCCGAAATGGACTGTGCATTTATGCAATTTCCCCACTCAAAAGTTTACAGCGTCACTTTTAAACACTTAAATTACACCTGCCTGCCTTATCCGATGAATAAAAAACACAGGGTGGAGACAGTCACAGCTCTTACTTGCTACCTCTCCTTGATATGTGATTGCATTTTATTGTCTGAAAGTGGTCTGAAAACAGCCCTGTGATAAAGTATAAACTTTAATTTACCAGTACTTTTTTTAGCAAAGATGTCATTCTTTCATCTGAAATGGGACTCCGGGAAAAATAAGGATCGCAGAGATAACAGCAGTTTGACCTACAATTAAGATGGTATTGATTTTGCCTAAAAGGGGAATACAGTCAACAAATGGTCAGCAAATGACTGACCAAACCAGTTAAAGTGAGAAACAGGGACACAAGTTATAGTCCAAAGATGATAAAAGGGAGAGCAGACAAGGAAACATGAAACTGTTAAATAAGGAAAATTATGGAAGTATTCAACCACCATAACTGAAGAGACATGCTGTCAAATACCTGAAATTCTTGATATATAACAGGGGGATAAATTAGTAGTATGCCATAAATCTCAATTTCTCTGGGAGAAGACTAGGCACAATGTAATAAAGGTGTTGTGCCATTTTTGACATTTAGGATTTGACAAGCAAAAGACATAGCACCTTCATGTTCAAGAGCAACCAAGCGAGTAAAGCAGTGAATACTTAATTTTCCCTTAGGAGATATTGGCAGTCTTATTCTGTACTTAAAATTTAAGAAAACATTTGCCCAAGCTGAAATTTGCACAACATTCTCATGAGACCACTACTCAATGGTGTGCGTATTTCCATTTGCAAATAAATTTCCACTACTGGTGTTCAAAAGGAGATTTGCATTTAAATACTTTGATGGCAATCTGGAGGGTAGGAGACAAACCAATGGCTGCCAGTTACAAGAAAGGAGATTCAGACTAAACATCAGAAAGGTCTTTCTGATAGTAAGAGCTGTTCAACAGTGGAACGGACTCCCTGGGCAGGTGGTAGGCTCTCCTTCATTGGAGATTTTTAAGTGGAGGTTGGATGGTCATCCGTCATGGATGCTTTAGTTGAGATCCCTGCATTGCATAAGGTTGGACTAGATGACCCTCAGGGTCCCTTCCAGCTCTACAATTCTGCGATTCTAGGAATGCTTACATGCCACTTAAATCAAATAGCAGTGGGCATGATTACAACTTTACTTAATATAAGAAAACTTAACAGTTTAAAGTGGTACTAACAATATGTGAAACTTCCCGCAGAGTTTTACTATTTAGTACAAATGTAATTTATGAAAAAGTCAAGCTAAAGTTTTTTGAATGACTTCTATCAGACAATGGGAAGAAGCAAGTTATTATGTTAAAACACACGAGAAAGCATGCACGAGAGAGAGCTCGCCCACTGACTCAAAGCTACGATCCTTCCCTACTGATGAAAGATACACGTTTTCTCCTCTCAGCAATTTAAAGAGTTGCCCTAATCTATAGAGTGCAGCAAATATATGAATTCTCCACCCTTCTATACTGATTTCTCCACTTTGAAACTACCGCTCTACTTTAACGTTCATTCAGAAGACAGCATGAATAAACTGTCCAAAAATGCATGACGCTAACAGTTTGATTACTAAAAATGCTACTATAGGTAGAGAAGGAACTACAGACAGAGATACATTATGTTCCAGGAATACAATGTTCAGTATCAATTTTTGTGTAGCTATTGTGAGGACTTCACAACTGAATGGATCTTGAACAGAATGGATCTTTAAAGTGATACAATTTACATTTATTTTAATTCTTCAATGGCACAATCCAATCAGGAATGAAAAAGAGTTAACAGCATGGTCAAGTCACCTCAACGCAAAAAATACAGTTAATACGCAAGCTGTCCACGTCAGGAAGTCTAGAGCAAGTAAAAGAGCTTCTCTTCATTTCCTCCCAGTTTATTCAAGATACTTGCATACCACTGATTGAATGGGTTAGCTATTGGAACAGCAGAAATATCTATGACGAGCTCCCCAGACACAACAGAGCACAAGAAATGCAGTTAAGTGAGCACATTTCAAGTTGAGCAGTACATGAATGCGAATAAAGTACAGCATTAAACCAACAGATGTTTGATGTATGTTACTTTGTTAGAAACATTTAAGGAACTTTAAACAGAAATGGAAAAGCAAGCAGCATAGATGGATGGGTTTCTTGAAATTTGTCAATAATTTTGCCAATAAAGCTATAAACCAATACACACCTACCTGAGAGAAGTCCCACTGAATAGAATGGATAGAATTGAACTTAAACATATGGCTTAGAGAACAAGAAAACTATGATGTGGGCAGCTAGCTGATCAACAGCATCTTTTGAGATATGTATTTTCTGTGGTTAGTTGCTACAGGAATGAGCATGACTTTTATTCATTCTTGCGTGTATTAAGGAGTTTTCAAACAAGCTCTCTCTTCATTCTCACAGGGTACCATCCAGCCCAAAGTTCTCATTTTATAAGCCTTACTAAATTCAACTTTAAATTGCTCGATTTTGCCAGAATTGTGTTAGTGGAGTACAAGTTATCATATTCTTTGCTTTTTAAACCCTATGTTGGGCATCTTTAAAAAATGGAAATAGCGAGTTGTGGCAAATATTTAAAGGATCTTTTTGTAATAACCTTCCCTTCTTTAATGTGCAGCTCCCTTTTGAAGAATTGTGTTATTAGCTCTAACATATTGAAAACTTTTTATTACAACATTAAGAGGCTACTATTATTTGGTAAAACTTTTGTTTAAAAAAAAATGTTTGCAGCCCCATTGGGACTGATCCCTCATTTTTGCAGTATAGTAATATACTGCAGGTGACAGAATGAGGGCACATTAATAGAAACCAGAAGACACTGCACAAGTCTAACTCAGGTCAATGCCACCTGGTCAAGAGAAGAAATGCAGAGAGGCTTGGTTATAAAACTGCATCAAGAGCTCATGTAATTCTAAAGAAGAAAGTGCCTCTTTCAAGCCCGTCTGTTGAGCAGCTCCTTGGGTTGCCTACAGCAAAAACAGTATCTGCCTAAGCCTATCTTCCCTCATCCTCAATGAGGCCTTGTCACAGAAGCTTGCATCTTAAGATTGCTCTCTTAAGCAAATGGGACAAAGATATGAGTTTTTGCTTTTCATTCTGCATCTTCTCATTCTGCTCAATCCTTACTGTTGAAATGGCCTCATTCTGTCACCTGCACTACTGTGGTGGTGGCAGCCTCCCTCTCCATCCTTTATCTGCTCATTTTGTAATTCTGTTTTGTTCAGTCTTGGACCCATGGAATACTAATGAAGGATCCATTCATTCAAGTATGCAACAGTGTGTCATTCTTCTTCCACTACCCCAATGACACCATTCCTGCCATATCCCCTCTAATCCTCATCATCGAGCTCAGAGTCTCACTTCCTCTTCATAAAGCAAACCCATTTCACAGGCAATTATTGTGCTTGACCTCCAGCGCCAAACACCTCCTGACAAGCAAGGGTGACACTGGAACTTGCTAGGTCAGAAGATATTCCTGAAAGCAGGACAATGACTGACCATTTATGAAATTATACATTTTATTTATTTTTAATAAACCTTTGTTGGTGTTTTGCAGGAGAGGGACCAGAAATCTCTTCAACATGTCCACATGGTGCAGTGGTTAGACTAGGACAAAGGAGACCAAAGTTAAAATCCCATTCAGCCACAAAACACACTAGATGATCATGGGTTAGTGTCAGTCAACATTATCTACCTCCATGGTTATGTTGAAGAGAAAATAAAGGGGAGAGGAGCCAACTATGCTGTTGTGAGTTCCTTGGCAGAAAGACAGAATATAAACGTAGTAAATATATAAATGGTACCGCTACAAGACCTTGAAAGACCCCCCCAAAAAGGTTTTTTTTAAGGCTAAATACTGAAGGTACTGAATCACAAAAGAATATTTATCCTACCCCAAGTACTCTTTCTACATTAATGGCAAAACTAATAAAGCAAAATTATACATTTTGCTGATACTCTCTTCCATTCTTTAAACTCATGTATTTCAACTAGCAATTCAGTCTTGGCTTCATGCACTGACTGTTAATGCTTTGAATAAACTCACACTGCAGCATAAACTTAACATTCTATTTACGGGGGACATTATCTTCAGACCAACTAACTGAACTTCACGATACTTTACTGCCCATACTTTAAAAAAAAAATCCCTCAGGATCTTTTCCAGCACACCTAGTTTGAAAGCTCTTTCTGGATGCTGTGTCAACCAAGAGGATTGGCAATAATTTGCTAACAGCTATAACTAAGACAAATAAGGAGGTTTATTCCATTATTGCAAAATCATCTTGTTCTCTTTTCTAGCATTTTCTATGGGATGCATGCTTTTTTAAAAAAGAAAAAGAAAAGAAAAGTCTGACCGCATAATTTACCATTTCCTTTTGACCAACACTTACAATATGCGCCAATTTCTACTGGCAAAGAGGCACATGATGCTCATACGCAGGTGTCAAAATGTCCAGAATGTCTGTAGTTGAATCAAAACTACTTCAAGGTAAATGAAGGTAAACCATGATTCTTTTAAGAAGTTTAAATTTATGTGAAGTTGCTGAGACCACAAAAGATTCTTGGCCTGTATGCACACTTCCTTGGAGGAGAAGCCCACTGCATCTTTCACATGAGCAAAAACATTCATTAGCTACACAAAGCTTAGCATTTTTAGGTATTTATTTTCAGTATATTTAAAGTCACAAAGGTATGAAATTTTACCGTTTTAAAGAAAAGAAAAAGCACCCACAAATTCATAAGCATTTTATACAGACTTTGCATGTACTTAAAATATATTCAGCATCACACCTTCCCAGTTCTGAGAATGCTGAAACCCAGCACTGAGACTGGTACGGATAAGGTAATGATACGCAGATGAGGCCATTCAACACCTTTTTGAAAGCCCTATATTTTATTCTCCACTAGCAAACAACACAGTCCCAAACAATATACATGGGTACTTGTCTAAAATCCCTGGTAGAGGACAAGGATCCTGAGATCACGTTAAGGGTAGCCAAATTCTGTGCAATTGCCATAAAACTTAGGGAACAAGCTATGCTATCATAATGATTAAGGCCTTAAATGATAATTTTAGGCTATATGTTAGTGACTAAGTTTTAATGTATGTATTTTTTAACTGTTGCTTTACCTGTATTGCCCCTGTTATACCTAATTGCAAATTCAAATGTATCCCTATCGTGTTTTATGACTTCCTTGATATTGTATGTGGGCTGGAACTGGTCTGTGACCGAAGTAATAAAAATTCATTCAATTCATTCATATATGGGTATTGTATACCCCAGTGCAGACGCTGCTTGAGTAGCCTATATACAAACTGAAGCTGTCTTTGCAAGTTCACTTAATGCCATCCAAGTCCCTGACACAGCCAGCTAATCTGAGCATCCCACCCCCAATAGTCTTTTAAAGGTAATGCCACACACAACAGCAGACACCAAGAGGCAGAGTAGTGCTTGTATGGCTGTAGGAAACAGCTCCAGAGTAAACTATAGCAGAAATGCTTCAGCTGGGATCAAGTGGCTTTTGTTTAGGAGCGCCTGACACCCAGAGAAATCAGTCCCCCGGTACTCTAGGAGAAGACGGTCCCCTTTTTCATCCCTGTGTCAGGCATGTCTCTATTATATTGTCAAGATTTTGGGATGAGCGCGTCTTAGACCAGTGGAACACTCAGTTTCTGAACGCTGCTTTGCGATACCGGTTGCAAACAGCCATTTGATAAGCAATGATTTAGGGGGGGAAACCCTGTGTATATCGTATAAACTTTTGACGGTGGTTGCAACCCCGCCAGCTTTATAACTGAACTCCCCCACCCACCCACCCACCCTCCTCCCGCACTATTGCTCAGATATATGTAGCATAGCCCGGCTGCCCTTGGCCTACGGAAGGAGGAAAGCGGCGGAAGGGAGAATGGTAACTGCCAAGAAATCCAAGTACGTCGAGCTCCTCTGCCCTCGCAGACCAAACTGCCTGAAGACAAGGGAGTTGTCCGAGGGGCGGGAGAAAGTGGCTCAAAAGATTTTGCTGGCTGGGGGTGGGAGCGAGAGGGATCGACGCCGGCAGCCCTGGCGCTGTGTCTTGGGGCAAATGGTCTTCTTCCCCCCCCCCCTTCTTCCTCTCGCACTCGCTCGGGGCAAGACCGTGGAGGGAAGCCGAGCAAAGACAAGCAAACCCCGTCGAGTAGTAGTAGCCAAGCTGCAAGCTGGCCAAGCGCCCTCGGATATAGCGCTCAGCCCCGCGCCCTCCTCCCCGTCACGACTCACCCGCCTCGAGGGAGTCGCTCCGCCGGTGGCTAAGAGCAAAGCCAGAGTGAAGCTTTTCCAGGGAGCAGCCGGCGCCGACGACGGAGGCATGTCTCTGCCGCCGGAGTTGCCCCAAGAAGCGCAAGCCCCGGCAGCCGCCTCGGCCACAGCAACCGCAGAGGGAGGAGAGGCAGGCAGGGGCGCGAGGCCACCTCAGGCGCGCAACGAGGAGAGCGCGAGAGCGCCCAGCGGCGGAGTTGGAGTGAAGTTTGGCGCGCGGGCTGGGCGGCATTTGTAAGCTGGGCGAGGGGGCCGCCTCGGCGCGGAGCTCAGCCCCTGCGAGCGCCTCGCCAGCCAATCGCTTCCAGACGCAGGACGCGCCCCCAGCCGGAGTTCGGACGGGCAAGCGCGCGCCCCTCGCCGCCACGTGATCGCAGGCGCTGCCCCGGGCTTGTTACTTCGCGCTACCGGTCCTTCCCCCCGCGGGGTGGATCATCGTGCCATGGCTGCTACCCCTTGGGCACCGAACACAAGCGCTCGGTAGGTGTTTCCCCGCCGCTGGCTTTTCGCCTTGGGGAAAGCTTTCCATCTGCTCGTTGGTTCTCGAGAGCGCGGAGGGCCGGGAGGAAGGGCGACCTTGGGACCCACGAGCCCCTTTTTGGGTTGTACTTTCAAGTGCGATTGGAAAGGGTAGGAGAGTGCAGCCTTGCTGGGAAGCAGGGTCCGTTTCTCCTGCTAAGCTGACAGTGCTGCTTGGGTCACACGGTCAACCGCTGCCTGCTTCTTCTGAGTAGACCTACAGAGCATTGCCACTGTAAGGAATCTGGAGCAAACGTCTCACAAGACACCTTTAGCCTTCAGTCGCCAGTCCCTTCACACAAACAAAAGTTGCCTTCCATATGAGGAAAAGTTGCAATATTTGGGTCTTCTTAATTTATTTAATCATTTTTTTCAATACAAACAACAACCACAGAAAACACATATAACAAAAACCACAATAACACTAATAACACAATTTAGCAATTCAGATTCGAGTACTGATATACCTATGACTACACCTTTTTAACAATATTTTCCCACCTCTCATCCCCCTACTTCCCCCCACCATTCACCTTATCACTTAAATATTCCTTCCAGATTTCTTCATATTTATCCATTCTTAATTTGCGTCGACATGCAATTCGTTCGTATGTGGCTAGTCTGTCCATATTGTCAATCCATGTGTTCAATGGAATCTTTTTGTGGCTCTTCCAATTCATCAGAACAAGTTTCTTTTGCGTCTTCTGGTCTTCTTAATTGAAAAGAAGAAAAACAAGGGAGTAAGGGGAACATGGTAAAGGTGTGTAAATATGATGTGGAGAAAGTAGAGAAACATTTTTCCCTCATAATGTTAGAGCTTGGGGCCTTTCGGGGAGCTGGTGAAGTTTCAGGACAGATAGACGGAAGCACTTCATTCACACAGCATTGTTAAGACAGTGGCATTTGCTCCCATAAGATGTTGGCCACCAACTTGGGTGGTTTTCAGAGGGGCTTAGACAAATTCATGGAAGATAGTCACTATAGCTAGTATAACATTGTGTTCTCTCTTCGCTGAGAAGCAGAATACCAGCTGCTGGGAAACACAAGTGAAGAGAGCACTGTTGCACGCAAGGCTTTTTTTGGTAGGCTTTCCATAGTCATCTGATCATTAGATCCACGATCCTGGATCAGGATCATTAGATTGGCCTTTGGCTCAATCTAATGGCTCTTATATGTTTGTATTGTTCAAAACTCAGGGGTGGAGTTAGGTGCATCAGGAATGGTTTTGAAAAAAATACATACTGTAAAGGGGATTCTGATTTAAAGCAAAAACAGAAAACAAAGTAGAGCCCCAAAGTCTGAAGTCTACCCACCCCATGTCTGCTCTCCTGGATGTAGAAATGGTGGGGACTGAAACTCAGTTAGATAATTTTAGATGCTGGACTTAATGGTCTTATGCACACCCATTCCTTTAGGTGGTAATGTGTATTACTTCACTTTAAAATGTGCTACAGCAGGGGGCCTATTTGCTGAGTAGAGCCCTGGATGTCTGCCTCACAGCTCCTCAATGTAGATTAGCAGTGAAAGACTGATTCTATGCTCCAGGGAGGCCTGTGAAGCCTCCTCATTCTGTTCACAGGTCCCAAAGATCGAGTTAAACAGGTGCATGTTGAGTTGATGACTGCATTGTTGCACAGTTGTCCTAGGCAGGGAGTTCCATAAATGAGGTCTTGCAACAGACAAGGCCCTAAGCAACTCTCATGCAAAGGTAGAACCACAAAAAACCTCAGCAAATCTCAATGGTTGAACTGCCACACATGAATTATAGCTATGGAATGTCCATTTTTACTTCTTTAAAAAATGGATCCACTAGACTTGTCTCATCAGGATGCTTAGTTTGAACTCATGGAGCTTTTCACCATATAAATCACTGCAGTGTCTGCTATTAAATGGACTTCAGTCATCAAACTATCTTTCAGTGAAAAACAGCAAACACAACATATTAAATATTTTTAAATATAAAATGCTTACATGTGCATTTTTTATCATACACGTGCATATTATATTATATTTTTATGTTTGTACCTCTCTTTTTTATCATACAGAAATGTAAGTATACTGCTTAGTGATTTTTATGTATTAAGTGGTTAATCTTTTACATTTTTTAAGTTTTATGTTATTTATGCACTGTGACTTGCTGCTATTTTTATTGATTTTAGTTAGCAATTATTGTAATCGTTAAGAGTGAAGTCCTGCTTAATTGTTATTTGATGATATTGAGAGTTAATTTTATTGTGTGTTATTATATTCTAATGGGTTATTGAATTTTATTTGACATAAGTTGTCTATTTTAAAGTTATGTTTTTGTTACGACTTTTGTATTGAATCAGATTATTATAAGGTGTGTGATCTTTCATGTATATTTTGTTGTAAACTGCCTTGTGTATAATAATATAGAAAGGCGATATACAAATTAAAAGTGAAATGAAATGAAAAGTAGTTTAGAAATGCTTTTATGTAACTATATATGTGCCATATATCTCTGTGGCAAATGAGTGTTTTCTACAGATAACTGCCCCTAGGGAAGCAGGATTAGCTTCTTGCCCCAACCACAGCGACAAATGTCACCATCATACATAATGTGTGAAACAGCTCTCAGCAGAGACTTCCTGACACTTTTAAGAATAGTCTCCTAAGACTGCAAAAGTAAAATATCAAGTAATTGTTTGCAGAATGCATTCACCATTAAATATCAACAAAACCTGACTTTTTTTTGCACTGAGAGAAAACAGACAATTATATTGTTTTGTTTGTTGAGATGTGTATCTGAAAGGGATGGAACAAGTTGACATACAATGATGATAATGCAGTCTATCCAGAATATTGCATTGAATCAACTCAATGAAATTAGTTTGACCCTTACATCAGTTCTGATGGGAGTATTCAAATCTAAAACACAGCATGGAAACATAATATTCGGGTTCTTTACTGCAACCTTGTATGTGTCATTTCAGTTGAAACAAGTGGTGATAAAATTGACGTATTTGTTTAACAATGAATATATCAACTTTAGAATAACCATGTTCAGTGTTCACTGGAACCTTGGGGACTGAGAGCTCCAATGGTGTGTCCCATCTGCAGTTTCCCTAGGTCCCTCAGTACCATTACTGGAGGTTGAATAGGAAGCAAAGGAGTTGGTGTTCTGGTAGCTGTTATGGCACTGAGTGTGGACAGTTGAGAGCAGAGAAGTAGGGAACATGTTCTCTGTTCCAAATTTTCCCTCCTGCACTCCCTGGGCTATTTTAAATGTGTGCTTCCTTCTCAGTTGGGGATGGAGGGGCATGTCATCTAGAAGTACATCTTAGATCAGGGTTTTCTAACTTGTGGCCCTCCTGATATTGGACTCCCAGCTCCCACCAGCCCCAGCCAACGGGGCCAATGAGCCTGGTTCCAAATCCCAACTTGCCTGCAAACTTCACTGAGTGGTCTTGGGCTGATCACATTCTTGCAGCCTACCATCTCTCACAGGTTGTAGGGAGGAACCAGCTATGCTGCTTTGGAGAAGAGGTGGGAAATAATATAGTAGATAAACGCTACCAGATGATTTCAACTCAGAGGTAAGCGCCATTGAGTTCAATGAGGCTTATTGCTGGAACTGCTCTGCAGCCTAACAGTCTGCCTGTCTGGCTATTACTCATTGGGACCTTAAAACATCTCCATGAGTTGGCGAGGTACAGAGGTTGTCAAAGGTCAGAAATGACACATTCCCCTTTCTAGAGAGAGGTAGGCAGACGCTGTACACCAACAGGCATTATTAAATAATACAATGTCAGCTTCGGCACATTTTGTAAAGTGATTCAGGCTGTGATATAGAATAAAGTGCATGGCAAGAGTGAAGAGTATTGCAAGATGCTTGTCTCCTAAACATGTTCGTATAGTCAGGACTTATTTAAGGAAGTACCGACAATGGTGAAAACTTCAGAAGCAGGGCACATATCAGGAAAAGGCACCACATAAGCTGCGTTGTAGAACAATGTGCAACATTTTTAGTGGCAAATGGTTAAAATGTTGACCATCCTGGCTGAATGCATTTTTAGCACTTCAGGAGGTGCTTTAGATTGGGAAAATAGCAAGGAAAAGGAGGAATTAACCCCCATTTCATGGCACTAGGACTCCCAATCAAATCCAAAGCCCTCCCCAGCTACATGTAGCTACAAATAAAATTGCTGGGAGATCCGATCATGGATCCGACTGTAAAATGTCTGGTTTAGTCCACACTGTGGCTGCTGCTCTCTTTATCTGAAATGAATCTAATGTAATGTGAACTGCTGGTTTTTCCTCCCATGAGCCTCGGTATCTGAAAAGTGTTTATGGTACAGAAGTATATTATTATTATTTATTATACATATTCCACTTGTCCTTCAGGAAGTGTGGAGCAAGTGGGACTTCCAGACAGGTTAGAGAGCGCTGCTTAGCTTCAACAGAGTAGTAGAAAAATGCAATCTTCTGGCTATTCTCTGGGGCAATGTGGTTTAAGTTAATCAAAAGCACATTTAGAAAGATCAAATAGAAATGCTACATGTCAGGGGTTC